AGGAAAAACAATTAAGTCAAAGGGGTTAATAATTAATAACAACTATGGATTTGTAGGTAGGTATGTGATACAGACTTGTGACGTCATTTACTATTCCTGCATCAAATAACATAATTTTTTTCTTGTATTATATGTTCGTTCGGTATTTAGTCGGGTTATGGGGTCAAGCGCAAAAACGTAGGTACCGCAGCCTCAGTCTAGAGCTGGAGAAGAAACAAGAGGTTTTTAGCGAGTAAGTGTTTAACACTCTCTCTCTCTCGCCAAACCCGGCGCCCTTCTCTCCCTCACTATGGTCGAAGGGCGAGAGAAAGGAATTTAATAATGTTCCCTCCTCAAAAAAGAAGTCTGTATTTTACATATCTTTATCTTATGAGATACGAGACCGGGTGATGATGTCCAACCCTTAAATAGCAAGAGATGCACCCATGGCGAGAGAAGCCATTGGATGGTTGACCCTTTCAATAAAATAACTAATCATGCTAATAAACGCGTGAATATGTCTTAGGTACATAATTTATTTTTTCTTTTTTTATAATAACCTTGTCCCACACTAGGATTTTCTCCTGTGTCGTGGATGCGGTTACAAACATACAATTTCAGACCCAGAACAACAACATGTGGATCACACAAAGAGTTGTCCCGTGCGGGAATCGAAACCGCGACACGTTGAACGGCAGTCAGAATGCCCAGCCACCGCACCAACTGTAGTCAAGTCAGTTATCTTACAATCGGGCGGGAAGTTTTGTATCTACCTACATACGTAATATGTAAACATAGCTATATATAATTGATTGATCTATTTATAAACCATACAAAGTCCAAGTTCATTGATGAAAGTTTCAGTCATTTTAGATAACCATATAAATTGTTTCTATGTCCATATAAAGTACTTCAAGGTACTTCAAGGGCCATGCCAAATACCTATGGAATATTTGAAACAGTATAAAATTGGCAAGCATTAGAAATTTCTAACAATAGGTTGAATCTTGTGACAACTGTACTATTATTATTTATATAAGAACTAGAGACCTGACCCGGCTTCGCACTGATACAAAATTTCCCTATTATTTAATGGGTGTTACTATATATATAAACATTCATCTTCAGTAACTCTATCTGTTAAAAAATCGCATCAAAATCCGTTGCATAGGGATAGACAAAGCTACTTTGTTTTATACTGTGTAATGAATGATCTATCTGACCCAGCGAACCCACATATGTTTTAACCTGGTACTGCGACCGAAGCTAATTGACTTATAACGCGAAAGTGAATTTGTTGGTCTTTTCTTTCATGGGATGTTGAAGTAATTAAATTTAATTCCTTCCTTAGCTGCAAGCTATAAGTGACTAATATAATTTTATACATAAAAAAACACTTTAGGTGTTTAACAGGTAAATTATAAAAGCATTAATTATGTTTTATGGAGTAAAATAAGTAAAAATAGACATTAATTAATGCAATTTACTTAAATTAACTAAACATCTATTTTATAATGATAAACATCTCTTAACAATAAAAAAGTATAATTTAAAAATATTACTAGCTGTACCCACGGCTTTTTTCGTGCAGTTTATAGTATATGTGAATTTGTAATAGGTCATGTTGTTTCAGAGTATTTAATTCAGATACAGAACAAACATTTTTTTTCCTCTTTATAATATTAGTATACATAATTGAAAACAATTTTAAACTACCTCTTACATTAACTGGAATAATATAATATATTTTTATTATAACTTTCGTGAGACATTCCAAATTAATTATTATGTTTTCGGCTTACTCCGTAATAATTTGACGAGATACTCAACTACTTTCAAGCCATATTCATGAGCAGCATGAATATGGACCTCTAGCATGTCCTTGCACTAATAATTAATATAATATACATATTTTATTAATAGCAGCCTCATGTTATGTGTTTGTTTATAAACATAAAAACTTACATTAATTTATAGATAACAAAAACAGTTTTTAATATTGTCCGACACCAGTAATTCTCCTGTAACATGGGTGCATTTACAAACATGCAAATTCACAAACACATCCCTCCCACACTTAGAACAACAAACTGTGGACTGTCTAATTATCCTTTATGCGAATCTAACCAGCCCATGATGATCAGGAAATATATTCTTACAAGAATTTAATTGCAAGAGACATTCTAGTAAGATAATAATCATGCTCTATTCAATATTATTATTTTTTTGTGTGTGTGTGTAGTTACTGAGTATGTAGCAATATGGACTTTGGTCTTTCAATTAATGTCAGCTTACATGTAAATGTGTGTACAGCTGATAGTTATAGTTATATAGAGGTATATGTACCTACATATATTATGTAAGTATATCTAACTAAATTATATATGGCTTTATGAAAATGTTCATCATTTTATAATACACTAACTGACCTAGCAAAATTCGTTCCGCCTCAAAATTAACTAATGTGCCTGACATTTTAAACCTTCCCTGGACTTCAAGGAAAAAATTAAGAACAAAATTGAGGAGCTACAAACAGTAATTCATTTTTATATGCAAGATAACCCCATTAGGGCTTCCAGAAATAATGGTATTGAACATCCTAATTATTTCTAACACAAAAATCATTACACAATCTCTACTTTCTAGATCTATCAGGTGGTTTATCCGATTGTCTGCCATCCTATCCCATGAAAAAAAGAAATGAAGAAATTGCTTCTAGTGGCTTTGTTGACATTTTCAGGATAAAAATCATGTGTCTGACCTGTCTTAGTCAATGGTTTGGCTGGGAAAATTGCATACAGCCAACCAATGACCTAAAAAACCATCTAGTTTGAAATTTTGTGCAAATAGTTTAAATACATATGTTATTCAAAACTATGATATATCTCTGTGTTAAATTTAATTTGAACTTATTCAAATAATATTTTACTCACACAATATATTACATTTTATTTATTTGTACCAAAACAATAAAAACACATTGGGAAAAGCTAATGTTTACAAATAAAATAATCTATACTATGATAATATAAGTTTTTATTTTTAAGATGTGGTATGAAGATGTAGGTAACTATTACTACACTAATAATCTCTGAATGTAATTAGATAAATTACCCTCTTAATTAATTTGCATATTATTTATTCAGCTGAAAATTTTAATGCACTTACAACCTCTTTTATTAATGTTATGACTTTAAAACATAATAACAATAACCAAATAAAAACCTCAGTATTGTTGTTGAACAGTTAAGAAGTTTTCTTATAGAAATGGTAGTAATTTAAGTAATACTTACAACAAGGAATGTCTGGCGAGTTCATGAGGCATCATCTTGGCATAATCAGTAAAGGATACCAAGAAAGGAGTCCGCACTCCGTCCACAAGCACCACATTCTTGCCTGTGCGGTCTGGCAGAGAGTTCTTCTTCTGTTGCAAAGCTGCTCCCACACTAAGAGCCCTCCTGGCAGTGTCTAAAACAACAACCAGTACGAATTAGCAAAAAAAAAAACACCAAAATTCACACTTAGAAAAGTTCAAGTAGTAACAGCACACTAAGAATAGATTTCGATCTTCCAGAATGCATATAACATGAACCTTGCACTAATATTTTGGCAGGGAACTGAGCAAAATTAATTGCCAACTATGCCAACAAATTATTTCTCACAAAAGTCCAAAGTTTACGTCCATATACGAATTACGAAAACATCAAAAATATACAATATAAATCATGTTTTTTCAGTGCACTTATTACGAAATTAACTAAATATTACATTAGACAAGATAATAAATCACATAAGATTTAGAAAAATATAGGAGAAATAGTAAACCTACCGAATTTAGCCGTAGAGCTAACGTGGGAGACTTTCAATAAAGTTTTAGATATTTGAGATGCCATGGCTGCCGGAAAATTAATACCGATTATCACTCGACACGACGGAGACTACTAAAACAATTAATGTAAATTAAAAACTACTGTAAATTCTAATTTAAACTTCTAATAAACTTAAAAGAAAGTTGGACTCTGACCTGTCAAACGCACAGAGTAAAAAATAGGGTTGCTTAGTATAATAATAAATTACGTATCTTCAATCTTGCACGAGTACGGTTTTTAGTTGTAGTTGTATTAATTTTAGTATTGTAAATTTTGTTGATATCTCTGTAAATGTACAGCATTAATTCAGATATTTTTCAAGCCATTGAAGTAAATATTTTAATATGTCATTTATAAGTTATTAGGATTACTTTCATAATTTTATTTGTTTCTATTTTCACCCATAAACTAAGGAATTAGATTGAGCTTGGCAATGATTTAGATGACTTTTCAATTTTACGTTTCGTTGCTACGATTTCATTTACGTTTTTGATTGCCTATTTTCTGTCTATTTTTCTTGTTTCGTAATATTCATTTAGTTTATCATTTCAAATGTTACTAAATTTAGTTTCTGGTGTTCTATAATTAAAATGAAATTAAATATGATGACAAGATTTAAATTATATTATAATCACGTTTTGTTACTTTTGATTCAAATCAAATAAAATGCGGGTAGTGAGAAATATTATTTAAGATTTTGCAATAATTTTGATTTCCGTTCTGTTGCTCTTCCGCCGTGCTAGCAGCCACGTGTATTTATTTAAATAATTATTCAATTTATGATTTTAATTAATATAATTAATAATTAATCAATTATAATAGTATATTAATAATAAACAATCGTTATTTTACTTTTTAAGTACCAATGAAGAAAAAATAAAAAAACAAGTGAGTCTTAAATCGATTAATTTTGTCATGAACTAAATCTAATTTTTTGCCGGAGATTATTGAAAACAAAAGACGGTGTTCTCCAGACACATTTCAATAATAATATGGAATAATCTTTTCATTTTACAATTTACCTGTTTATTTTTCAGAATGAAGTATCAGTGTTTAATATTAATAATTAGCGTGGCGTGGTGTTCGGCTCAGCTTAGCGATGACATGCAGATGTTTGATCCTGAATGTATGACGGAAGAGAAGTTCCCCTGCATGGGCGGAGGTTGTATTTCAGTTTCACAGTATTGCGACGGAAAGTTAGACTGTGACGATGGCAGTGATGAGAATTTTTGCAGTAAGTTTTTTTCTATCTACCTAACAAGTTAATTTTATTGTATGCCGCCTAAAACTGAATGTCTTGTTGCGTGCCTTGTACGAGTTTTGCAGCTCTCAGGGTCACTAAAATATATCCTCAAGGGTCCAGGGCTGTCAAAGTACTAGTCAATTTTTAAAATTCTTTAGTAATGAGATGGCCATACTACTTGCACTCAAATGAAAAAAATATTTTTGATTTCTTCTGGAATTTCAAATGTAACGAGCGAAAAATGGTTGTCAGTATGTAGTTGGTTACTTGCTTTGGCTACCTGCTTTTTGCGATTGTTGTATTTAGTAATCATAGAATGTGATTCAGGACAATAAGTATAAGTACTTAGGTACTCACTGGATAAGTTACTCTACAATATAGGTTTTTTTATGGAGTAATTAGGTCAGCAAACCAGCTAAAGTATCAAGTAAATAGTCAGCAGGCGGCAGGTAAGCAATCGGCGCCGCCCATGAATGAAGAACTCCGCCCTTAAGAACCACTGACCAAAATACGTTGCCAGCATTTTAGAATCTCTGCTAAGCATAAATTAGAAATTTAAAGATAGATGTGCCTTCGGTAACCTCACTCACACGGCAAAACACAACGCTGTGGTTGTTTCACGATTTTCTCTGAAGCCGTGCTTGTTGACGCCCAGAGAAAATGGAACATTTGACACGATTCTACCAATATCAACAACGTGTTCTATGTTCAAAATTTGAACTGACGTGTTCTTATGGCAGACCGTTAATGTTCTATCTCTTTCTTTCCTTAGTCGAACACAAGCCGTTCCAAGAGTTTTGTAACGAGACCCACCAGTACATGTGCCAGGACTCCACGAAGTGTGTTCCTTTATCCTGGCTGTGCAACGGTGAGACGGACTGTGATGATGGCAGCGATGAGTTCAACTGCACCGCGATGCCGGCTGTAAATGGCAACGTAAGTTTTAGTTACTGCAAAAGCAATTAATTCACTAAACCCCTAGTGAACGCCGGTTTTCGGGCGCCTATCGTTCTTCTGTTGTCTCGAATTACCAAGATTATAAGGAACTGCCTCGTTTATTAAATGGCCGCATGTGTGACTGCCGATCAAGTGGTCTCGGGCTTTATTTCAGAATCGAGAAATATTATTTGTTACTCGACTTCGAAAACTTATTCGAAAATATCTCATAGTAAGTAGAAGTTAGAAACAATGTATATGACCTTTTGCTTTTGCCACCCCTTTTTAGGTACATGCACATATTCCCGATCAAGGAGCCTAGGATTTGATTCCTAAATCAAGCAGAGTATTATTAGGATTTTTTGGTGTTTTCATAAATCCCTCATTAGGGAATAATAGCTAGAAGTTAGAAATTCTGCCCAGTCTACATATGGCCTAGGCTATTGCCACTTCTTATTAGGTACATGCACATTACACGATACAGACAACAGATTTTTTTTACTTACATTAGGTTAAGATCATTTTTGCTAGCAAGTAAGTCTGAAATAATATTTTTACCGACATAATATCTAATTATTATTAATTAAATTTTTTCTCCAGTCGACATGCAAAGGATTCCAATGTGGAGATGGCAAGTGCATCTCGTTCCTGTGGGTTTGCGACGGTGTTTACGATTGTCCAGATAAAAGCGATGAGTATGCTGAGGAGCTGTGCAGTAAGTCATACTTATACAAACATAATTATTCTTTGTGCTGAAGGGAAATCTTGATAAAATATTAAAGATAGAAATACGACTTACCCTTTCTAATACGGTAGTTTCCAACTAGTCAAATTCAATACTTTTATCCAAATGTCAAAAATTATACTTGTATCAATGAAATTTGTATGAAAAACTGAGTTATGGCGTCATAGTAGACTGAGTTATTGCGTCAAATAGCTTACTTGAGTATTTCGAAATAATTAGCTACAAAAACGAGTAAAACTTAGCGATAGCTTACTTAACGATCGATCGATGAATAAAAGTATAGATATTTTTCACTGTTTTATTGTATTGAAACGTCGAATATATTTATTTTTGACCTAGCTAGGAAACTACCGCATTTTCGGAATTCCGCAATCCCTTAATACTCAACTTTCTAATCCCCAAAAGGCTGACATACCATTTGCAACACCTCTGATATTGTGGGAGTCCATGGGTAGTGCCGATTTCGATTACCTGTTTTTTTTTGTCACGGGAAAATCATCCAATGACTTCTCCCGTCCAGAGTAAGGCGAGAGAGAGTGTCAGACTCTTACTGACTAAAAACCCCCCATTCCTTCTCCTGCTCTGGGCCGAGGTCGCGGTGCCTTATTGCGCTTACCCCGCAGCCTGCAGCCAGCAGGGCTTAACATCAGCCCTGATTTCGATTACATATTGGATAAAAAAAAATTCATCAAGAGCCCATAACATTCCATTTTTAGACCTAAAGAGACCACATTTACACAAGAGAAATACCACGATCTACATACTTTTCGCAAACTGGTTAAAGATCTTCAAATCTTATACGTCTAAGGATCAAGATAGAAATTAGCAGAGCCAATGCATTGTATCTGCTTATGAAGTATGTAGACAGCTTCGTATATCATATCTAGATTCCTCTACGCATGATGCCTAAGTATTCGTTGTAAATAGACATTTCGTTCGGCACCGAAAACCTGTTTCATCGTCATCACATCAGCGACAATACGTCCACTTTTGAACATAGTTTCTTCTGTCTTCTGTTTATTTGATCTTCTGATGGCTTTAAAACTAGCTAGGTGGATGTGACCTACGTATATTTCACTTCTTTTTAAAAGTCATATGCTTGAAGGGGTTTTGATAAAAAAATATCTTCTTTAAAAAGTGACTTTTTAAAAAGGACCAAAAACCAAACCGAAAACCGGAGGCCCAATCCTTCCCCTCCCCCAATCCCTCCTCAATCCCTAAATCTCCAAATCCCTTATCCCTAAAAGGTCGGCAACGCACTCGTAAATCCTCCGTTGCGGGTGTCCATGGGCGGCGCTGATTGCTTACCATCAGGTAATCCGTGTGCTCGTTTGCCGACCTATCACATAAAAAAAAAAATAAAGGAATAAAAATACGTTTTCTTCCTAAGGACACGTATCCCGTCCCCACGCAATTCTCGACGGCTCATATTGTCAGGAACTGCATACAATGGACGACCGGAACTACAAATGTCTGGACGCATCCTTTTGCCTGCCAAGCAGTATGATGTGTGATGGACTCCAAGACTGCCGCGATGGCAGCGATGAAGGACCTTTCTGCAAAAACTGTAAGTTTTATACTTGATTGGATTCTTGTTAATTAATGGCTTGGACTTTTTTCATTTCTTGGAAATTAAGATTCGAAAAACGTGCGGCGTGCCTACGACTTTAAATAGGCCGGCAACCCGCCTGTGGCTCCTATGGTGTTGCAGGTGTCCATGGGTGACACTGATGTTGCTGTGCCAAATTTCATCCAGATTTGTCCAGTCGTTTTGGCGTTATTGAGTAACAAACATCCGAACATCGTAACTATCGCATTTATAATATTAGCGAAAAGTAGAATAGATAGAAGTAGATTTGCTATCATGATAGGAAACGTGTGTTTTGTCGTGGTAGCCCGAAGGTTAAGGGCTCTCATGCATGAGAGTGCGGGTTCGAAACCTGTCAAGTCCCAATGTGACTTTTTCCTGGTCATATGTACTTTCTATGATTATTTAGACACCATTGATATACGGTGAAGAAAAACATTTTGGGAAAACCTGGACTTAAGTATAATTTCCAATTATAATTTTGGCATCACCAATTCGCATTGAGCATACGTGGTGATTAAAGTTCATACCTTCTCCGTGTGAGAAGAGGCCTTTGCTCAGCAGTGGGTACTTAAAGATATGGTGTGATATACAGGGAAAACGATGTGCGACAACTTCAAATGTATGGGCAATGACACGCGATGCTCCCCGGAGAGGTACGGGCCGACCTGTCTCTGTCTGCCGTCCCATTTCATGCGTCAGTACGACTACATCACCAAACAGTGCCAGGATGTCAACGAGTGCCTCATGGAGCACCCTCCTTGTTCCCACACATGTATCAATGCTGATGGCCACTACATCTGTGAATGCGACCCTGGATACAAAAGAGATGTGTATGGATATCTTTGTTACGCTACTGGTGAGTTCCTTGGTTTTTGGTTTTTGTGAAAATAAGATTTAACTTGGAGAGACGTATTTAATATGTGGTAGCTCTTGGCTTGGCAACTGACTGCTGTGTAATGTTTCACGGGTTCAATTGAAGACGATAAAACTTTGTGTGATCCACAAATTTTGTTTGGAACTGGGTGGCTTGTGTATGTAAATTTGTATGTTTGTAAACGCACTTACGATACAGGAGAAAAGCATAGGGTGGGGCAACATTTACATATCTATACTATAAACTATAATATTTTAAAGAGGTAAAATTTGTATGTAGGGGGTGATCTTTAGAACCGCTGGACGGATTGCCAAAAATCTTTCACTGATAGATAGCTACAATGTTCCAGAGTGCTATAGGCTATACAACATCCCGCTACGTTCAAATAGAACTGAGCAGCGTGAAACCGCGCGAGAGTAGCTAGTTTTAAATAATTGAAGATTTGGCGATTGATATCAATGAGCAAGCGAGTCGTATAAATATTGGTAATTATCAACATGGAGTCTACTACTGCTGCATATGGCATACTTAAATTAAATACATATCTATCTAAAAAACAGCGGGTGTAACATACCATTAAATTTAGCAAAGTTGCATTAAACAACTGGGATAAATAAAAGGATTAATGGTATGAATGTTTTCCATTTCTAGGTCCCGAAGCGATGCTCTTCTTCAATACCCGGAATGATATCAGATACTTGAAGATCAAGACCAAAGAAATGGTCACAGTGGCTACTGATATCAAAGAGGTCAGTTATTTAAGTAACCTTAGTTCTTTGTTATTATAGTTTTTTTTTAATCTTTATTTAAAAGAGCTTATTTGCAGTGACAAATATGACGCTCCGTATATAAATCAAAAATAAATTAAAATATTTAAAAAGAAGAATTAAGGCAAAGATGATCTCCGCCTTAGACCCTCTTTAACAAAACTAATAAATACTTTAACTCTTTCACACAGTGGAAGCGATAGAAAATATAGTTATTATTTATTAATTACTTGCGATGGCCACGGGTGCAATGCTAATACTAAATGTCTCCGCTGTTAAATGGATATTATTCACTCTCTGTATTAAACAAAACGCATCAAAATCCATTGCGTAGTTTTAAAGATTTAAGTACCTAAACATAGAAATGTAGGGACAGAGAAAGCTTTGTTTTATACTATGTAGTGATTTGTTAATATACTATAGGTGAAGATCAGGCCAGTAGGGCTATTCTGTAAATATCATCTCGAAATGATATTCATATAGGTACAGAATAGCCCTGCTGGCCAATGTGTTAATCATACCTATCAACATTCAACCAAATTGGTCTATCCGTTTTTACGTGAACGAATAACAAATATATATATCCATAAATTCTCGCAAACTATTACATTTATACTATTAGTGCGATAGTAGAATTAAGGTATCTATCCAATATTATTGTTCCAAGTTCTTTATGTTTAAGAAAGTTAAGCTCATGATATAAAACTTTGTCTGCAAGGGTCACGGTGTATCTTTCGATGGGACTTACATCTACTGGGTTGAGACAGCACAAGGTCATCAATCTATTTTCAAAGCGCAACTCGGAGACGTCAAAGATACAAAGGAGGTATGTCCAAAAAGCCCATTAAATTTGTTTTAAAATTGTGTTTTATCATCAACTAAGCGGCCCGTCCCTGCTTCGCGCGGGTAGCCTACCAACTAAACGGTGTAAGTAATTTTTTTTGTTAGCTATTAATTGCCACGTCATCAAAATTTCGATACGGATGCCATGTCCTGATATTTCCGTCAACTTTAAAAAGTTTCTTTCATAAGAAGCTTACTCACAACAATAACAAACACGACAAAAAGGATTAGCGCATTTGGTCCTTGGTCCAAGTATTGTCGAGTTAGGCGCTTATCAACACATTTTACAGTTCATTTCTGGTTACAGGTGCTCGTAGGTCTAGGTCTGGAGGACCCTGGAGACATAGCAGTGGACTATCTGGGCGGGAACATATACTTCAGTGATGCAGAAAGAGGGACCATCTCAGCTTGCAGGGTCGACGGTTCCATCTGCACCACAATCAAGACCGATACCAAAAACCCACGATTTGTCACACTTGATCCGAAGAATGGGTAAGTGTAGCTTACTCATAGGCCTGGTACGTTGTTGTCGTTTGGAGATTAAGATACCTGCTTCTCATGCTTTTTTTATTTTTATTTAATAGGTCGGCAAACGAGCAGATGGATTACCTGATGGTAAGCATTTAGCGCCGCCCATGGACACTCGCAACGGAGGAGTTACGAGTGCGTTGCCGACCTTCAAGGGATTAGGGATTTGGAGATTTAGGGATTTAGGAGGGATTGGGGGAGGGGAAGGATTGGGCCTCCGGAAACTCACTCACACCGCGAAACACAACGCTGTGGTTATTTCACGCCGCTTTCTGTGAGGCCGTGGTATCACTCCGGTGGAGCCGACCCATTCGTGCCGAAGCATGGCTCTCCCACACTTGCAAGTTTAAAGGTTCAAGTACCAATGTGACCTTTTCTAGTTACATGTATGTACTACCACTGACATACCGTGAAGGAAACATCGTGAGGGAACCTGGACTTATCTCTTATAAGTTTGAAATCGCCCAACCCACCTCGAGCAAGCACGGTGAATATTGCTCAAACTTTCTCCTTGTGAGAAGAGGCCTTTGCTTAGCAGTGATGATGATGTGTGATGTGACTCATAGGCCTGATCCCACTATGTTCCAGATTGTTTGGTTGGTTACCCAGGTTCACTTGGATGACCGTATTTTACATGGAGCCACTGGCACTCTTTGTTAGCCGCATCCGTATATATTTTTAACTTTGACAGAATCAAATAAACACAGACCATTTAAAGTAACAATAATATATTTGGAAGGAAAAAGACGCCCCAAGCATAGGACAAATCGGGGTTCAAGGGACGATCTCCAGCCACCGTAAGCACGGGCCTGCGGTCGGCCAGTAAGGGTAGCTCGCCACCCGACCAGAACCAGACCCGAGGTGCGTAGCGTTCCGCGCGCGCCTCAAAGAGCCAATAGACCACCACAGACGGGGCCCTAAGGGCTGATGTTCAGCCGGGGTTGCGGGGTAAGCGCAATGAGGCACTGCGACCTCGGCACAGGAGGAGAAGGAACAGGGGGGTTTTTAGTCAGTAAGAGTCTGACACTCCCTCCTGCCCGGTCCTGGGCGGGAGAAGTCATTTGATGATTTTCCCCTCGCAAAAAAAAGGACATAGGACAAATCCGTTGCGTAGTCAGATAATGTGGGAATAGAGAAAACGACTTTGTTTTATTTTTCACGAGTAAGATTTAAATCCAATTTAATCGTATCCTCCGCAGTAAGATGTACTGGGCGGACTGGCACGAGCGACCGGTGATAATGACGGCGCGGATGGACGGCAGCCGTCACGATGTGTTGGTGGACAGCTTGGAGAACTTCGCCACCGGCCTGGCCGTGGACGCGCCCAACGGCAGGCTGTACTTCGTCGATAAAACTGTCAAAGTCGTCATGATTACTGCTAAACACGTTTATGTGAGTTCTGGATTGTTTTTTTTTATATGATAAAAAGAATGAGGACACCCACCATCTGCTGTTATCAGCGACCAGCGCCATCAATAAAAACCAGAGCCGTTATTACTAGATAAGCCATTAGCAAAAGTAATTTTTGATGAGACTTTATTTCATTAGTGCTATGATATCAATTATGTTATAAAATGCTTAATTGCTGCAACAAGCCAACAGCGTGTGCTTACTATTGTAAACGACTAAAATTATCAATTTTTAGTTTCACTTTTTTTATGTACATTGTTTGGTTTTACCACAATTTAACGAGACATTTTTAGCTATAATAGCAATAGAGTAATTGCTGCGATTAGTGTATTCAGATCAGCTGGAAGTAAGCAGAAGAGAGTAAGAAAGGTGCATGTAATAGATAAACCAAAGTAGCTAAGTTTCATCTAACCGGGGTTGAGGGTCATGCGTAATAATGAACCGGAGCCCTGGCCTGGAGCAGAAGAAGGAAGAGTCTGACGCTCCTTCTCGCCTCACCTTAGGCGGGATAAGTCATTTCATGATCTTCCTCTCTCAAAAAAGCTAAGTTTATCTTTTTTTATGTAAAATAGATCGGCAAACGAGCTGACGGATTACCTGATGGTAAGCAATCAGCGCCGCCGATGGACGCGACGGAGGATTTACGAGTGCGTTGCCGACCTCTTAGGAATTAAGGTTTTGGAGATTAAGGGGTTGAGGAGGGATCGGGGGAGGGGAAGGATTGGGCCTCCGGTAACCTCACTCACACGGCGAAACACAACGCTGTGGTTGTTTCACGCCGGTTTTCTATGAGGCCGTTATCTAAGAAAATTATGAACCTTTGTTTCAGCCCTTATTTGAAGAGCCCTTCCACCATCCGTATTCCATCGCTGTGTTCGAGAACACAGTGTTCTGGAGTGACTGGACCTCCAACAGCATACAGACGACTGACAAATTGCACGGAACTGCGCAGAAGAGGAATGTTCTGCTCAAACTTGATACACCAGTCTTAGGTATGAGTAGATTCATAATGAGGGAGTATTTTTGTCATATCATATCTGTATCAGGTTCAGCCGTTTAGGAGTTGTATGTTACATTATACAACTAGCGATCCGCTAATTCCGTAAATTATTGTGTACATGTATTCTATTCTATTTATTTTATTATGCATTTTAACTAGTTTCTTTTATTTTAATTATTCTTCCTTTTATTTTATTGCACCGACCATATTCACACTGCATCTATGTGTCGGTGTGGACGTGAGGCCATTTTGGAAATGCATTAAACGTTACAGGAATGCACATGTACCACCCGGTGTTGATGAACACGTCATCGAACCCGTGCAGTAACAACAACTGCTCGCATCTCTGCTTCGTAACCTCCAACGCTACTCACGTCTGCGCCTGCCCCGACGGCATGGAGATTGAGAATAATCAGTGTCATCGTAAGTACTTGATCAATATTTTTTATGGGGATCTTAAATTAGCTGCCAGTACTTAGCTACTACTACGGCCTCACATTTATCACACACGGTTATCGGAGCCCCTCTTCCCCTCCCCTCTAACCTCAAATCGCCGAAACCAACACGATATTTAAAGATTGGGAAAGGATAGAGGGGGTGGTAGCCTCCGGTAACCTCACTCACACAGCGAAACACAACGCTGTGGTTGTTTCACCCCGGTTTTATGTGAGGCCGTGGTATCACTCCGGTCGGGCCGACCCATTCGCGCCGAAGCTTGGCTCTCCTACACTTACTTCTGGGGTTGCGGTTGTCCATGGGCGGCGCCGATTCCTTACCATCAGGTAATCTGTTTGCTTGTTTGCGTCCTATGAAATAAAAAATACCTTACCTTCGCGTAAGTGTTTTAATACTACACCCTAAAGGTTGATGTATGGGAGTTAATGAAAGACTCAAAGCACAGGCCGAAAACAAATCACAAGCCGATTCTAATACCAAAACCTATGGTGAAGCAAAACCTAACCAAAGATGATGTAACGCTAAAGAGTTTATTATACATACATATACCATGTCGTCAGACTAGCGATGGGCAACTCGAGTCAGACTGTATGCGAGTCATCCCGAGTCAATAGTTATATATCTGTAACCAGGGTTGAGTTGACCCGAAGAGAGCGCGTGAACTTAAATGTTATCATTATTTTGCGCTACATAAGTAGTAAACACTTTCAAGAATATTAAAGATTTTTGACTATAATTTCAATTCTTCCAATTTCACCATTAAAGCTAACAAACACAATTGCAAACAGATGTAGGCAACTACCGTGCGAAGTATTTGGTGGTTGGAAGTGGACAGTTGTTCACTAAGATCCAGTACGACGCGCTCGGCAACCCGGAGTGTCACGCGACGCACTTCGACATCGGACGCGTGCAGGCCATGGCGTATGATCGGTATAGAGGTAAGCGCTGATATATACAAAAATTGGACCATTTGTCTTTAAAACAAAATTCAAAATTGATTAGACAATTTATTTTAAGTTTTTAAGATATATCTTTGTAATTCGTTTTCAAAATCTGTTACACAATTTTGAGTCTTAAAGTTATACTTAGGTATGCATGGAAAATTAGGGTGGATTTCGTATTCAGAAACTCATATGAAACCAATTTTCAACATTAATATAACATCGTCAGCTCATTATAGCTTAGAACCTTGAGCTTACATTTTGTAGAGTGTAGTAGTCACTGGTTTCGTATTGGTCGCTTCGAATCTCACTTCACTTCGCAAGTGCGTCCGTGATGCAAGATCGAATGCGACGTGATGTGCGGGTTATTTTGCTGGTGAACTATGAGCTTATACTTATAAGATTCCGAGTTGTATACAGCATTTTTAAAGAATCATTATCAGAGAGCGTTTTTGTTTGTTTGTTTAGCAAGAGCAACATTTATAAGTTTACTGTGTAAATAATTGCTGAAAATTGTATTTTACATGAAACATGTCCTTTTTATGTACATGCAGTAACAGACTGTATGGAAGGGATTGGTCCCTTCCATACAGTCTGTTAGTGCGTGTAAAGTTAGTCGCAAATAAACAGTCTTGAAAACACATTTTAAATTACCAAAGTCCTGCTAAGCAACTTTCATCACATTAACACAGCCTTTCTTATGATTTGGTATTTGACAGATTCATTATTCATATACGACGGTCAGAGGAGGACCATCAATTACATAAACATGAGTGACTTCACTCTCGGCGTCACACACGTGTTGATCTACAACGGCCTGGAAAACGTCGTCGACATGGATTACGGTAAGTACCAATACGGCAGTTTCTAACAAAGTCAAAACCATTTATTCCAACTATAGTTTAGTTTGAACAAAAAGGCACTTTTGAAACGTCAAAATAGAATATGGTCTGTCAGTCAGTTCGTCAGTGAAGCTAAATGCTCAAAATTAGTCAAATTCAATACTTTTATCTAAATGGACGTCCACATCTTTCACTGACGAATGGAGATGTTTGCTTATGGCCACAGTTTGATGCATAAGAGAGAATCTGCTCCTAACTTCGACGTGTTACCTTGCGATGAACTTTGACAACCAATAAAATTTATGTAGCTATTTCTCAAAAAAAACTGAGTGAGATTAATTTGCCTGGAAATGTTCAACCAAATGTATTTGTCATCTCTTTTTTTATTCTGTCACTGTTCCCCTTATCTCTGTCTGTTGCTTTCTTACTTTCTCACCCTCCTACCTCTTGATCACTCCTTCCTCCTATCGCTTATTCTCCTACTATTTAGTTCCCTGACCTTCACTCTCTCTTCCTTTTTGATTCTTTCTCTCTCTTCCTCTGCTGGTCATATATGCAAGATCTCTTTTATGCTTTACAGCCTCTTTTATCAATATGTAACATGCTTCGGTATCATAATTCAAAGTCCCCAACAGTAAATGGATTTCAGGCAAGGTGATGTAGATGATAAATAAATAATGATTTAACTTTTCCATTCAGATTACGTGACGGATAATCTGTACGTGTTGGACGCGAGTCGTCGTGTCGTGGAAGCTGTGTCTTTGAGGACGCAAAAGCGCGCCATAGTGCATCGATTCGAAATTCAAGAAATGCCTATTAGCTTCTGCTTGCTTTCGGACTACGGGTGAGTGTGACATGTAATGAATAATGCCAATGGTCTGTAACTCTCAGCTGTATTCCAAATTTTTCGAATATTTTTCTGCAATAATGCCTCATCTAGTCTCGCGACTCTGGTGTTCTCTGCGTTTTCTCGTTCGCCAAGACGTCTGCAAATTAGCGATTTTTTATGCGCTTATATAGAAATGAGCAGTCTGTTTACCTATTGATAAGCAATCAATTCCATCCATTAACGCCCGTCGTCTTCTCTAAGTGCTATTAAGTAATATTACCATACCTTACGGTCTTGATAAGTTTAGAAAATGAATGAAAAAAATTTCGTGTCACAACTCACAATATTAGTTACCTTAATCCTCCGAAATGGCTTTACTGATTTTTACCAATTATAATATGCATACTCAGTAGGTCTAAGCATCGGTTAGTGTCTAAGTTCCATACCCCTAAGTGTTAAAAAATTTATATGGCAAAAGCGTTTGCCGGGTCAGCTAGTACCTTTGTTCTTACTCCGTGGCTAGTACTTATATCATATTATTTACATTGCAGGAGAATGTTAGTGGCGGTAGTGGAGAGTGAGATGCACAACACCATACACGTGGATAGCATCGGACTCGACGGAAGCCAACGGAGACACGTCATCATGAACAATTTGAAAGGTAAAATCCCCTTTATGTTTATTGCGAACAAGGTTTAAAATCGTTTCCAATATGTATTTGTTGACTGAAGAACTTGTATAATTGACGATTACTTTCAATATTGATGGAGTCTCTATCGAAGCAACTAAAACAACCACACATCATCATCAGTCTATAAGTGGCTACTGCTGAGCAAAGGACTCTTTTCACACGGAGAAAGTTTAAGCATTAATCGCCGCGCATGCTCTAGGCGGATTGGCTATTTCAAACTCATTATTAGAAATTATAATTTCAGGTTGTTTTAAAATATGACCCTGAAAAAACCAGATTAGGACCCAATCTTCTAATGTACGAGAAGCGGGCGCCTGAATCTTCACTACGACGTTGATATTGAAACCCAACTAAAATATTATTGCTAAAAACTTTTTTCAATAAAACTTCCTAAGATTTTATTTTCTAAGTGGTTTGTGTTACATGCAGGTCCCCACGTTCGCCTGCGATACGTGCCGGAAAGGGAACAGGTGTTCATATCTGACGAGAGCAACGGCATCATCGATTACATTCATCCCGAAGGTAGGAGACTTTATCAAAATACCAAAACCGTCAACGTAAATATGTTGAGTCTTTTTTTACTGTGGCAAGGTATGTAGAAATTGAATCGAGCGCTACTTTGCGGAAATCCATACAAAAACATCTAATTTTAATTCTAAAGCTACTATGGAGAAGATTTTGCAGAAAACGATAAGAGGCAATGTCCACCTGGCCGTAAATAAAAGCACATGAGGCACACGTTGTCAAAAAACAAAAATATCAGAGAGCTGAAATTTAACGGATCGATATAGAAAAACCGTTCCTTCCCCAGCTTCCAAATCATTGCGCTTGCGTTAACAGATGAACATGGACCGATATTCATCCGGGGATAAATTTACTTTAACTGACCTTACATATTGTATTTTTTTTTGTGAGGGGAAAATCATCTAATTACTCCTCCTGGCCAGGGTCGGGCGGGAGGGAGTGTCAGACTCTTACTGACTAAAAACCCCCCTGTTCCTTCTCCTGCTCTGGGCCGAGGTCGCGGTGCCGGTAAACCCCGGCTGAACATCAGCCCTATAGGGCCCCGTCTGTGGTGGTCTATTGGCTCTTTGAGGCGCGCGGAACACTACGCGCCGTAGGCTCGGGGACTTTGTACCACCATTTGAAACGTTTAGTTTTGGTATGTACAATTCAATGTTTATATAGGTACCGGGCGAGAGAATTATCGGGAGCTCACCTCGACTGTAACCAGCCTTGCCATAGCAGACAACTACGTCTTCTGGACAGACCGAAAGACCCCCAGGCTCTTCTGGTCTGACATACACGAGGCTTCACCGAAGATAAGGAGGATTGATCTAGGTTAGATTCTTAGCTTACGTCTTAAACTTCGTTCATATGACGTAAGATTGGTTGATATTTAAGAATTTAACAGTATAATCTTTGTAACGTTTTTCTTCTTTGTTCTTTTTTCCTTAGTGTTTGTCAGTTCTGAACTTTAATCAGAATTACTACTTCTATGTATCTTCATGAATGAAAAGTAGATTTGAATGACACAAAATGGCCCTGTGCCCTGATCCTAGGCTGCATGTGTTTTAAATATATTTTAGTCACTTAGAAAAACATTTAAAATATTTTGTTTTTTTACAGCACTTTTCCCGAATACAACACAGCTCCTAATCCAAGCAACGAACTCGTTGCCTGATCCAAAAGATCCCCTTCTGAACCACCCCTGTCTGAAGAATCCATGTTCTGACGTCTGCGTCCAACTTCCCCATGACACCCCACAGGATCATCCGAAAATAGCAAATTTTGAAATGGGATATAAATGTTTATGTCCCCCTGGGTTACTGGTAGATGGTAACCAGTGCATCAAACCTGTGACATGTGGTTCGGATGAGATACTCTGCCATAAGAGCAATGTTTGTGTGAAGCAAGATGCCCGGTGTGATGGAAAGGCGGACTGTCCGAAGAAAGAAGATGAGGAAGGTTGTATAGGTATGTAGTAACTAAAATTATACACAAAAATGTAAAAGTCGTTTTACTATTATGCTACGACTTTGCTACGATGAGCTACGGCGTAGCATTTTGCTACAAACTTTATCATACTTTATTAGGTTGTCATTTGTTATTGGATCCATTTGCTGAAAGCTAGAACGTTCCCAGTTACAAGTACAACTCACATAGCTTAAGGTTCAAATAATCCGTTTAAGTAAGTTGAAAATTAAATAAAAAGCAACTGCTACGACAATGTAGCGAAAATGCTACGCCGTAGCACAAACGCTACGACTTTCAGTACAATAATTAATATGTGGTTTTTAATTACCTACATTTCAGTGGATCCCGCAAACATATGTTCAACAGACGAGATATTCTGTAACGGTTTATGCATAAACAAGGACAAAGCCACGATGTGTTCTTCGGCTGAGAAACCTAACAGGGGTTAGTAAAGGTTTACATTATTTGTCATTTCTAGAACTTTCTTATATGTAGTTTCATCACTCACACCTTGATGTTTCTAACTTGATACTGCCTTAGTTGTGTGTAAGTAGTAAATTGCAAAATCAATATAGACTTCGGACAAGTACTTATTTTCAGATGTCCATCCCTATGTTTAAACTAAGAACTGTTTTTTCAATAGTCAGATAAATGTTATCTAAGGAATAAAACTGTTGCTGTCTCTGTCTTATACAAACATTCTGACGCGACAGGATCATAGTTATTCCCCAGGTAACTTTTATCCAACCTTTGCAAAATCAGCCCTAAGTAGTCAATATGCTATTCAGACTGATCTGACTAGACTGCGTTAATTGCAAATAATTTCTACATTAATGCGATTGAAACATTATTGTGTTTAGCCCTCTATTTAGTTAGTAAGTTCGGGTCGTTTAGAGCGCCAAACGACATTATAATATGTCGATCGTGTGTGTCGTGTCCGTTAAACAAATTTGCACCAGTCATTTTGGGTGACTGGACGCTGAACGACATCTCGTGTTTTTTCAATTCTTCCGCAGTCATAAACTCTTATTAGTTGTTCTCAGTCTAGGTGTACCTACATCTGCAAACGAGCTGACGCATTATCTGACGGTAAGCAAGCAGGCGCCAACCATGGTCATCCGCAACACCAGAGGACCCGAAAGTGCGGTGATTGCCTTGATGAGTTATAGAGTTTTGGGGATTTAGGGGCTGCGGAGGGATGAGTGGTAAGGAAGAGTTGGGCCTCCAGTAACCTCGCTTACACGGTGGAATACAACTCTGTGGTTGTTTGTATCTCTCCGGTCGAGCCAGCCATTATTGTGATTGTAAGCGCTAACTTCAACGTCTTGTTACTATAATCTTCTGTTCCCCTTTCAGAACTACCTTCATCGGCATGCAGCAGCACAGAATTCCAGTGCACGGACTCCTCAATCTGCATCTCCCGGTCGCAGCTATGTGACCAGCACGTTGACTGTCCTAATGGGTCGGATGAACAACTCTCAGAGTGTGACACCTACTCTTGTCATGAAACTGAGTTCATGTGAGTATTGGTATAAAAATATACTTATTATGCAATAATAAGTATCTACAGAGATGGTCTTATTGCCTTAAGCATTCTATCACAGATATTTTTTTTATTGACGATGATAATTAAGATGCCTTGATTATTCCTAGATGAATAGAAAATGTAAAATCACTCGTCTTTTTGGTCTACTTGCGAGAAGACCAAAAAGACCGAAAGACCACATTCGGTCAGACAGTAAAGATATTATTATTATTGTTTTTTGTTCTTTATTATTTGTTAATAGAATAATAAATCAATCAGCATATGTATATTGAATGCTTTTTCTTTGGGCCAAAATATTTAAATTATTGTCCAGGTGTGCGTCCGGCTCGTGTATAGTAAAAACGTGGACGTGCGATGGAGACCGCGACTGTAACGATGGGTCTGATGAAATTAACTGCGGTAAGTTTAATATACATTTCAATAATGGATCTCAGCGAATAACGATAGATCCCACCTTTCTTCCATCCCTCCGCAATTTCTAAGTCTCCGAAACCCTGATTCCCAAAAGGCCAACAATACATGGGCGGCGGCGATTGTTACAAGTAATCGTAATTCATTTACTCGTTTACCGAACTTCCACATTAAATAATGATAAAATAAAATCCATAAATAAAAAATATTTTCTGCCTTCACAGTAAACATGACTTGCGGCCCAGGCTTTTATCAGTGCAGGAATAGGGAGTGTGTAGAGCTATCTAAGAGGTGTGATGGACACCGGGACTGTACAGATTACTCCGACGAAGAGGACTGTGATGAACCTCAAATTATTGAGACGGTAAGAGCTTAATTTTTAACTAGTACCTTTTATCTTTTTTGTCCAGAAATCATTGTTTTATTCATAACTAGCTACTCTCACGCGGTTTCACCCGCTGCTTGGCTTCATTTGATCTTAACGTGATGTTTTATAGCCTATAGCACTCAGGAACATTGTAGCTATCTATCAGTAAAAGAATTTTGGCAATCCGACCAGCAAAATTTAAACCAGGTTCCGAAAATTACCCCCTACATACAAACTTACAAACATAAAAATTTTACCTCTTTGTATCAAGAGAGTCTAAACACGACCGTATTTCTTTCAATTAGTTACGTTAAGAGCTTTGCTTCACATATTTATTATGTTTTTTTTTGCTTTTGGTGTACCATTTCATTATAGCCTAACAAATCCATTATCTTATGTTCATTACATCATCCATTTTGTGCGCATCATTTACAGGTAGAAGCTCCGAAATGTGCTGCTTGGGAGTATACTTGTGAAAAGAACACTAGTATTTGCTTGCCACAAACGGCTCGGTTAGAACTGCTTACTGCTATATTGTGGCGTCTCATTAACCATAATTAACCAAAATCGAAATCTTTTATTTGCTTGATAACTAATCTGTACGGTGATTGTTGGATAGGCAATTATAACAAGGAAAACGTGTGCAATGTGTAGGGCCTTCATTAGGCCTTTAATTCATTTGATGATTCTCCCCTCACAAAAAAAGTACTCACAATATTATGCGTGCTTGCCCTCTGCATTAAGGATTGGAGTGTCGAATTGTCGTTCGTGTCGGATAAAGGCTTTGGTTCAGCAGTGGGCATCATGATGACCAATTGAGTAAAAGATATCAGTACCTAGATTCCGCAACTTGCGTTATTGTTAATCCCATAACAAGATAGAAAGAATACTTATCAAAAAAGAGTGCATGATGTACTAAATTTTATTTTGTGGTGATAAGGTGGTGTAAGGGTGGTGGTTATTTGTGTCAATATGTAGATTTAGAAAATGAATTGACATTGACATTGTGGGAATCCTATGTAAAGAAGGCCCTGAAGTGTAATTCTGTAAGACTTCATTCTAAACTTCGAATCTGAATCCGCCGTACACTATACTAGCGCTACACTTGCGAGTTGAACTAAATTGACGCAACATTTTGATAGATAAAGTATGAGATGACCTGAGATGACGTTAAAAGTGGCATTCTATAATGTTATTTCCCCGTCACTCGACGCTCACTTCACTCTCGAACAAGACTGAAAATCAAATCAATCGAATCGACGTGCTTGCCCATTAACAAGTGTTAAATTCATATCCATATCAATATTATATGATATTGCCTTCCATAATACATTGAAAGTGGAAAGGGCAATTTAAAATTGCCACAATTTTGGACCAGCTGACACAGCAAGCTAACAGAAGAGAAGAAGGCATTTTATGATGTTGATATAGTATTTAGTTATTAGAGTAGCTAGCGTATACAATATTTCGCTGACTAAATTAGGTACTTTATTTTATGCATTAAAGACCCAACTCGTTAGTTCATAAACTACCAGGTTGGAGGCGAAAATCTCGTTAGTGAATAAACGATAAAAACAATTAAAAACTATTACTAGAAAAAGAAGTTAGAAGCTATAACGTAAATGTTTAAGTATAAATAAATCAAACATGAACAAATACTCACTCGTCTTCTAATATTTATTGTACATTTTCGCAAATTGTCGAATTTTGTTTTGTGCCACTATTTCATCGAATTGGGTCATGGACTTTCTGGTCATGGACTTGTTAACTCTTCAAAACTGGTTCAATGTCTTTTCTTAGATGCAATATGAAGACGGATTGTCCGGGTGGCACAGATGAACATGGCTGCGACTTACGCTGTGCCCCGAAAGGGATGTTTGCGTGTGGCCAACAAGTAACCTGTATCACTATGAACAAGGTCTGCAATGGCCACCTGGACTGCGGTGATGGCTCCGACGAGACACCTGACGCTTGTTCTCGGGGTAAGAAGCTTATATTTATTTGTTTCATTAATATTTTTATGTTCTTTTGTCAACTGTTAGTAAGTTTGGTATTCTTCTAAATTGAGACCAAAGCAACAATTGCACGAACATTTATATTATGTATGAAGATAATTGTATGATCATTTTTCTCGGTCATGTCTATGCTAGGTCAAAGTTACTAATTAAAAATTGATTTTTGGGTGTAATGTTAAAAGAATCTCAAGTGGTCTCATTGGTTGTAGCGCGATATTTTGTAGCTTAAAGCTTTCTTCGATAAATGGACTATTTCACACAAAAAGCATTATTCAATTACCAGTCGTTCCGGAGAAAAGCGCGTTTCAACATACAAACTTTTTAGTTTTATAATCATCACACATCATTAGCCTATAAGTGACCTCCGCTGAGCAAACGCCTCTTCTCACATTGAGAAGTTCTGAGCATTAATCGCTACGCTTGCTCAAAGTGGATTGGCAATTTTCAAGCCTATAATTAGAAATTATGGGTCCAGGTTTCCTCCCACTGTTTCTGTTCACCGTATGTCAGTAGCGTCTAAATTATCATAGAAAGGACATATAACTCGGAAAATGTCTTATTTGTCTTAGCCAGGTTTGAAATATGCACCTCCATGTAGGTAAGTGGGCCTTAACCTCCGGGCCACCACGATGTTCTTTTCTTATAAATAAAAATTGGTTTATTTTAATTCCAGTGAACAGGACCTCGCACTTATTCCCTGTAGCTCGTACACTCAGTGAGTGTACCGAAGGCTATAAATGCAACAACGGGCAGTGTATCGAATGGTCACAGGTGTGTGACAAAAAGAGGGACTGCATAGATGGAACAGATGAAAACGGAGTCTGTGGTAAGAACACATGGTTAAAATTACATTATTCTAGATATTATGATTTCCGACATCGTCATTTCGGTTGTATCGATCTGTAGATTAGGTACCGAAAACTTAACATATTTACCCCGTCTAGTTTGTATAAAGTAGTAACCAAATTCCTTGAGAATTGGTACTGTACTTTTGCTACTCGTTGCTGAATTACTGTGTTAAGATTTGTCTTAAGTCTACACGCCTTTAAGGCCGTAAAAACGTTACATTCTAAAACCGATTCCTCATTAACGGTTGGGTGTAAAGATTGAAAAATATATATGTTTACTGTAGTTTCCTGTACTACAATATGAGTAAATTTGATTTTCTTATGACAAATAGTTATGCTGTAAAAAAATGTTTATCAACACGCTATTTTGTTCAAATAAATACCTATTCCTTCTAAATGGCTTGGCTTATTTAATTTTTTTAAATTTTACTACAAAGTGGGCAGCACTCATTTAAATCAGTCAATATTTTACAAAGGATATGTTATATTTTTGCGATTTCCAAATACGTATAAAAAGCGGGCGAACGCAGCCCGCGCCAGTCGTGCGTTAGCATGCTCAAGGATATTGTGGGTACTATACGCCTTAATGGGGTCGGGACAGACGCTACCGTCCCGTGTCCTGACAGACGGGACTCTTCGGAACCCTACTCTGAGCGTAGCCCGATACACTCTTGGCCGGTTTTGCCCAAGAGTGTATCGTATAAGTATTTCTATTAGAACATTATGACGTCACAAGTTGCGATTTTATTCAAAACTAGCGGCCCGCCCCCGCTTCGCACGGGTCCAACGATCTCGCTATCAAAGGGTCACTTCTTCCCAATCTTCCCCCCTACTTTTCTAATATTTTCTTTGATAAGAACCTTCTCCTGACAATAACAAACGCAACAAAAAAAGAATTAGCAAAATTTGTCCAGGCGTTGTTGAGTTATGCGCTTACCAACACATTTTGCGATCCATTTTTATATATAAAGAAGATTTATAGCAAAGTATCGTGAATCGGAATCGTAACCGCATTGTATGTTTTCACGTATCGTAAAACAAGTGCACACTGTAGTACTAACAAAAAATCTAGTTTCTTTCGATGGAGAATTTTATGAACACATTTTTTAAGTTCCCATTCTTCTCGCTTTTCAGAAACTGCATGCGCAAACAACACGTGTACGTTCACGTGTCAGCCCACACCATTCGGGCGTCGCTGTCTCTGCCCCTTCGGCTTCCAGCCGTCCAAGGATCAGTTCTCATGCGAGGACATCGATGAGTGCACTGAAGATGTCTGCTCCCAAGGATGTATCAACGTTCCGGGATCATTCCTGTGCTGGTGCCATCATGGTTATGCCATCAGGAGGTAAGAAGTAATTCTTCCATAGAAATTTCCTTAGGTACGAGTCATATTTTTAATGGAACAGAGTGCCACCTGATGGTAACCAATCAGCGTTGTTTATTTTATTATTATTTATTTATTATACATATACTTTATTGTACACCACATAGTTACACAGGATAACTTAACACATTGAGTGTACAGCCTTAGTGCTTGTGCAGACGATATGAGATAGCACGGCAAACGAGAAGGCTGATTACCTAATGGTAAGCAACAAGCACCACCAAGGGACACTCGCAACACCAAAAGAAGTACGTGTACCTACGTTGTCTTGCCTTTTGGGGTTTTGGAGATCTAGTGTTTGTGGGAGAGAACGGATTGGGGCTCGGGTAACCTCACTCACACGGCGAAACACAACGCCGTGGGGTTGCTTCACGCGGGTTTTCTATGAGGCCAAGGTGGAAACCGGCCCATTCGTGCCGAAGCATGGCTCACTCACACTCAAAATATGTTTGATTTATGGTCATCACCATCCTATTCATCATCAGGTCAGACCGTCGTTCCTGCAAGGCGATACGAGGCAACATGTCCATCTTATACGTGTCGGGTAACTCCGTACGCTCAATCTCAGCGGACGGGTATGGGGCTATCGAGTACACCGATACGGAAATCTCGACCATCACTGATATGGATTATAATGTTCGGTGAGTTATCTTCCCAAATTCATGAGGTATAATTTATCTTTAATTCTAATGGCAGGAGGGGTAGTTTCCAACCGGTCAAATTCATAACTTTTTCCGAAATGTCAAAAAAGTCAGAAATAGCACGCTAACATCATAATCTTTTATCGTCAAATATCTCAAATATTGTACTTAACATTACTTATCAATACATATACATTCTTAACATTAGTTATAGTTAAAAACTAATGTTAGCAAGTACATCGTAAAATTTTGAATGAAGGTATGATTATTTTGTAGTATTTTTATGGTTTTATAGGTTGACATAATATATTTTTTTGGGATGAGGAACCCACCCCATGACTAGTCTAAAATGAAAATTCACGAAAAAGCCTCGTTGCCTGATGTGGGCGTTCAGCGCTTAGTAGCAGAATTGAGCAACTCAATAGGCACCAAAATTATAGCTATCTTGTTTATTTGCAAATGTAAGCTGTCACTACAGAACTCTACAAATGGAAAAATGTCGCGGTCGTGACGTCTGTATGTGTATACCTACAAATTATCGGTCGTACGGCTGTCTTGCTAACCTTACTTAAGCTAGCAAGTATTATTAGGAATTTTATGAAAATTATATAATAATCACAGACAGAAGAAGCTGTACGTGGCGTCCGAAGAGGGTGGCAAGTTGTTAGAAGTGAACGAAACGCAGAATGTCATCGCAGTTACAAACGTTGGGAAACCGTCGCGGGTAACGTATTGAACCATTGTTTTAACACATTGTTTTAAAACAAACACACGCCCGTTTCAGAAAGGCTTGTCAACACTTAAATTAACTAACCTCCTGTTAAATCTCTTGTCAAGTCACAAGTCGACTTGGATGAAGCTTTAATAAAATTTTAAACATCAGCCTTTTTTCTCGTGGATTTCAAAACATTTGACTTAACAAGAGATTAAATTGATTTTATTTTAACATTGATCGGCCTTTCGAAAACCGGGTGATAATCTTGGAAACTGGAAAATACCCTAACCGAAACTATCGGATATCGATATAAAATAATATCTATAACCGTAATCGAATCCGAAACAAAAGTTTCGTAATAATTATTATCGCAGCCTAATTGCTACGTACGTTGATAATTCCATTTTATTAGCTACTGATATTTTACATCTGAAATTCCATAAAAATCTAATATCCGTAATCGATAATATTCGGAACTAAGTATAGGTAAACTTGCTTAATTCGTACCTGCGCCTAAATCGTACCTCGTCTATATCTCGGTATGGGCAATAGTTTCCTATTGTTAAAATGTACTCTGTGGGCAATAGTTACCAGCGCCTCTGATGGCATAAAATGTCAATAATAGTCGGCCAGATTGCCATATGACAAATAAACACCTGTTACGTTGCCCCCGACAAAAATATTGAACGGGTAAGATTTTTCTCACTTTTTGAGTAATTTTTTTGCATACTTTACAAGAACTGTCTTCCAAGTATACCGTTCATAAGTTGTTTTACTGTTTATTATATATTTATACGTATATTAGTGAATATGTTTCACATGGTAAAGCCGGCTTGTTCGTTGACAGTTTTTTTTTGCGGCTAATTTGAAATTCGTTTGATACTTGTGCCTAATTCGTACTCGCAGCAACTTCTTAAAACGTACGTACGTACGATTTAGGAAAACAATGTTTAATATCACAGTAAATATTAATTACTTACTTGATTATTTTTTAGTTTGTGTTTTCATTTAATAAAACTAAAAAAAACATTATTTTATCCAGTAATTGTGAAGTATGGGTACATGAGCTATGTGCAAGACGAGTTAAAAAAACTAAATTTTATTACTGCGATGACTTTCAAGATTTGGAAAAGATCATCCGCTGTATTAATAAGAATTAGGTAATCTAGGTACATTAAGATTAAAAATAGTAGAAAATTATTAAGATTGTGATTTTTAAGACTGTAAAACAATGATAGGATCTCAAAGTACGATTTAAGAATATACTGGTACGATTTAAGATCAATGGTCTTAAATCGTCCTTTTTTTAAGTTTTTGAAAATTGTTTATTTCTCAGAAGTTTATAAGATTTATGTTATTTTTTATCGGAATACTAATAGAACATTAGTTTAATTATAACTACTTAATATAAATAACTGTGTACCATTGTTCATTTTCAAAATATTCGAGGTTCTCCTTAAGTGGTACGAATTAGGCCAGTTTACCCTACTAAATATTGAGACGGATGCTGAGCCGTGTTTTTTTTTAAAAAAAAACATCTTATTTGATTGTATTGGTTGATTGAACTTTGTAGTTGTGTATTACAGTGTAATTTAATACTTTGTGTCTGCACACGTTGTAATTGTAATGTTTACAATAGCTTAAAAGTGGGGACCTGTAATTGGCTGCGTGTTACATAATTTGTTTTAAATTTAATAAACAATAAAATAATGCTGTTGGTCGTCCAAATAATAAATAAATAAAACTAACGGATGATCCGAATAAAATACATATCTGTATCCGGATCCGAATCCGGAATAATTATTATCTGTATATTCGTATCCAATCCGTATTCAACATTTCATATCCCTTTACCCTTTTGACCGCCATGGTCAGCTAGCAGCATGGCCAATCGCTAATGTCGAGCATAGCCGACGGAAAACGTTATAAGGGGTCATCCATAAAGTACGTTACACGTAAAGAAAGGTGGGGGGGTCGACAAAATGTGACATGGTGTGACAAGGGGCAAAAGGGGTCCTAGCTTTCGTGACATCAAATTTCAAAATCTTACACATATATCTAAATGTAGTACTAATGGCATAATTTGGAATATTAATCAAACTAGAAAATATTTTCGACTCATCTTTAACAAAACACGATTTTTAATTGTTTTATGGACGAGTTCATAACCGATCTAGTGACAGTCGCCGATCGTGGACGAGCCCTTTGACGAATGCTGCCAATCGCACCATACCTCACGTGATACGTACTTTACGAATGGCCCCTAATGAAGTATATTTGGTTTGTTGGCTGTAACCAGCCATGGTAGTCAAAGGGATAACCATCTTTTGGTATACTTCATCTTAGGTGGCAGTGGACTGGGTGACGGGCAACGTGTACTTCGTCGACACGACGCCGTTGGACAAGCGCATTCGAGTTTGCCATGTCAAGAGGAAACGCTGCGCTTCCCTGATAAAACTACCGTCTGATGCCACGGTATGTTCACTTTTAATAATAATAATAATCCCATATTTTTAACACATTCAGTGCCACCAACTCGCCCAGAGAGTCCACGTAAATTTTATTCCAGCGCCGTGGACTTGTAAAATGTACGAGAATGTTGTGAAAGACGTGGTGGTAATGACTGTTAAAATTCCTTATAATCCACAAGAGGCCGGCAACGCACTTGTAGTAACTGCTTTGGTATTGCGAGTATCTATGGGCGTTCGGCGGCACTGATTGCTTACCACCAGGTAAATCGCCTGCTCGTTTGCCCACCTATGATATAAAAAAAATGAAGTTTGAATTTATACAAGACAAGCGTTTGCCTTTATCAATGTATACGACTGTTGTTAATACAGGTCATCGTGCTTGTCATTTCGTTTTATTAAGTCCAAAAATCTCCCATCTTGGTCATGATTAAAATATTCTCAATTTCGCATAATTTCCTGTAAGTAAGTATAACTTAATATCCGAGCCGAACCTTCTTCGACAACAATTTAATTTTTTTTTTCATCTACTTTATATTAAACAAACGCTCTGTCTATTGCAATACAAAAAAAATTCCTTGACAATGTTATTAAGAGCTATTGATTTCTTCTTGTTCAGGTGACAGCGTTTATAGTAGAGCCTAGTTCCAGCCGCATGTTCTATTGCATCACTCGGAAGCTAGAGTCAGTGATCTGGACAGCTAACCTGGCCGGCAGACACGTAACCGATCTGGCTACAGTGCGGAATTGCACTGGTCTGGCAGCAGACTCATTCAAGCAGAAGCTGTACGTCGCAGAGACAGGACCAGCGCATATTATCAGGATGGACTATGAAGGGGAGAATTTGTAAGTTGTTTATTTTAGTAAATAAGATACTCCTATCCTACCTAGAGAATGATTAAAATGTGTGAGTGAGGTTACCGGAGGCCCAATCCCTCCCATTCTCCCTATTCCTTCCTAATTCTTAAATATACGCAACCATTATCCCAAAAAGGCCGATAACGCACTCGTAACTCCTTTGATCATCAGAATTACCTGATGGCTAATGACCAAGCAGATTACCGCATGTTCATTAGCCAACCCATCGCTTAAATCAATATTACGTAAGTATAAAAAAACTATAATAAGGCCTAATAAGGTCTGTAACTCTTTTGAATTACTTTTCCGTTTCCATCTGTGTTGTCTGACAAGAAGGAATTACTCGTAAAACAATCCTTGGCTCAATTATTGACAGTGATTTACTCTTTCCAGTAACAAGATTCTCTCCGATCATCCACGTCTGCAAGCACCGCACGGCCTAGAAATTTTCGAAGACTACATTTACTATCTGGAAGCGAACTCATTCCGTCTGAGCCGCTGCCAACTCTATGGCTCCAAGCATTGTGAGACCTACGTATACCGTGTGTTTGACGCCAACACATTTGTCATACGCCATGAGAGCATCCAACGGGATGACTTGCTCAATGACTGTGATGATGTAGTTTGTGACAACATTTGCGCGATGGACGAAGATGGGCCCAAATGTCTGTGCAATGATGGCGCCTTGGCGAAGGGAGGGAAGTGTCCTGAGGTGGATAAGAAATTGGTAAGAGCTTTTTTTGAGGTGGGCATGTAATATTGGAAACTTTTACAACAAAAAATTGATTTTATGTGCAATTTGAGATTGACTGCATGGTTGGGCAACTGGCTGCCGCGCAATGGGTACGATTCCCGCACGGAGCAATTCTTTGTGTGATCCACAAATTGTTCCGGGTCTGGGTGTGATGTGTATTTGGAATTGTATGCCTGTATACGCACCCAAGATACAGGAAAAAATCCCAGTGTGGGGCAACGCAAAAAATAACCTCCTCCTTGCGTCGCATTCCTCACTATAGAGGGTTGTGACCATCTTTTGCATCACATTCTCTCGCACAATTTTTATCCATCCTATTCTGTCGCTGCCGGTGCGAGAGCATTGTAAATTGCAATTTAAATAAGCACAAAATACTTGCCAGTTTGCAAAACTTTGTTGTAGTTATTCGACTTTTGTTAACAATTTAGACAAACGGTTACTTATACAACACTTTATATATGAATTTAAACGACACCAGGATGTCCAAATGAAAAGCATCTGTAGCGAAAACCTTAACACCGATCTTCGTTTTGTAAAAATGTTTAAGCTCATCATTATTTCATGTAACAGGTGCCATTATTCAACGGCTGGTCGTACGAAGAGCTGGCATCAGCCCACAGCGTTTCTTTCACCATCATAATCGGAGTCCTGATCCTGATTGCCATCTACCTCGGCGTCTTTGTGTACTACCACTTCGTGTACTTACCCAGGAAGAGAATGTTAGCGACCCCTTATACTGAGTGAGTAGAAATTTTGTTTACCTCTTCTTTGTATCGCGTTGAAAATTTTTAAGGGCCACCCACCACCCTCAGGGAAGTGCGTAGGGTACTATCAGACTAAAAACCAACCCGGAGTTCGTCAATCTCATCTTGCTAATATAATAAATGCGAAAGTTGCGATGTTTGGATAAACATCGCAACTTTCGCATTAACTTTTCGCATAATTTTCGCATATAATATTTAGTTTGGATAGCTGGACGGATCTGGACGAAATTTGGCACAGGTATAGGATATACTCCGGAATAGGACAAAAGCTACTTTTTATTAACATACTACGCGGGCCCAGCCGCGTACTTAAGCTAGTTATCAATACGTCGAAAGGGGCGGGCATCGCCGAAACATAAACATTCGTCTCGATCCCCCGACGGGTTGCAACGAATTGGCCCGCTAGGTAGAAGCCCCAAAGACCAGTTAAGCGAAGATAGCTCAAACAACGGGAAATCAACAAAGACCAACTTTGTGAGATGGAAATTAATTCTCGAATTATTATTTTCAGAGTACGGTTCCAGAACACGCATAATTCGCCTTATCCGGAATCAGATCCCACAGTGGAATTGCACCCCTCAAGGTATCTACCTTAGTTAAAAGTTTTAAACCATTATAAAAAATCTAGACAAAAAAAAGACAAAACAGTGGACTAACGATTTGACTTTTTTAAAATAAGAACGAATGACATATTTATTATAGGGTATTATTTATTTTATTTATTTGACAATAAATTAAAATTAATTGAATGTTGTGTATTTTTTTTTCTTCCTATAAAACCCATGATTGATTATTGTTTATGATTTAACTATAACTATTTTTATTTCCTCAGTTCGGTTTCACACGAGTTCATAAACCCTCTTCAGTACGTAAGAAACATGTGGTATGGGCCCTTTAAGAAAGATAGACGACCAAATGTAAGTTTAAAAACACCAGTTTGAATTAAAAATGACCACAGACCACAGGTTATTTAGGGACAATTGACTACCAGAAAGGTAGTCATTGTCATGTGTCCGACTGATACTGAATTTTCGCCCACAATTGAAATCGTAGTTTTGCACACTATTTGACGTAGGTAGTAAAAAAACTCTATGAAAACGGAGGGAAATAGAAATATCGAACTTGCAAGGAACTTGAAATGTCAGTCAAAGCGAGGATAAAATGATTTGATGTTGGCTAAAAATCCAGTTTCAGTAGACACTTTAGGAACTTTCTTATTCTAGTATTACTTACATTATTAATCACACAATTCATGTTATTTTCGAATTTAAGTATTTTTTTTAATAGTAGGTATAAGGTAAAGGTGTAATTTGTTACAGAACATCTCTGGTCTACCGGTCACCACGGCCGCGTCCCCGCCGCAACCAGATTTCTCCGATACAGAATCAGACTTAGATGATAAGGAGAGTCAGAGAATCTTAAAATATAATTAATTTTATTCAATCTGAGTCTACAAAATATAATTTTAATTTTTAATCTGTAGCACGTTTTTTTATACATTAATGAACAATGAAAGACTTGAAATTTTGATCAAGCCAAGGATTAATTTTAATTGTTTTTATTATTTTAATTTGTATGTTTTAATGAGTTAATTATTATGATTATGTGTAATTAAAATAATAAGTATGTGTTTTATATTATGAAAGTACCTATAAAATGTATAAAGTTTAATTTATTGAAATTTCAATTTTCTAATGATTTTTCAAAGTCCACTCATTTGGTAACAGTGGCTATGTATTTTATTAATACAAGTATCTACTCTTTCAGATTTTAATTATATCAACACCCTGTTTTATCGCTTATTAATATCGGGAAAGTGTCTAATCGCAATTTATTGACCATATTAAGCTCGTCTACATAATGCTATTTTTTAATCTATCTTTTACGAAATATAAAAAAATGAATGGACTATGAATACTGAAATCACTCGTTAATTAATGAAACTACTTATAATTTATGAATTTCTTCGATTTGCAGAGTTGTATCTACTTTTACCAATCAATAAATTGGTGTACCGCTCAGTAAGTAATTAATACTTATTTCAATAAAAGTATGTACGTGGAATTGTTTTTTGGTCTTTTTTCACATTTGACCTCTGACCTTGTTTTGGGCAAAACAAACACGATCTCCGGCCACCGTAAGCGCGGGTCTGCAAACGGCGAGTAAGGGTAGCTCGCCGGCCGACCTGCCAGCGTGCGCCTCTATGAGCCACAGATGGGGCCCTATAGGGCTGATGTTCAGCTGGGGTTGCGGGGTAAGCGCAATGAGGCACCGCGACCTCGGCCCAGAGCAGGAGAAGACTCTTACTGACTAAAAAATAATCCGTTCCTTCTGTTGCCCCTGGCCGCCGTCTCATTAGAGCCACCCGGTACCAACAACTACGCACCGACTCGCGCTTATTAGTCTAGGCAAGCGCCCACTACATCAACTCCATAGCGTTATTCGTTACCAGATCGTCTCGGTTTTAAGCCCTTCACGCGCGGACGGCGGGTGGACCTCTCGATGACAACTCGATGCTCGAACGCTTGCCTTGCGTTGCTAACGCGCAATTGGACGCGCGCGTTCCGATTGGACCGCTCGCTGCCTTAGTGCCGATTATTAACAGACTACCTATGTACTCGAAAATTCGTGAACCAAGTGACGTCCACTCGTTGACCCTCGGCGTTCTCGTTGACCGCAGGATGAATGGTGATAACGCAACGTCCACCCGTGGACTTCCTGTCGACAACGAGTGAGCCGTACGACGAGGCGGTGCAGTTTGAGTGCCGGATGGCTCTAATGAGCTGTGGCCCTCATTGCGCTTGTTTATTCCTATATATCCTATATGATACATCCTATGCAAAGTTGACGGTATAGTTGACGCGGTGGCTGGGCAAGCGGCTACCGTGTCGCAAATAAATGTACAATACAATTTCTTAACAAATGCGTAAAAATAAAAGAGACAAAGGCGAAGTACCGAAAAATATGCGATAGGTACTTAGTTTTTTTAATCTCGCTCTGAAAGTCCATACAAGTCATGTTCAAAAAGATACGTGGTATGTACTAATAGTGATGTTCCCCTCCCATAGTTATGTTGCTCCTTGATTGCATCAAGTTAAATATGAACACTCATTTTATATTTGTACTTTTTAAGATAAAGGTGGCTAATCACTTACAGCTACTTTTGTATAATTTATAATAAAATATTTTGTCATTTATTATGAATTGGTGTTGAGGAATATCATAGAACACAACAAATATAGACCAATGAATGAATGAGATGGCAAAGACCATTATGCATTTACCATAGACAACCACTGTGGCGTCGTTCGAGCGGATATTGTTTATGATCGACATTTTCTAAATCTTTAGAAAATTTTGATTCGCGACGTATTTTTTATCAAAATTGCGTCTAATTAGTTGATATTTTATGCAAACATTAGTGCATTTAGTACGTTTTCTGAAATTGAATTAAATTCACACCAAACTGTGGCGTATGAACGTTATGTGTATGCCAATAAGGCTAAAGTTTTTTTCGCGACCATTATAGCGGGAAATCTACGTTGTGACGCGCACAAACCGAGATTATTCGTCCCGAGCACTGGCGGAGTGTCGTAACAGCACGGTTATGTGGCCATATATATTTTGACAGTGGACTCGTGATAAAAATTGTTTTATTTGACAATGTCTGAGGAAATGGCGGTGTCTGATAACACAACTGGGGATGAAGCTAAAGTTAGCAACGATGAGCAAACAGCGGCACCTGTGGCGGAGCCCGAGGAGGTAGCAACAGGAGCGCCGAGCGAGCCTGTTGCTCCTGTTGTTGAGGTGCCCCCAATGATGGAAGAAGGTAAAATAAAAACTTTCACATAACCTAAATGCCAACATCACGATATTTATTCACAATTGACCAGTACTTTTTCACTTTTATTCGTTCTAAGCTGCAGTTGCAACCATTGTGTTGCATATTGAGGTCAAATATGTTCACTTTCGTTGCTATTTTAGTTGTACAGAGTTAGTTTGCTTGTGTCTAGCTCATTAGTTATCAATACAGACTATAAACAGCATAACTCAGTGTCAATTAGATAGTAATTAAGAGATGCAGACACTAATATGTTTTGTAATACTGAAGCGAACTCATTTTATTATCATATCAAAATGCATTTTCATCTTGGAATCGATGGACATAAGTTGGTGACATCATCACAGTACTTGGGGCATTATGACCTTTATGATTTGTTTGAATTACACGGATAATTATAATGCAAATTCTTACCATAATACCATTTCATTTCAGATATTTTTAATAACTATGCCATTGATTGCAACCCACATAGTTTGTAATCCAATGGATGCAATACTTACTTTCTCCATCGATTAACTGTACAAAGTGTATAAACATTATTGTTAGCATGATTTTAACATTCTGTATTAACCAAAAAAATATTATTGTTTTCTATTACAACATCTCTCGCTCATTCCTAATGACCATAAATATTTTATGGGCTCTGATCACCCTTTTAGTAAACACAATACTTAATGCTATATTATTAAATAATGTTTTAATAGTACCTAAATTGCAAACTCTTTTGTTTTTCCAAATATTTAAATCAAATTATAAACTTTTATGATTTTTCGATTACTATTTTCCGAGAATCTGTTTATTATCTATAGTTATTCTAACTGACAACCATTGTCATGCTTACTTTTTTAACAATTAACTATTCTATGAAATAAAAACATTGATTTATTTCCATCAAACATGACAAAATCTGCAACTTGAATGACAAGGTTCAGAAGCTAATTTGGATTTTTTTTCCACTTTTACTTATTTATTGGTGTATTGTGTAGTATATTGCTAACTTTAGATCAGCAATAGTTTTACTCACATATAGTAATGTTAAAATGAATATATGAGCATACAGAGTTAGTATTAAATTACAAAACTAATAATAGAGAAGAAACAAGTTATACAAGGATCCATTACATTTCTCAGTAGGAAGATCCATTTATTAAGATTTTTATTTTCTACATTCTGCTGTTTTTTTCAAAGCCATTTATATTAGACTAGCTACTCTCCCGTGGTTTTACCCGCTGCTTGGCTCCATTTGATTGTAGCGTGATGTTTTATAGCCTATAGCACTCAGGAACATTGTAGCTATCTATCAGTGAAAGGATTTTGGAAATCCAACCAGCAGTTCCAAAGATTACCCCCTACATACAAACTTACAAATTGTACCTCTTCATAATATTAGTATATAAAACTGCACAAAATCATTAATTGACTTCACTTACTTTGGGCATATTAATAGCACTTAAATCCACAACCCGGAATATTGAGATAATTTAGAATATATTGAGAACATTATATTTTTGCATAAAAAGATTGAAAGATGACATATTTTGCACTTTTTGTGCATATTCTGATAATATATAAGTATTATTGTATATTTATGGTGTTTTCCTTCATGTAGAAGAAGGATAACTGTGAAATAGTTGTATTTGTGTTCCTCATTATAATTTTCATATCTCTGCTATTAATCATGGACTATACATATATTAGCCAACCATAGTGATATTATATTTATCATTAACAATAAAATATCAATATTATTGTTTTGTGCAAGATAATACCTTTGAGTTATTTAATTACATTTATACATAATGTTAAAAAATACTTTTAAATTTGGAAAATATGCTAAAAAAATCCCTTTCCCGGACATGACTCATCTTTATTTACTTATAATACCAATGATGAGAATACTAACTGTTTAACTAATTATTGCACTAATATACCTTCGGCCAACATATGCTATTACTTAATTATTAGACTTAATTTGACATTTGATTTCAGATGCCCCGGAACCTGAAATAGAACCAAAGAATGATGAGAAAGAAGAAAAACCTGAGGTTAAAATGGAACCATTGACCGAGGAGGTAGATTTACCATTGGACTCTGTGCATACTGAAGTGGACCTCAAGAAGGAGGAACTGGACGATGTGAAAGATGAATTTGAGACCTTTGAACATAATATTGAGGAGGATATTAAGCGAGGGATTAAACGGAGAGCCTCATCAGCTTTCAGTGACAATGGGGATGAAGATTTTAAAGGCTTTGATGACATCAAAATTGAAGTCAAGACTGAGGACTATAGTCGGGTTTTGGGTGAGTTTAAATGAAGCTTTTTCTCGATAATAAGTTAGAAAAAGTTACCTTTAGAAAAGGAACAATTTTATGTAACATGTCAAATATTTTCTTTTATAATACTGCAGATAGTTCCTCATATGGTCACTTATGTATGCAATCAATATCAAAAATAATACAGTTAATATATACTTGTTTCTCTTCTACAAACCATAAATCTAACTTTTAATGGATTGAATAATGTATTACTTGCAGAACGCCTGGAAGCAGAGGTGACAGAAGCAAGCAAGGACCTGGTACCAATAAGGACTGTGATGGCTGCCCCTGCCAGAGCTTCAAAGCGACCACGCAAAGATACTGGTAAGTCACTTGGTATCTTTACAGCTTCCTTTTATATTTAACCTTATAGCTTTTTTTCCTTTTGTTATTATTTTTGTTTTTTATTTTTCTATGTTTGAAATATAATGACATTTTATTTAGAATACTGTAAGCCTAACTCTCGAATTGGGAAACTTCTGTAATGTTGGTGTAGGAAGATTTAATAAATAAATATTGATTGAGGATGTTTAGCAGAAATAGTTATAAAGCAATTCAATAGAAGTTTAACTTGGATATGGTGAACCTGTATTAGAGTATAAGTTAATGCATTGCAAATGTATGTAGGCATTTTGTGAGGTTCTTTAGATAAAAAACATAATTAGATTGAATAGTAAAACTGATTGAAAAAGAGTAACCATGGAGTTTCTTGCTTGTTCTTCTCCATAGGAATCTACACTTTGGAACGAGCAAATAGCTTCACTAGAGGACAGACTGACACGCTTAAAGTTAAAGCTCTTGGAATACTTTTTCCTTTTTTTTGCTTGACTTTCGCAAATGCCTACTGTGGTCTAATTGAAATAAATGATTTTGACTTTGAATTTCTTTTGTTTGTGTGTGTATGAAAAAGTACTTGCTAAACATACATCCCACATTTCCTTTATTATTTTATGTTTACATTTTCATAATCAGATTCATTTGTACATTTGTAGTGTAACAATCATTTTTGCAATGGACACCTTGAAAGTAATTATACGCTGTCTTACCAATGTCGAAATTCCCTTAAATCTAGACAATGTCTACTAATTGCTTTATAATTGGGGTTTGAAAACTAGCTGCTATAACTTGAATTGCAATTTGTATTAAAATTTGTTAATTGAAAGTGCTACATCCTTTACATAGAAAATTGCAAAAAAAACTCATTAATTAGATTGTTAAAAAACAAATAGTGAACCTTAAAACTTTTGATAGTGTTATCTAACACTGTCATATTATGTTAAAACATTGTAACATTTATACATATATTATTACTATGAAACTCACACATTTTTGAAAAGTGAGCCATACAAAATTGATTGAAAATAACGACTCAGTTCTTCTACTTTTATTTATGTGATAAGTCGGCAAACGAGCAGACGGTTTACCTGATGGTAAGCAATCAGCGCCGCCCATGGACACCTGCAACAACAGAGGAGTTACGAGTGCGTTGCCGACCTTTTAGGGATTAGGTATTTGGGAGATTTAGGGATTGGGGAGGAGAAGGATTGGACCTCCGGTAACCTCACTCACACGGCGAAATACAACGCTGTGGTTGTTTCACGACGGTTTCTGTGAGGCAGTTAATGGTCACAATGGGAGTCTGACTGAGTGACTTGAAAATAGTAGAACTTTTCTCAGTTAAATAACGTAAGTCGTTATTTGAAAAAAAATTGATAACTCACACATTTTAAAGTAATTGCAGATCATACATATTCACCGAAAGTTTCTTTTTACAGATGGATCCAGGCCATCGTCAGCGCTGTCTTCAAGATCTGATGAAGGAGGAACCACTGATGTGAGTGCTCAGAATTCTCATTATATTGCTTTTACTAATACACGCAAAGTCCTCTGTTGAATAAGATCCTCTTTTTTATCCTATTACTGTATTACGCATTTCATGGACATCATGTGCCACTCAAAATAACTTATTTGTACTCAAAAGAATTTTGATATAGCTCCATAAAAACAATGATTCTATTTCTGATACCCAAATCTAGTGTCAGATTGTTTGAGGAGATCATTCATACAAAAACTACTACTAACTTCAAATGTATGTATAATCCGGTAGTTTCCAACTAGTCAAATTCAATACTTTTATCCAAACGTCAAAAACGATACTTTTCTATGAAATTTGTATGAAAAACTGAGCTATGACGTCATAACTTTTTTGCGTTAAATAGCTTACTTATTTCGTAATAATAAGCTAAAAAAAATCTAAAAATTAGTGTATCGATCGATTGATGAATAAAAGTATAGTTATTTTTCAATATTTTATTGTATTGAAACGTCGAAATAATTTATTTTTGACCTAGGAAACTACCCAATTCATCAACAATTAGCTAATTGGATGTTTTGTAAAATATATTACAAAATACACTATATCTGTCTTCATCTCATAAAAGGAGGGTCTGTTCATTTAGAAGACAAACGCTTCAGAAGGTGCCTACATCTTTGCTCGATTTTGTTGATTAATTAGACCACTAGACGGCGCTACTGTCGATTAAAATCCGCTAAGTCCAATTGATTGATTACTAAATGTTAGAATGGACTTTAGTTTATTAGTACTTAGTTGTTTTAGTTTGACTTACAGTTAATAGTTTAGCATAATTTTTTATAAGCTCTCCTCCCTTTCTATCCTCGATCCCCAAATCCCTAAACCCCATAAAAGATCGGCATCGCATTTGGAGTAACTCCTATAGAATTAGGAGTGTCCATGGGCGGCGCCGATTCCTTAACCATGAAAAAGTCATAGGCCTTATACATATATGATCCTGCTTAGGCAATGGGAATGAGAAGCCAATTCATTCATACTCAGATTTTTCACTAGTTGCTATTGCCATCATCAATTTTTCTCGGATTTATTTCAAGTCTGCCCCACAAAAAATACTTATTTATAATTTTTTTTGCTCTTTTATCCAGCTACTTTTCTTTTTACAAATTAAGACGTCGGCAAGTATCGAGCAAATCCTGTAGGCACTATGGTTTACTAACAACACTTTAAACGTATTTTTTTTTATCTAGCCAGCATTCAAAATTGAGGTTCAAATCAAACGAGGAAAGGTTAGGACCGACATTTCTTATTTGCATGAATGTAGCTGGGAAATGGTGTATACTTTTCTAACAAATAATAATATTATAGATAAAGTATGTATGCACAATGCCTCGAAAAAGTCTTTCCTACCTCATAAGCTATCGCCTATTAATGCTACAGTTCAGTTAGTATGGCTATCAAGATGTCGATATTTGGTTTAGATCGCCTGTCAAATTAATTGCTAAAAACTTTTAACAAAAAAAACGGCTTTTTGTAGACTTATTTCATTTTTTATTTGCCTACAAGCTGCCTAATAATATATATTTAGAAACCTTTGAAGCTGAACTAGTTTCTAATGAAGTTATTAGCTATATTTTCATGAGGTGATGGAACTATAAAGACTAGGACTAGTAGATTTGAAATTTATGGTACAAATGATACAACATTGTAGATTTGTTTCAACTCTTTGGTCAGACCATTAAGGAGTTTTAATATAATGCATGAGGTGTAATAGAATTAATGGGATCTTATGGTTGCATGTTACTTCGTTAAGTAATATGTTAACGAATAGAGGCGTAAATAAAATCTATTTTTAGTTATTACTGAAGCCATTATGGTAGTCATTTGTTTTGCATTTGATGTTATTTGGCTTATGTGATAATGAACGTGGCTTTTTCGGGATTTCGCAAGAATTCAATTTTCATAAGTGCTTATGAACAGTTAAAAAATAGGTCATTCACATGTTTAGGATAAACAAGTTTTTAATAAAGAATAATTTTGACTGTATGGTTGACACAGTGGCCAGTTGCCCGGCCACTGTGCCGGCTGACGCTTTGGCTGCTGTACAAAGCGTCGTGGGTTCGATTCCCACACTGAACAACATTATGTGATCCATAAATTGTTGTTTCGGCTCTGCGTGGCTTGTGAATGTGAATTTGTATTTTTTAAACCAGACAAAGAAAAAAATCCTAGTATGGGGCGCATATATTCCAATTTAATTTTGTACTTAGTTTTACTTGATAAAGTAAAATAAAATACAATAGACAATATTCTGAAATAACTTCACATTACAACTAACATCCCCTACCATTTTCCCCAAAATCAGGTTAGTGCGGCATCATCACCTGCGCATCGTGGTGGACGACGCTCCACCATTGAGATGTCGTCGCCCCTACTACGAGTGCCACTCGAGCGCGGCTGGAAACGTGAGCTCGTGTACAGAGCTGCGCTGGACGCTCACTCGAGGCGAAATGCCGACATCTATTACTATACGCCTTATGGAAAGAAATTGAGATCTACTAGAGAGGTATTTTTTTAACGTTACCTAGCAAATAAAGTATTCATTCATTCGTTTATACGTAACTGAGTAAGTGATATTTCTGTGTGGGTATAATATTAACAAATATACATATGCTTGACAGGTAGCAGAACATTTGGCTGGTACCGGACTAACAGTGGAGAACTTCTCATTCTTCAAAGAACCACTTGGCGTTGATGATCCTGAAAAGGAAATTATCAGGTAAATTATTTGTGTTCGTGTTTTATATGGTTTTGTACAATTACGTTCCTGGTGTTTTATATGTGACAAATGCAGTCAGCACAGAGATTACAAATAAAATATCATAAATTAAGTAATAGCTCCGGAAAAGATGGCAAGACGATCTAGGCGTTTATCGTCAAGACTGGTGGACACGGTCGAAAGATCGAAAGAGGTGTGGAACCGAGATGGGGAGGCCTTTGCCCAGTAGTGGGACTTTATAGGCTAGGAAAGAATAATTAAGTTATGCAAGTCAGCGATTTAGTAACATCTTAGAAATGTAACACCTCCCCCCTTTAGAACGAAACATATTTTTGAGCACATACAGTGCTTGGATACCATCGAGGACCCTTAAGGAAAGACTATTAAAATCTTTGTCGACGTTTGATCTTTACAGAGACGCCAAACTTATACGTCGCGTGGACTCTCCGATAGCGGCCACGGTGCCGCCGACACAGGTGGAAGGCAAAAGGACTCCCAAACCGAAGGCCCCTAAAGGAGCCAGCCCTGAACCTGTGACCCCTGCTTCCACTGCCACCACTACTACATCTGCCGGTGCCGCGAATAAATCTCCTCCAGCCAAGCTTAAGGTAAACTAATATGCTTTAGTAGCAACTTTAAATACTATTTTTTTCTATTCTATCTAATATTACATATAAAAAATTATTGCCACTTCTAGTTGCAATGTTACTCAACAATGCCTTTATCAATTTGGCTAATCTTGTTCTTGAATTATTTGTGGAAACCCCGAGAAGGTTTTTATCTAGAGAAAATTCTAAAAAATTTTTTTTAAAATTCGTATTTTATTAACTTACTGTTGTTTACCTGTATATTTTTATAATGTATCGTATAATACCAACGTGCCTACATTATATGCCGAATACAAAACTTGTAATGTCACCTTCTTTAAACGAATCCTATGTCGAAATTACAGCTGAAAAACTACATGAAAACTTAATAAACACTATTTCCAAACCCCAGGTCAAGTCAATGGGCTCCCGTCTAAGCAACACCGCAGCTCCTGCGACACCAACCCCACCAGCAAAGCAACAGAAAAAACCGCAACCAGCAGAGCAAAAGCCGCAACCGGCGCAACAACCAGCAACAACACCTAGTAATACCGACAACAACAACACAGCTGCCTGGAAGAAACCGAGGTACTTGATACATTTGTTTAAATATTTGTTTTAGTGATGTAAACAAAATAAATTGACGGACCATAGACAAAATGGTTGAGAGTTACAGACTATTTAAGTACTTGGTCACTATCCTCCTACTTATTACAAAACAAGATTTCTCTTTAGTCTCTTAAACCAATGAGTCAGGTTTTGAATTTTAAATCTTATTCTCATCTACCTTCAATACAAAATACCAAAACTTGCTCAATGGTGTAGCCCTAGACTAAAGAAAAACCGTGTTTTGTAATAAGGCTGTATAGGTTTTTGAAAGGTCTAAATAATTAATTTTGACATACTGATAGCGGAATGCGCGGACTTGGATTTTTGTTTAATTACTTTACACATTTGGTTTTTCTTACTGTTAAAAAATATATAAAGTTCCTCATTCACTAACCTTTTTTCTTCATTGGGAACATTTTTGCTTTTGTCTAAAGAAAAAGATGTCACTACACCGCATTTAGGTCTATGCTTCCCCAATTAATTTTGTTTACATTATCATCTAAAAGTTTTTAACCAAAATGTAGTATGTAAGCGCGGTTTCAAAATAACGTCGTTCCGATACGGTTAAAAGTATAAAAAAACGTTTGATACATTCCTTTACAGTGCGTTAGGATAGTTATACGTTAATATTTATGTTATGTACGTGTCTTTCTGTTATTTTCTTGTAATAAAACCTTGATCACTGATTTTGTAATCAGTTTTCAACTATTTTTCTATGTTATATGTGTTATATATTGTCAATTGTTATATAATCCATGCTATATTTTTGATTCCTGTTACTTTCTGACTAGTCTCATTAACCTTTCTGTTATTTAGTATGGATACAAGACAATATATTTATCCTTACGCTGGACAAACTGTGCTAAAATTCTATTTCTACTGGTCTTTGCCGACAGATAGGTCATTGAGACTGACTGTTAATAAATACAATTATTGATTTTATATACGATAAGTTTCGAGGTTGATCAATGCAAAATATACCTTACTCTGATTTAGAAAAGGTTTATTTTGTAATAAAATTATGAAGTAGATGTTAGCCTTGTTGAGTGATGTTAAGCGTGGATTATATAACGGTACCGTGACGTGCCGGGGGGTTGATTGTGTGGCTGCAATGAGCCCCCCCGGTGGGTACTGAGCGGAGGCGAGTGTAGTGCGGTCCCGGGCAGGCCGCAGCCCGCGCCGCCGCCGCAGCCCCGCGCCGCGCCCCCGCCCGCAGACCCGCCCGCTACCGTGAGTATTGTATCATTCCATATACCTCTACCACTTAGTACATTCACTACTTTAAGTACTTTGCAAATTAAATATTGAGTTTGTAATTAAAACAAATGCTGTTCTTTGTATTTCTAACTACGCCAAAGTATGTTACTAGTCCCAGATTAATTGGTTTACCTATATGTTTGTCTTACATACTAGAAACAAATCACAAGGAAAATTCATTTATATATTTTGCACTTCCTATCTACAATATCCTAGTCAATTAAGAGAAGTGTTTTATACCACGTAGACATATTGGATATGTAAGGCTCACCGGCTTGACAACTCACTATGTAAAACATTAATTAATTTATGTCCAAATTCGATCAATATGAATCCAAAATGTTTTTACAAAGACCGCTGGGAGCCCCTGGATGTAGGCTGCTTCCACCAACTTATGTGAAAGTCATCAGTTAAAAAAGATTTAAAATAAAGAGCATTTCATTTTAACAGTAAGACTATACGGAAAACCTCAATTCAAAATAAGAGAACTATATCGGCCGTTATAATTGTAAAGGAATTACTATTTTGTAGAGCTATAAAGCTCAATCCTTCTTCATGTTAGAAGAGGTCTTTGGTCAGCAGTGGGCACTTATAGGCCGGGCGTAATATGGTGAGTTGGCATGCTAGAGTATTCTGGTAGCAGGGTATTAAGTATGTGTATGCAGGCGGAGTCGGGGCGCGTGGTGCAGCCATGCAGCATGTCGTGCGGGCGCGGCGCCGTGCCGTCGCTGGCCTGCGCCGCCTGTCTGTGTCTCTACCATCCTGTCTGCGTCGGGTACACGCACGCCCAGCCGCCCGACCCCTTCTTGTGCAAGGTAATTCAATATACAATTGAATATAAAATATTCTCTATTCTCCACTATCAGCACAAAGAGTGCAAAAGGCTGTCTAAGCAATCTCTTCTAGACAACCTTTTTTATACCTATTGGTAAGGTAATTTATGCGAATTGATTAATTTAATTTTAAAGTCATAATCTATACTAAATAAAGAGGTAAAATTTATAAGTTTGTATTTAGGCGATAATGTTTGGAACCGGTGGTCGGATTGCCAAAATTCTTTCACTGATACATAGCTACAATGTTCCTGAGTGTAATAGGCTATAAAACATTACGCTTCGATCAAATGAAGCCGAACAGCGGATGAAACCGCGCGAGAGAAGCTAGTGTATTAAAATCTAAAAATTTAGGGGTGACAACATTACCACATTAGCACTTATTAGCTGGAGCTATTTCGATCACTTAAGATTTGTAAATGTAAACTAGTAAATTTTTTACACTATTTTGAAATAAGTTTCTTAATCAAAGCTACTTAGATCTATATCACCATTTATTTTCCTGCAGAATTGTCGGAAATCAACATCGCCGCCGCCTCGAGGTGATCCACCGCCTCTGACCCACAAGTCCGGTATAACGACGTCCAGTTTACCGATACCTGTGCCGGTACCCGTGCCCGTGCCTGTACTCGCGCCCGTGCCCAGGCGCGTGCCAGTACCTGTGCCCATACCCGTACCTGCCAAAGTGCCCAGGGATAAACGCGTGCTACTGCGGATGAAGGTAGGTTAATAAATATTAATTATGTATGCTAATATTGATTTATTTACGCTATTTCAACATTACAATAAATTATTACATTGCAATAAATATATTCAGTATAGTATTGAGTATAAATATTTCTCCTTGTTAAATGTTTACTTAAGTAGTTCTTGCTGAATTTTAACTTAAAACAAAAAAATAGGGTTCGCTAACAGTAATTTCAACAATAATAGACACAGAAACTAGCAAACGGCCATGTAAATTTCAAAGTAGAAGGCATGTTATTATTATTTTGAAAAAGACAGTCAAATAATACCTGCCTTTTTCTCAGGTGGCGGGTGGCACTCCAGATGGAGAGCGAGTATGGGCCGTGGCAGGGGCGGGCCCAGGCCCCATGCAGGCGGCCGCAGCCCCGGGTCCCGTGGCGGCGCCCCCTGCGGCCGCGCCCGCAGCGACTCCGCCCCCGGCGGTGCCCCCCGCACTGGCCAGCCGGGCGCACGCACCCCACGCCGCACTCCCCCAGAGCCTGGCCGTCCTCAATGGCCGCCGCTTCGTCGTCGTCCCTCGCAGCATGGTGCAACCCGCAGCTAAATGATACCTTCTTACTTTCTATTTACATTTGTCTGCGTCTCTGCCCACAGTACGAGGCGCGATGCTATGCTCTACACTACATACACGATATCATTACAAGTAGCTTAGATGGACTTAAAATTAATAAATACAGAATTATTACAAGGGATTTATAATTAGTAATTAGGATTAAGTATGCATTTTTCAAAGTCCAGGCTGGTATTTGACATAGAAATTGCATATTTTCAAGTAAGAATTTTGACGTTTTAACATCTTTTTTTTTGTTGAAGTATGAAGTTGGAAAGGTTTTATTTCAAAGTTTTATTTGTCAATTTCACAGCATGTTGAAATTTATTTTTATTTTCCAAGCATGCACTATATTGTACCTACATCAATGTGTAAGATTGCCTAACTAATTATTGGAAATTTATTTTCACACACAGTCTATCAATAAGTAACAAAATAGTTATAGACTACAAACTATATCATGGGAAGAAAGACCTCGACAAATTCATTGACACACTGACAATGATAAGTTTCTCATTGTTATCTTATATATCAAAAAAATATTGAAGTAAAATGATTTAGAAACTACCACTTTACACAACCGTAACACAAAGTATTGGTCAACTTGGAAATAGACTAGGCTATCCTTTATATAAAATCCATAGGCATTTATTTGTTATACCATCTATCGGCCTGATTAGGCAATTCATAAATATTAAATAGAAAAACAAGAAAAGTTAAGGTTAAAAGCATTTATAATTTAAATAGGTAAGTAGAATTACATTATTACGCTGATTCTGCCACAGTGCCTAAATGTTAGTTCGCACGTAATTATTTATAATAAGAATAAAAAATACCAGTAAACGTTTCGAATCACAATTTAGTTTTAAAACAATGTTACAAGTATCTCTATCTCTTACCGTATTTTAAGAGTGAGGGAGATGTAACATGATCTGTGTTTTATGCCCTGTTTCCGAAAGCCCGATGAATGTTAAAATCAACTAACTAGATGACAAATCTCTTGTCAAGTCATCTGATTGGTTGTTGATAATTCAGTCAACCAATCAGATGACTCGAAAAGAAATTAATTTGATTTCAACATTGATCGGCCTGTCGGAAACCGGGTGTTAGTGTATAATTTGACGGGAATCTTTGTACCGCTCAGTTGTAGGGAAAGGGAGCGTATATCTTTACAATATGGTTAATATTCTCTAGGGCGTATGTTATACGTAGTTTTAGAAAGGCTGATACATATATAATATAAATTGTGAAGAACTATTTTGGTTGTTAAATGGTAACAGTCTATATAATAAATTTGACGTGGCAAAGCTATGCTTAATAATTGAAGTCGTCACAGAAAACCGGCGTAAAACAACGTGGGCGTTTTCGCAAGTGAATGAGTTTACAGAATTTTAATATCGTTTTGATATCGGCCTTTTGGAAACTATAACTACAATATAATATGATAAGTAGGTAGAAGTTTATATAATTATAAGACTGTGAACATTGAATACAATAGCTTTACAATAAGGTTTACACAAATCTACCACAGGAATACAAGTTAACCCTTAATAGAGTCAGTAGATTGCGCAAGCGCAACGTGTACCTCGGCCCCGGCAGGAGGGAACAGGTTTTTAATCAGTAAGAGTCTGACACTCCCTCTCGCCCCACAACAGGTAAAACCTTCATTTCAACTGAAAACTACTTAATATTATAAGGCTGTTTGTTGGCTTAAACGCGTGAATCCTCGTTACGACTACGATTTAAACAATGAATTGTTTATGTATAGGATAATCCATTTATAATATAGAAGAAGGCTAAACATCACGCTAATTTAAATTAATGTAGCAGAAACCGTGCGAAATAGCTATTAATATTACATATACACAGAGCTATGAAACAGGAATACCGACATTGCGTAGTATCATTGAAAGTTTTTGAATAGTAACTATTGTGAGACACAAAATCTATTGAAAGTAACGTCTGTATGTGTCAGTTGCGGAAGCAACGTCGCCGTGACGAGCACGGTGCTCATGAATAAGAGTCCCGTTGTAACTTCAAACTTGTATACTTATACTTTTTAAACTTGTATACTTATTAAGGGTTAACTAAAACTTTAGTGAAAACAGGTGCTAAACTATACAGTATGTCGAAAAATTACATTACAAATAACTACGAGTAAATTCATTATTTTAAGACAACTCAGACCATACCCGGATTAAATAAGTGTTATTCCTTATTGTTTGACGCAGCAGTTCTAGAAGAAATTGTTTTTGCGAGTTACAAAAAGCTAATTTAAAGTAGAATATTACGACTGACTTAATCGTAATGTCTTATACCTGAAATTACACAGTCTTTTGTGCAATAATAAAGAAAAAATAATTGGTATAAAGTAAAAACTAAATTGATTTATTTTTTATTTTTCTATTTATGTTATTTTTTCAGGTTTTATATAGCCTAGCAAGGGTCAGATGTTAATTTAAAATAAATATATTTCAGGTGTAAAATATTATGATATAACAATGCATTCACTAAATCAAAATTGTTGCAATGTACACCAACATAAGATTTTTCTAATAATCTTTATGTTATTACATTTTTCTACTAGTCTAAGAAAATTGTATGTGGTAGAGGATGATTAACAGCTTATCATTTTTATCAGTAAAACAGAGCGGGCTAAATTTAATTTATATTAAGGACCCGTCCCCCTGGTCCATGTAGTATTGAAAAATAGTTATAAGAAATATTAAAAACGAAACAAATGATTGAGACGATAACTGTTCAGAAATCTCCATACCTTAGTTTCGTTTCTAAAGCTATAACGATTATCGATACTAAACTCTTTGTTCAACTAATGCATGCTTCATGTTTTCTTCTACAAATACATAGCCCCACAAAACAGCTTAACCGTGTGTGAGTGTTTATAACTTGGCAAAAGAGTGTTTCACCATTCTCATATCAGTAGAGACGAATGTTGGCAGTTATTAAAAAAAATGTTCCATATTCAAATTTGTTTGCGGCTATTCAGACAGTAAATCAGGCCCTAACGGCCTTATTACAAAACAAGGTTTTACTTTAGTCTAGGACTAAACCATTGAGCCAGTTTTCGTATTTCGAATTGAAGGTGGATAACAATAAGATTCAAAATTCAAAACCCGACTCAATGGTTTAAACCTGGACTAAAGATAAACCTTGTTTTGTAATGAGAGGGTAAGTGTTTTACATCTTAGTTAGTAAACGTAAATTGTGCTGGGAAATGTATAATGCCATGTGTATGTTCGTAAAGCGGACGGCCAAGATTATTGATTTGTTAGACAGAATAAATTGGTAAATTTCAGTTGCAAACGCTTACTATGGTCTATTGGTTTGGGTAAGAAACTAAATTTAAATAATCATTGTATGTATTTCATACGACCTCTTTAATATAAAAAGATATACTAAGATTTTAAACTACCTAAAAATATTTAGACCATAAAAGCACAGAAAATCTAAGTTCAAATGAACATTTAAAATCCTGTGCTATAAGTACCAGAAAATAAGTTATTTTTAGTGTGCCTCATTTACCTAATAATGTATTTAAATCTCATTAGTTATTTCATTTATTTGTTTCTTTTAGAAGTAAAACTATATGTATAGTATACTACATCACCATGAATAAGTGTTTAAGATCATAGAGGTGTTAATAACAAAGAATGTCTGGTGTAAGCGGAAACGCCCAATGGTTAGAAAGAGAAATAAGTATTTGCATAATATCTGTCTCTCTCTCGACTAATGCATGCGTAAAGTACGCATTAGGTATGGTATGGTTTAAGTGGTTAGCTAGAGCTAAACAATCTTGGTATGTCTTTTTATATTAAAGAGGCTGTAAAAAATATTTCAAATTAGTTTATTAGCTAATATCGATTTAAGTAAATTCATTGGGAACATTTTTGCATGACAATTTTAAGACTACTTTTCGATAAAAAGACATGCCAACATTGTTTACGTTTAGTTATATGACTTAACCAATAGAAATAAAAAGGTACATAGTAAAACATTCGTAGCACATTATTAAATTGTCCTTTAAAAAGCCTATGTTTATTTTACTCGCCAATAAGCACTATGCTAACAAGATGTCGGTTCATCCAATCATTGTAGCTGTTATAAAGTGTACGTTTAATAATATAGCACTAGTTAATTCATTTTTGGATGATCGATAAAAGGGCCATGAGAAAACGGTAGCTTCCATCTCACAAGTGCGAGAAGAAAGAGTGCGTTTCGCAATCTTCTTTCTCTTTTTAATCAAAGGACTATTGGAAGCATAGCTTCTATCTGCTCCATTATATGTATGTTTAGTATTTATACTTATATTGTAATAGTCACTGGCGCCTCAATGTCCTGGCGAACAACTAATTATTTCATAAGTCTTAATATTGTAAGTTTTTTCAAGTAAATTAATTCTCTTATTGCTTTTCACTGACCTCTTAAAAGAGGGAGGTTTTTGTTTATTTTGTATCCCTTCTCAAATACTTTGTGTCAAGCGCTAATCTCGAATTAAATTGTACTTTTATGTATTAAATATGATTGTTTCACATTGAGATTCTCGCTTGATCTTTTGATTTCGAACATTTCCAAGCTAATTTAAATGTTACTCTGAATAAAATAAGGTATTTATTTCTCCTATATGTAGACTGACAATGTCTTTAACTCAATTTTGACCTTATTTCAATACAAGTAACATTCAAATTAGCTTATCCCTACCCTTGTTGTGGTTTAACCACTATAACTACATTGCCGTAGCGCTTATAATTTATTTATCTTAAAACATTGTAAAGGAATGTATCAAAATTTAAAAAGAGTGAAAAATAAAAAAGTCGGAATGCGTTTCACGTTTTGATTTAACGGTACACCGGAACGTTATTTTGTAACTAAGGATAAGGTATGTATTTAATTGTTTTATACTATTTATTGTCTTTATTAGTTAAAGTGCTAGGCTAGTGCTAGTATAGGCTTTCCCGTTAAAAGTATAGGCTCTTTTTCATTTATAATAACTACGAAAGTAAAGTAAAATGAATGCTTGAAGTAATATTTTTATTTTATTTTACTCAAAAATATTTTTGGTCCAAAAATAGTGTAAATATGAGTGTAACTTTTGAGATGCAGGTTCGACCAACTTGATCATTATAAATAATATAATAATTACTCAATTAAAACCGACCGTACAGAATCATCACAATCTGTTCCACTCATTTGCTGAACATAGGCCCAGCTAACAACACTTCACTAAGCTACTATAACTTGTTTAACTTAGCCATTTGTCCTCAGCGATGACAAGAGGCGAGGTCGCGTGGCAAACGGCGCGGCGTCCCCGCCCACCGCGACGATGTCGCCGCGACGTCGCGGGCGACAACGCGCAGACGACACCGACCACTTTACTGCCTTCTATAACAAGGCGCAGGAGAGGAACTATAATGTTGTTGTGCAGGTATGTATCGCTATAGGTAATCATTGTTTCTGTGCAGGGAAAATCATCAAATGACTTTTTCGCCCAGGGTGAGACAAGAGGCAGTGTAAGGTTCTTCTGACTTCTCTTACTGACTGAAAACGCTTCCGTTCCTTCTTCTCATTGTCTGAGAATATTACAGCAAAATTTTGATCTTTTTTTTTCTTTTTATCCTGTTAGTTTTATTCTTTTTTATGTGTATAAGATTCTTCAAATCACACCATGTTAGTGTTTTTTCTTCTCAGAGTATTCATGTCGGGAATTCGAATTTAATCTTTCTTTGGTTGTCTGTAAGAGATCGCCTTGTGCGATAAGACCGCCCATTGTACACACAAGGATTGGAAGCTATCCTTTATAAATATGTGGTGTACAATAAAATATTTAATAAATTAATTAATTATTCTATGAGTAATCCAAGAAGAATCCCCTCCCTTAACGAAGGCACTCATAAATGGTGGGTGTCTATGGGCGGCACCGATTGCTTACCATTAGGTAAACCGTCTGTTCGTATGCCGTCCTATATCACATGCAAAAAAGTTGATCCTAAGCCTGTGTACAGAATGCATATAAACTAAGCAATAGTTAAATAAACATAGCAGCAAGACGTTTCCCCATATTTTTATTGAAAATGTTGTACTCATTGTCAAACCCGTTCCAGATACTTTAAAAAACAATAATTTATACCATTTTTCAGATCTTCCAGTACTTAGGCATGCGTGATTTAGCGCACTGCGCGCGAGTTTGCAAGCTGTGGAGACAGTTGTCCGCTACGCCAGCGCTATGGAGGCACGTCAGAATGAAGAATTCACATGTAAGTAAATTCATTATTTACATACATTACTAATTATATATATTCTAATTATAAGTTTGAAATCGCCAATACACCTTGAACAAGCGATTGGTGATTAATGCTCAAACCTTCTCCTTGTGGTTTGGATACAGGTTTGGGGAGGACAGGTTTCCTCAATGTTTTCTTTCATCGTTTATCAGTCGTGTCTAATCGTAGAAAGTACGTAAAACTCGGAAATGTTACATTGGTTCCTGCCAGGTTTCGAACCTGCACTCTCATGCATGAGAAGCGGCCTTAACACATTGAGTGCCCCCGACGCGTATGTGCGTGCGAGGAAACGCACATACGCGTCGGGGGCACTGAATGTGTTAAAATCTGGGCCACCACAACGAAACGTTAGAATATATATATTATGACTATGAAGTGTTTGTATGTCTATGTCGTGGTGGCCCGGAGGTTAAGGAGAAGCTTTCATGCATAAGGGTGTGGGTTCGAAACCTAGCAAGTACCAGTGTGACTTTCTATGATTATTTAGACACCACTGACATACGGTGAAGGTAAACATCGTAAGGAAACCTGGACTTATAAGTTCTCATTATAAGTTTGAAATCGCCAACCCGCATTGAGCAAGCATTGTGATTAATGGTCTAACCTTCTCCATATTAGAAGAAGCCTTTGCTCAGCAGTGGGCACTTATAGGCTTATGATGATGATGACTTTGAATTAGTTTAACTACTTTTTACAATTAGTAAATTACCTAGACTGCTAGACCATCATATTTTAGTCTTTATAAAAATATGGAAGAAGCTAAGATCACTCTTGGTAATCTTATGATGTATTAGATATTTAATATCAGATTCATTTTAGTTTTATTTAATAGTTTGCTATATTTTTGTAGGTAAGTGACTGGGGAGGACTATGCGCAGCGCTCAAACGCCATGGGACGAAGAGACTGGACCTGCGCAAGATGTTACTGCCACAGAACGACACCGTCTTCTGGGAACAGTTCGCGGAACATATCTCTACTGTCGACACGCTGGAGAGGTAAGTTCAAAGAACATAAATAAAAACTATGTTTATTAATTATGTATTTTTTTTATGTAATAGGTCGGCAAACGAGCAGTCGGATTACTTGATGGTAAGCAATCAGCGCCGCTCATGGACACCCGCAACGGAGGAGTTACGAGTGCGTTGCCGACCTTTTAGGGATTAGGGATTTTTAGATTTAGGGATTGAGGAGGGATTGAGGGAGGGGAAGGATTGGGCTTCCGGTAGCCTCACTCACACGGCGAAACACAACGCTGTGGTTGTTTTACGCCGGTTTTCTGTGAGGCCGTGGTATCACTCCGGTCGAACCGACCCATTCGTGCCGAAGCATGGCTCTCCCACACATGTATCACTAAATTATGTAGATTCGTCGTGTTTTGTAATTTATAAGGTACTTGTAATTTCATAATCCTTTTAGCAAGAAACCTAAATGATACTAACACCCGGTTTCTGAAAGGCTTGTCACCGCTAAAATTAACTAATCTCCTGTTAAATCTCTTGTCAAGTCATCAATCAGATGACTTTTGGTTGGTTGGTTGTTGATAATTCAGTCGACCAATCAGATGACTTGACAAGAGATTAAATTGATTTCAACATTGATCGGCCTTTCGGAAACCGGGGTTACTCACATATAATAATAATACTTTATAAAGAAGTATATTTTGTTCAATAACTTTTATGAATTTTAAATCAGTCTGAATTACTTCAATCATATTGAATTAAGTCAGTGACATGTTTTTTGTGCAAAGATTCTAACACGCATCTAACACTCTTTTAATATAAACTCATATAATACATACAAATTGCTAGGTGTTCTTTAAAAAAGAAGTTCGCCCCACATAAGCATATTCTTCTCTGTCGTGGGTAAGTTTTCAAACATAATTTCACATACCTACACATCACACCCAGACCCGAAACAAAAATATGTTAAATACACAAAATGTGCCTAGCCCAGCCACCGCGTCAACGGTACAAATTGGTTTGTACAATAAAATAATTGTTTTTGTTACAGGATAGAGATGTGTCGCTGCCCGGCCCGCGCCGTGGAGGCGGTATGCCGCGGCCTGCCCGGGCTGCGCGCGCTGTCGGCGCTGGCCATAAGAGACGCGCTACTAGACCCCTCGCCCTTGGCTGAGCTTCCTCTCTTGCACGAATTGCGCCTCAAGAGCATGTCTGGCCTCTCCCTCACGCAGGATCTAAGGCATTTAGCCTCATTGACTAAACTACAGCATTTGTCGCTTACTAGTATAAAGGTACGTGTATTAATTATTATTTTTTTATTTAGTTTTATTTGGCTATGTTTTTTTTTATTGTTGTATTTTATGTTATTTCGACTTAAGGTAATTTATGTTTGACAAATTAAAAACGATATATTTTTAAATTTATCGAAAGCCAAGTAGATAGGGAAAAGAAATAGAATCTCAAATATTTTAAGGATTGTAATTTTTGCGACATGTAATAAATTGAGAGTGATAATTATTATTGTCAATTATTGACATATAGAAGCAATAGTGGTTAGAATTTTAATTTATGTTTAATATTTACTACTCTGTCAAGAAAGTACCGGGAAAAAGTCAATAATACACAAAATGTTTGTTATTCATCTAAATTTATTTTATCACCTTTAAAGTATGCTCCTTCAGAAACGATACACTTACGCCAACGAATAATCCAATCATCGAAACTTTTTTTAAACGCTGATTCCGGAATTGAGTTCAGTGCTCGCCGCGAATTCTCCTTTATGTCTTCTAACGATTGAAAACGGGTGCCACGAAGGGGTAATTTGAGTGTGGGAAAAAGAAAGAAGTCGGCTGGAGCCATATCTGGTGAATATGGTGGCTGCTAGATGGTGTTTGTTGAGTGTTTGGACAAAAAATCGTTTACAATGATGGTCTTGTGCGAAGGCGCATTATCGTGATGCAAAATCCAAGAATTTTCTTTCCACATTTCTGGCCTTTTTCGTCGAATTTGTTCTCTTAAACGCCGCATAACGCTCAAATAATATTCTTTATTTACCGTTTGACCTTCGGGCAAGAATTCTGAGTGCACAACACCGTGATTGTCAAAGAAAACAGTCAACAAGACTTTGACTTTTGATCGACTTTGACGTGTTTTTTTCGGTTTCGGTTCAGTTGGAAGGCGCCATTCCGAAGCTTGTTGACTAGTTTGCATGTCAAACTCGTAAACCCACGTCTCGTCACCAGTAACAATGCGTTTCATGAATGTTGGGTCGGTATTGACTCGTTCTAGCATGTCCTCAGCGACTTTCATGCGATTTAGTTTTTGAAGAAAATTCAGGTCTTTTGGGACTAGCCGGGCGGCAACACGTTTCATACCCAAATTATTTGTTAAAATGGTGCGGATCGACTCGTGAGATACAGAAAGTTCGGCGGCCATCTCTCTCAAACTTGAATGAGGATTTTCAGTCACTATTTCCTTCACTTTTGCGATGTTAACTTCAGTTGCAGACATTGATGGCCTACCAGAACGAGGCAAATCTTCCATCACATCTCGACCGCTTTTGAACGCTTTGTACCACTCATAAGCACGTGCTTTTGATAAAGTCGATTTACTGTAAGCCTTCTGTAACATTTTGAGTGCCTCCGAACACGAAATTTCATTGGCGATGCAAAATTTAAGACAAACTCTTTGTTCGATGTTTTTGTCCATTATGAAATTCGCAATACACACTAGATATTATAAAACTAAAAACAGCACTGTTTTTAATATAAATAACAGATGCAACTCAAATTCTGCGCCAAAATGGAAAACAGTTATGCCAATCCAACAACAACAAAAAAAATTAAAATTCGGATTTGGAATCATAAAAAAAACATTCATTCCCGATACTTTGTTGACTGAATGTATATGTTAAGTAAACATTTTGTTGAGGTATTTGCGTGGCAAGATAATTTAATTAACTTGAGTCATATTAAGAATTCATATTTGTAAGCAATGTTGTTCGTCATGTAATGTCATACGTTACAAAATTTTATAATGTTTATGCGGTCGAATTGTTACTGCGAAACTTTTAATAAGTTGGTTATACTTAGACCAGATTATTAGAATGTCAGACGTTATAAATATCTTTTTGGTTTTAAAGTAAATTTGCATTAGGTGACTTACTTAGATGAGTAAGCGGGCGTATTGAATGAAGGCATGTGTGGTGCAGGAGCTGGGTTGGTGTGCGTGCGACGTGATCGGGTCGTTGGAGATGCTGGAGTCGCTGGAGCTGGGCGAGTGCACGTTCGGCGCGTCGTTCGCGGGCGTGCTGGCGCGGCTGGCGCGGCTGCGGCGCGTGCGTCTGGAGCGCGGCACGGCGGCCTGCGGCGCGCCCGCCTTGCTGCGCGCGCTGGCCACGCGGCCTCTGCTCACGCGCCTCGAGCTCGTCAACATCGACGTCAAGCCCGGCTTCGACGACGCGCTGGCCGCCTGCCGCAACGTGCAGCGCCTGCTCATCATCCCCACGTACGTGTCGCAGTCGGCCACCACGAACCGCCAGGTGCTGTCGGGCGTGCTGCGCCTGGCCGCGTCGCTGACGCACCTCATGTGGGGCGTCACCATCGAGCTGCTGCGCGTCACCGAGCTCTTCATCGACCAGTGCGAGCAGGCCGGCGAGCCCAAGCGGCGCGACGTGGGCGAGTGCATCCCCGTGCTGAAGCCGGTCCCGGGCTGCCGCGCGGCGGAGGCCGGCGGCGGCGCGGGCCCCCCGCAGGTGGAGATCCTGCCGCTGCCGACGCTGCAGCGCCTGCTGTCGCAGCAGCTGCCCCACACCAAGCTCAAGCTGCTGCGCATCCCCTTCCACGCCACCTGGCGACAGTCACTCGCCGACTTCCAGTAGCCCTGAACTTACTAATAGCTCGCCAACGTTATACGGAAATCTATTTTGTGTAATATTACTATGGACATACATATTATATGTAGTTGGAATAGCCTTTGTAGCAAACAGTTGAGCTATGCCTGTTGTAAGGTTAACGCAAGCAATAATTTACCTAGACGATTAATAAACGTTAAACATGTCATTAAACTAAGCTTTGCATTCACTAGAATATATTGTCATATCAGAAATTTTGCTTCACAAAACGATGGATATACACATTAACAGACATAATTTATTTTGAAGATATTGATAACTTCTAAATTATCGATAAGACATGTAATTGCACAAAATTCAATGTAGAAACATCATCAACTACAAGTAAATTTTTCCTCAATATAATCAAAAGAATTTCAAGTGTATATCAGACTCCTAGTGAATACAAGGCGTAGCATTCAGTAACAGTATATCCCATGTATCGCCTTACAAAGATATTTTAAATTAGAAGTAGCAGAGAATATATTATGTACATAAATACTAGTATATAAGGGCTCACAGCGGTCGATATCTACCATACTAATAGTAGTATATTATATTTTATTATATACATTATTATATTTATTTAGTATACAATCGTTATAACTGATTTGTCGACTTCTCTTGCTAAAAGCTTGGGATCTAACTAAACGGAAACTAGGCAAATAATACGTTGAGAGGTTTTACCTGTAATGTCTCTCTTTTACATTGGTTATAATGCTCAATATTACTTACGTGATCAACAAATTGAAATTGATCAAATGTCAAGAGCATTTTACAAAAAAATAATATTTTTACTATATGTCCCATCCTAGGATTTTCTCATGTGTCGTGGTTGCGTTTACAAATATACAAATTCACATACACAACCCACCTGGACCCGAAACAACTATTTGTGGATCACTCAGAGTATTGTTCCGTGCGGGAATCTAATCTGCGATTGCAACAGCAGCCAGTTCCTAGCCATTGTGTCAACTGCGTGAAATGTCAAAGTGAAATTAACTTTGTTCAAAATTGTTAGCAATGGGGTAAATTACTTACGATCCAAAGTGTTATCAACTAACAAGAGAAGTTACATTATCAGTAAATACTTAGATAAAACAATGACGTTATTGTACCAGCGGGTACTCGTTACAATTATAGTACATAATATACTTGCGGGTTAGGTTATTCATGAGTTATTTTTAACCTTATACGTTATACAATGCTTGCTTAGTTAACCAAATAGTCTTGAGCTAATGGTCCGTGTCAATAAGTAACATATGGAATAGATTTGTCTACTAGGAGAAGCATTTAAATGTTAGTTCAAATGCTCTATCTCTAGTGGATAATAAAATAGAAATGTACGGACAAAGTTGAGACAGAAAATACTTAATCAATGGCCGATCAAAAGATTTTTGTTGCCTTTGATCTGTTGGTGCCTTTTTGCAGGCTCTGATCGTCGGATAGGCGATTCTCAGTGATACATTAATTGTCAGGATGTTCCACTTAGTAGGAAAGCCAACATACACTTGCTTTGGGAATCTGGTACTGCAATAGGGAGCGTGTGAAAAGGTTTTAATCCAACGAACCGAAGGTATACAACACTATCACCCGGTTTCCGAAAGGCTGATCAATGTTAAAATCGATTTAATCTCTTGACTAGACAAGAGATTTAACAGGAGATTAGTTAATTTTAGCGTTGACAAGCCTTTCAGAAACCGGGCGTTAGTGTAAATTTTTCAATAGTCAGATAAATGTTATATGAGGAATAAAAATGTTGCTGACGCGACAGCATCATAATTATTCTCCAGGTAACTTTTATCTAACCATTGTAGAACTCTTAGTCAGATTTTTGTTATAACAGTTGACGCGACAATTCTGTTATTACCTATCGTCAGGCAAAGTCTACTTCAATATAGGTACCCTATAAATTGATGATATATTATTATAATTATCTCTCTTTTTGTCTATATTTTTACTAAAGGGCTAAAAAACATATTCGACAACTACGAAACATAGTTCCAAACACAATGTTCTAATAATGTGTCTTAATTCACTCAGTTCAGTCACTTTGGTACATAAATAGATATATTTTTATAATAACAAGACTCTTCCAAACACCAATTTAAAAATGAACGCCCAACAATGTAAATGAAGTACTAGGATAAACTATAATGGGAAGTTAATAGTTATATTAAAGAAAATACATATATATATATAATATGAAAATGTTTTATTACTAAGACTTGTAAATATTCTTTAAGGTATAGTGATCAGTGCCTAAAATTGATTTATATTGTGATCATAAGAGGCGTGGTTTATTTCAGAGTGGTTTTATTTTTAGTTTTGCGAGTTGCACATCTAATGTAAGGTGGATCTTTTACGCCATTGCAGTTATGTGGAGTCAGGCAAATAATTGAGTATGCAGGTGGAAAAATCAAGATTAATCCACCAAACACTAAGCGAACGCCGGCGTTTGCGCATATATTGTTCAGTACAGAGACAGTGGCTTGGTTTGACTTGTGAAAACGAGAGTTTTTTTTGGCCCTCTCAATACTTAATATTTACACTGATACATATTTTTTGGTGGTTTCTATAGAATTGATTACTTGACACCAGTTTTTTGGTCTAAAATAAAGCATTAAGAGTTTCAATGCAACGAAATATCATTTTTGTAGATAATTTTCAAGAAACAAGTACGCGATTTCAGAGCACACAAGCTCCGTACAAAATTCAAATGTCGATTTGTTACAACCAGTTGTCAAAATGCCAAATTCTGTCAAAAAATCTTATTTGATCTAGATGTTTTGTTTTGTTTAGATCGGATATATAAATTCTAGCCGTTAAATCGATCAGCGATTCGGCATTAAAACCCACACACTTCAATATAAACAATAGTTACTTTCTCTGTGCTTAATTTCAACAATATAACTTGACAACAAAGTTGAAAATCTATCAGTTGGCAACATACTTTTAAATCTAGTATTGCCAGATGTTTATAAACGACACTAATAATCATGTTATACACATAACAGATTTTGATGTAAAATGTCTGTAAAAATAAATAAGCAAATGCCCAAGTGATTCCCAAAAAATACAATTAAAATTTATATCTTTCAGCAAGTAATGTTAGGATGAAGACTGAATCACTTTTAAGGCTATAAAGGTAAGGAAAATTAAGGTTTAATTATGTAAGACAGTCTTGTAGTAACACTTTATATTAGATGTGCAATTCAGTGGTTCTGTTTGAAGGCGGTTGAAGTTGCGTCTGTAATTATAGCGATTTCTTCTACTTGCAAACTGTTAAGGGAATGTTTAGTTCGAAACTAGATACGTGAGTTTTAAAGCAATTAATAAAATGTAGTCCAGATTTAGGTATTGCAAAAATACACAAGATTTTGCGAGTTCACTGTAAAAAACTTTCCACAAAAACTCGTCTAGGACTATTTTGTTTTTAACGCATGTGTCTAGTTTCAAATTAATCGTTGGTTTTATTTAATTAGTAGTAAAATTATGTGGCAATGTTTTAATACATAATTATGTTATTTTTTTAGACTTGTTTATGCAAAGTACAAGCTTGCGTGTACGTAGGTGTGTCTGTGTCTCGAACTAACAAAACATTAATATCAACGTATTTTACAAAATTCAAGTTATTTTCCTCCCTCATTCACTGTCAAAGTTGGGGTTTTGGCCGTAATACCCGGATTTTTAACATAACTGGTAATTACGTATTATCTGAACACCTATTCAATAACTTTATTAACATAGTACCTATTTTGTTTGAGCGAGACACTGAAGCACCTCGGTTATAGGAATACCGCGTGGGCTATGAAAATATATATATTAATTGCGGGATTATATTGTTTTCAAACATTATTTAACCAACACGCCTGAGCTTATAACCAAAATCACGATCTCAGAAAAAGCAAATTTATCGATACCTGTCTTTGCAAGCTGTCAAATGTCACGCTCTCACCTGATTGGTCGTTCAAATATGTAGTAACCAATCACGTGAGTGGGCGTGCCATTACAGATTATAAATTAAGGTGTCGTAAATTTTTCTTTGTATGGTTTAGTGGCGTTTTAAAATTATTTTTGTGTATGGGGGGCTTCGGAGTATATTTGTAATAAATATTTTACTATTTCTAACTTGACTTCGTTATAAATGTGGTTTTAATTGTACGTAAAAAGTACTATAATATTTTCTTTCTTAGTAAAATAAAATTTACATATAGCTCCGAAGCTTGAAGCTGAGATAATTATTTATTACTTAAACATTTTTAAGAGCAAACAGACTCTAATAATTGAGTCATGGGAATTATTGCGTAATTTCTTTTCATATATTTAGCAAAATGTTTTGACCAGAATGCCATACAATCCTGTCAGAGTGTATCTACAAAGTGTTGGAGCAAACATATTAATACTTCTTGTTGTATATGATTATGTAATTGAACTCACGAATTGTAAGTTTCTTCGACAACTATGTAGTTACAACTTAGATCTTTCCATGTCTTTTCGTATATCTGTGAATGGTAACCCTGGTCAAACACTTGTTTGCTTAAATTGATAATAAAGACACATAAGGACTTTAAGGGCTGATTTTTCAATAGTTAGATAAATGTTACCTGAGGAATTATAATGATGCTGTCACGACAGAGTGTTTGTATAAGACAGTGACAGCGACAATTTTATTCCTCAGATAACATTTATCTGACTATTGAAAAATCAGCCGTAAATAAAATGTCTGTTTTTACAAGCCCGTCGCTACAAATATAATTTAATTATCTCAGCTCTATAACATACTGATTTAGAATTAACACCATGACTTGTGTTAAAGCATAGCTTTTTAATATAATTTTTTAGACTTTGTAGTCTATTGTTAATAATCTCTTAATGCTTCTTGTATTGTAGTTTATAATTTTGGCGGGATAGCCCTCAAGGCTTTTAAGTTTATGTAAAAAATGTAAATGATGATTACGATGTGTTTTTGTGGATATCACGACTTGATGTTATATGTAACTAGACTTCTAGAAATTTCTTTTCTTAGTCTAGTATTTGCCTATTTTTATTTATTCATTATTTTAGTTCAGTTTATCATACCAAAAGGTGACTTTACTGTACATAAATTATTTAAAAATTTCAGAAAATCATGTTTCTCATATTTTCTATTTTCTGTCTTGAAGGGATCAAGTGAAATTCGGCTGTAGAGGAATGCATGTAACCTCAAGTTGGTATTCCGGACATAAGTTGTGGGCCGCGACGCAGGATCTATTGTATAATTAGGTTTATATAGGTTTAAAGACAACTTTGCTACTAAGCAAGGGCGCCTTGTGAATAAATGGTTGCCGATAATATATTTGATGTTTTATTTTTCATACCCTGAATTAAAAAAGTTTTTAATATAGAAATATTTCCATTAACACAAGCGCAAAGTTATAGCCTTTTGGCTTTTATTACATACTATATACCTACATTACATTTTAAGGAGTTCAAGGGAAATTGCACAACTTTATTCCTAGTCCTTTCCTCGATTACAGAGATTGACACGCACGAAGTGATTGGAATTATTTGCCGAATTCGGTGTTCCCCAGTGGGAATAACCTGGCTATCTTCAAGGCTCACGCAAGCATGTTGCTAATCGGTATGGATTGGCGTACTCAATCATAAGTCGCATCATCCGTTACGACGTGACTTGGTCGATATAGTGGCCAAACGCACGCCCATTGCACATAATAATTTGAGTCCATTTGATTTAGTCATAAGAACTATAGATTTCTTGAATCAGTATAGGGTTTAAAAATAATTCTGGTACTAATTTACTATCACCAACAAATAAAAATCAGACCAAAGTGAATTGCTGCCGTAAAAAAATTGACACCAATTTAGACAGTGCGCTTCACAGGACGATTATAAAAAAAATAAAACAACAGATTAAAATCGATATCGCATTCTCTGTATTTCCTCTGTCTTAGCATTAATCAAGATCTGAGATATGTCTTCCATGAGCTTCAATTTCATTTGTTCGTCCTGAATACTTCGGAGTAGGGCTCCGACGAAGGGTAAAAACTGGTCTACGTGATCCTGTCGCTTGATGATGAGGGTCGCTGTGGCAATTTCCTCGGCGCTGTCTTCAGCTGTGTAAGTCACTGTAAGGTATTTTGTTTGATCTTCACTCTCGCTAGCCTCTTCATCGTCAGTAAAGTAGGTAAAAGTGATTGGTTCCGAGAATTCCCGTCCCATGGAATCTGTGGTGGAAGTGCACGGCATCACTACAGACTTGGAACCACTCGTCTCAGGAGCGTCGGAACTAGAATTGCCGTCCGCGCTTTCGTCATCACTCCGCGCCCTTGCCTCATCTTGTTCTGCCATTGTTAAGCGTGGACCTAAAAGTAATTGAATTATAATAATATTAGTCTGATATTAAGCCGGCTACCGAATCGTGGATGCGAAGGGGTCTGTCCCGGTCGTAAATTATACAACATTCATTCTTAACTTTGTGATGTTTATTTGAATGATAAGTGGATAAAATTAGTCTATAACAGGAAACATCAAACAACAATCCTTCCAGTGCTTTGCCGTTATCGTAATAATCATATTCGCACACGTCCGACAGCGTGAAATGGCGCGAGGAAGCGATGAACATCGTAAATACATGACGTACCTGCGTAGGTGGTATTTCAAAATATAGTGTAACTACAGCGTTAAAAACTATTAAAACTTCATAACTTAATTTAGGGCTGTATGGTACCTGATTAAAAATAGATAAACGAAAAGACTCTTTTTCGTAGACTGGCATGACGAAATATTATGCATTACACTAGTTTACAAAATTTTACTTTTTATTTATACCCCGAACCGAATGTATGTCAATATGTTAATCTACCTTCCCTAAACCTAAAAGTGTTAGCAGAAATATTTTATCACGTCGAATTTTTTTTCTGCCGTCAATTGTTTTTTTAACTACCCGACGTGGTGGTGATATGTTATTGTTTATTCGTTCGCTTCAAACGACAGTTACTTTGCTTTGGATTGATTTAAAATGGCTAGCAGAAAGTGCAAACAAAGTTCTGACCGTTTTTGTTATGTCTGTGGACAGTTTATATTTTCAAAAAAGAGAAGACCTATTGTAGATTCGTTAAAAACTGCATATCTTCATTATTTTGGATTTCCTGTTGCAAATCAAGATAAAAAGTGGGTGCCTCACGTGTTTTGCGAAAGCTGGAGAATCATCTTACTCCAGTGGTCATCAGGAGAAAAGGTTTACTTGTTACTACCAGACACAAAAGTTACGTTTTTTCAGAAACAGAAGCAAAGTTTACTCGGAATTTTTCAAAGAGAAGGTGAATATTGTTATTGCACAGATATCCCGGGACTTTTCGAAGCAATAAATCAAAACTATGATAAAACAGAGTGGCGCCTATTCATAGATTCTTCAAAATATAGTCTCAAAGCTGTTTTATTACATAACGGAAATAAGAAACCTTCCATACCAATAGGACACGCAGTGAATTTTAAAGAGAGCTATGAAACGATACGTACTTGCCGGTCTTTAAAATATGGGAGTAAACATGTCATTAAAGATTCACTTTTTACACTCTCATCTGAATTTTTTTCCTGAAAACTTAGGAAGTATGAGTGACGAACAGGGTGAACGTTTCCACCAAGATTTAAGGACTTTCGAAGAACGACATCAAGGATTTTGGGATGAAAATATGTTAGGAGATTACTGTTGGTCTATCATGAGAGAAACTGATTCAAATAACTATAAAAAGAAAGCAAAAATTAGTCATTTTTAATTTATTTTTGTATTAATCCTAAAATTTTTGTATTTCCCTTCTAGAAAATAAATATTTATAAAACCAGACGTGACAGAATTTTTTTATTATTTTTTCTGGATAGTTCTACCTAAACACAAAATAAAATAACAATTTTCAGCTGGGGTATGATAACCGTGTAAACTAGTGTTATTTTTAAAATAAGTAAGGATTTCAGTTCATCAATACTAAGATTTACTGCGCACAATTATTGTCAATTTTGGCGTTGAACCACTTTCATTAATGCTCACCAAATACTTAATCTTATTTCTAAATGCTTTATAAAAGTTGCAAGCATATTTTACGAGGCAAGAGTTCATGCTCGCGCCGGTTGTATACTTTTTATTCGTCGCAAGTATCTCGCAAGCTGGTGTACCACGTTGGGCGGCATTTAGACGCGGCATTCAACAACAAACTGTAGGTACATTCAATCCATAAAATATGCAGTCGCAAGTGATTTGGCAACGCTAAACGGTGACAATAACAAAACAAAATCTTCAAACCAGTTATATCAACAAGTAAAATTATTACAAAAATATTCTGGTACCGCATCAACCATTTATCTTTATAACAGCGCAGCATACTACTAAATACTTAGGTACCCATTTAATTTTATTCCGTAAATACCTACCTTTTAAACTTTTCTTTATGCCGTACAAAACGATGTATGAATCACCAACTTGTTTAGGTAAAAGCTATCAAAAACTTAAACAAACATCACCTTGTTTATTTGGCTGCGCGAACAGTGATTTATGCGATTGATAACCTTTCCTGTAACTGCATAGATGCACTAAATATAGGCATCCCCCTTCCCTTGCTCAGCGATGCCCATTGGTGGATCCCAATGACAGATCCACTACTAGGTACAGGGAAATATGTAGGGAATACATTCATAATAACGTAATGTTTTAACCTAAAATATAAGTCAGATTTCTGTACTTATATCATAAATCAACAATTTTCTGTAGTCGAATTCAGCGTCTACATACGCGAAGTATAAATAACATGCATTGTTGTAAATATTTGTTTTAGCAAGTAATTTAGAAGGTTGTATAGCCATTGACGCAGGTCTGTTTACAAAGTCTATGCCTAAAACGTGCGCGAATTGTCGGGAGTAACGATCGGTGACGTTACGTAGCGCGCGCACCGTATATCACAGATTACTTAGAGATATAACGCAAATGTTTCTGTGCTTTGTTTACAACAAGATTTGTATGAAATGCAAATGATCATTTGATAGATTTGCTAAAACCACTAATAGGTATTATAAAATGCCAGTAAAATTCATATTCTGAGTCCTACTTACTAAAGTAAAAATCGACTAAACCTAAGTTCCAAGTTAAAGAAAAGACAGTCATTCCTATTACTGCTATTTCGTAAAATGTTCATCAAAATTACATTAATGGAACAAATCTCAGCCCAATCTTTTTTCGGCGGTGAATTCAATTTATCTCAAGTGGCTTCCAAGTATGTCTCCATGGGTAGTATCTATTAGTGCACTCTTAGATGATGTAGTGACTATAATTTGAACCGACCCTTGCTGCAAGAAAGCAGCATCAATTTTTAAGTTACTGCTTCGAAAACTTGAATAACAAGTAGTTATTTAACAACAAAGATAACGAAATAAAACAACAATAAACATTAAAGGCACATTTATTTGTTTTTCCTACGTCCTTTCCCGGCCTGGGGTTTGCCAAATGCTTTCGGTTTGGCGTTGGGCTTGCCTTTAGCTGGACCTTTGCCCTTTTTAGGACCTTTATTGCCCTTCTGGGCCTTATTAGCATCGTAGCGAAGTCTCTTAGTTGCCGCTCTTGAAGTGTCTGTGAGGTCATTGGCGAAATTACTTTGTTTTTTCTTCATTTTATTTGATTTCCTAGGTGCATGTTGTGGGCGGTCGTCATCGTCGTCGACGGCGCGTATCCTGCGCTGTTTCTTCTTGCGTTTCTCCATTCTTGATTGGAGGAGAGCAACCTGTTTGGGAGAAAACATATTTCTTAGTAAAAACCAAAATTAATTACTAGTTTATTTGTAATTAGATTATTACATATTGGAAATGATTAAGCTTCAAATATAGCTAGTTAGTAATCTGATACAAATAATAATAAAAAAAAAACATTAATAACTTTAGAATGATATTTGAAGTTGAATAGAATGGAAGTAACTTTATGACGATGTAGAATTTATTTTGTAAATGTAAACCTTATAAATATATAACTATAGGAATATAAAACTAAAAAAATTCACTAAATTCACTTATAAAAAAAAACAGTTTTATCTCTTTGAAACATACTAATGACCTAATACTAATACTAACAATTAAACCTACTCAGATCAGAACTGAACTTAATAGTAATGAAGAATTTCATATAAATATAAGTTAATAATAATAAATCTATGTGTATAAAACAACTGAACGCACTCAAGGCTTAGTTATAATAAAAACTTGTTTTATTAATAAATTGATTTTTTAAACTTTGACTATCTTATTTATGTATTTATTTATTTACTCTTTTGCACATACATCTGTGTACAAGGTGGAGTTAATGCCACAGGCATTCTCTCCCAGTCGAACCTTTGGGCGATGCAGTAGGTGCAAGAAGCAAGCAAAATCATGATATTACTGATAAATATATATTTTATACACTTACTTACATAAATCCTATTAGAATAAATAAAATTATATATGGGAAATAAACTTACATATAATATTTACATACACTATATATAATATCGTATTATTTGTAATTTTACCTTCTCCATCTCCCTATTAACTCGTTCCTCGGGCGTGTCCTTGGGTTTGTGTTTGTTCGGCTTCTTCTTCTTCCGCTTGCCGTCATCCGAGTCATCGTCATCATCTTCGTGTTTACGTTTCTTCCCTTTACCCTTTTTCTTGTCTGTTGATACAGAAGAACAAGAATAATTTTCAAATCTTACCTCATGAGGTAAACCAAATTGAAAGAACTCCATCTAGTTACTAACAAAAAACATATTAGACAAAATAACGCTAACAAAAGATCGTTATATTACTCGATGTTTTTTGTTTCATATATAACAATTATTACAATACAATTCTAAACTAATACTGAATTAACAATAAGATTTCTCAAAACACTTATTACAAAATACAATCGAATTGAGAATCTCCTCCTTTTTTTGAAGTCGGTTAAAAATTACAGCCACAACTAAAAGGTTTTTATCAAATAAAGTTATAAACAATAATATAGTAAATTCAAAACATTTGGCTCACCTGAATTAACTAAGAAAAGCTCAAATATGAGTATGTCTCACGATAGTTACTCTTGAAAAAATAAACTTTCTAAGTTTCACAAGTTACCTTTATCAGGATGTTTAGTGAGTGCTAGCCTCTCTTTCTCCTCCCTCTTCTCCTTGGGTGTTTGGAACCACTCCCTCTGCCGCTTCACCTCTATTTTAGGTCCGGTCTGCTCGCCCTCCGTCTTGATGGCTCCCTCTAACTTCGCTGTCTGTTTCTCCATTTTATTCATTTGTTTTTCCGCGTACTCTTCGTCTAAGATTGCAGCTGGTTGTGGGGAAATAAATTGGTATGTTAGTTCATTCATACTAAAAGGCTCTTGTCCGAGTGCGGACCTTGAATTAACAAATAAAAATATACTTTTTCCTTCTTTATGGCCGGCTTCATTAATATAATTAAATTTTCACATATAATTTGACGTGTAAAAGTGCCGTTTTATGGCCTATTTGCAAAAAATAAATTCATTGTTTCATTGTTTATGCCATTTCACTGTATCTTAATTTTATTTTACGATTGACATATGATACTACAGCCTAACAGAAAATCAGCGTGAAACAATCACAGCGTTGTGTTTCGCCTTGTAAGTGGAGTTACAAGGGGTCTAATCACCCCCCAACCCGTTTCCCAGTCCCAAAATCTCCGAAACCCTAATCCCCAAATTACGGGCAACGCTCTCGTTACTCCTGCTGCGTCTCCGTCCATGGGGGCGGATTGCTCACCATCATGTGAATCTTTATTGCCCTATACTTTCAAAGAACCGTTTTCTGACAATAACAGACACAAAAAAAGAATCATCAGAATTATATCATATATATAAAAATGAACTGTTGTGGTGTAGTCGCTAGAACTCCTTTTTTTAATAAATTTGTTCTTAAAATATTCGTTAAAGATCAGGGAAGGTTTAAAGGTCAGTCAACAGAAAGTTATATTTGAGACGATACGAATATAATATTAGCTGACCCGGCGAAATCCGCGTTTGAATAGATTCCTTACCAATCTCAGGTTCAAGTCTGGCGAGTCTGTCCCTGTATTTGGCGACGATGTCTGGCGGTATCTGGCGCGACTTGACGGGGCGTCGCGCGCGCTTCACGATAGCTTTGACCAGCTGACGCTCTGCTTCACCCGCCAGCGACACTGACACACCGGCGCGACCTGCTCGGGCCGTTCTACCTACCTGTTAAGAATAAAATCGTAATTTATATTACTTTATTTTTATAGGTATTTTATATTGCTAAGAGCACTCTCGATTAAGTAATTAACATTTCCTTTCAGTGCAATTTCATTTGAGACCTTCGTTTACCCTTCCCCACTTACACCTCCATAACTTCTAAACGGCTCAACCGATTTTCATTAAACATGTCTAAGAACACTCGCACGTAAGTCACCTTTAATAAAAAAAAACTAAATTGAAATCGCTTCATCGGTTCAGGCTCCAGGATGCGAAACAGACAGACACGTCAAATTTAACACCTCTCTTTTTCCGTCGGGGGTTAAAAAAGGATTTTCATTTTAATATTTTTTAACTCCTTGACTGGCGGTGTATAAGACACAATAGAAAACACATTATTTATTATGTTTTCGGCTTACTCACGTAATAATTTGACGAGATACTCGACTAGTTTCAAGCCATGCTAGAGGCCTATATTCATGAGCAGCATTCCGCGACACGCGACTCGGCGACCGTCGCGCTGCTACTCAAATCCATCAAATTATTACGTGAGTAAGCCGAAAACATAATAAATAATTTAGAATGTCTCACGAAAGTTATAATAAGAAAACATCACATTGTTTTTTTATTGATAACCTTTTTTTACAAATGCGTCTCGCATGGATCTGCACTCGCATACCAAGTCAAAATGAGTGTTGTCAGATTGAAAATGCGCTAATGCATACTCCCACTACTCCTTTACGCTTTTAAGTGTGGGAGAACCATGGGTCGGCTCAACCAGAGTCATTACCACGGACTCACAGAAAACTGGCGTGAAACAACCACAGCGTTCTTACGCAGTGTGAGTGCGGTTACCGGAGGCCTAATCCCTCCCCTACCCCAATTCCTTCCCGATCCTTAAATATCCGTAAACTTTAACCCCAAAAGGCCGGCAAAACACTCTTCTGGTACAAGTGCCAATTGGCGGCGCCGACTGCTTACCATTAGATAATTCGATCAACTCCTCGATTGCCGACTCGTCACATAAAAAAGCATAAGTGAAGTGCGAGCATAATATGTACACAATTTTTAATTTCATGTCCCTTTTCAGAGTTCTATTCAACCGTTCACAAACTGTTCAGAAAATTACGAAAAGTCTATTGACTCACCCTATGAATATAATGTTCTAGAGTGGCCGGCAACGTGAAGTTGAGTACAGTCTTGACGCCGGGTATGTCGAGCCCACGCGCCGCCACGTCGGTAGCCACTAGTACGTCAACCTGCTCCTCTTTGAACCTCTTCAGAGAGTCTAGACGTTGGGGCTGGTTCAGTGCACCGTGGAGTTCTGCGACCTGGGCAAAAAACATTTTTAAAAAAACACAGAAACACACAGTTTTGTGAGTGCCCCCTTGACGCGGTGGCTGGGTAACAGGCTGGAGCATAACGTGCCACGGGTTAGATACCCACACGGGAAAACTCTTTGTTGGATCCAAAAATTTTCGAATACTGACTATCGCGAAACGCACGCTGCTCATGAATAAGAGTTAAAACACGTGAGTAAATCGCTATTTTCAATTGATGCACGAATTGTTGTTTCGGGTCTGGGTGTGACGTGTGTGTGAAAAATATGTTTGTAAACGCACCCACGACACGAGAGAAAATACTAAAGTGGACGTATAATAAATTAAAAATGTTGCTCTACACAAGATTATTTTCTGTTTCGAAGGCGTATAACAAACATGATTATAATTTCGGAGTGATACCACGGCCTCACAGAAAACCGGCGTGAAACAACCACAGCGTTGTGTTTCGCCGTGTGATTGAGGTTACCGGAAGCTCAATTATTCCTTTCCCCCATCCCTAAATCTCCGAAACTCTTTACCCAAAATCTCCGAAACACACTTCTAACTCATTTAGTGTTGCTGGTACCGATGGGCGGCGCCGATTGCTTACCATCAGGTAATCCGTCTGCTCAGCAGTGGGGACTTATAGGCTAATGATGAAGATGATATTTACCTTAACTCCGAGCAGGCCTAGCGCCACATGCAGCCTGTGGGCCTGTTTCTTGGTCTGCACGAATATGACGGCGCGGTCTCGGAACGTTCGACACACTAGCGCCGCCAGTATGGCCTCGCGATCACACTCGCGTTCACGACGTATCCTGCAATATGTACCTTATTTAGTAGGTTTTAAGGTTGAGATTTGAATAAACGTAGGTGTAAACATTGATCTATAAGTATAAAAAAATTCATCAAATGACTTCTCTCTTCAAAATGAGGCGAGACGAAGTGTCAGACTCTTACTGACTAACCCCCCTCCCCTCCCCCCTTTTGCGTTTCCACTTACATACAAACTTACATACATATTTTACCTCTTTATAATAATATACATTAAATAGTGGAGAAATTTTGCACCAGCATTACACTCATGCAAAGCCGGGGCGGGTCGCTAGTAAAGAATCATTTAGCGCTGTGGCTGGGCAACTAGTTGCTGTGCAACGTGTCGCGGGTTCGAATCCTGCACGGAACAACACTTTATGTGATTTACAAATAATTGTTTCAAATCCGGGTGGCTTGTGTATGTGAACATGTAAGTTTGTAAACGCACCCTTTAAAAAAATATTTGGCTCACCTTACAAACTCCTGTCTAAGATTGAATGCGACATCTTTATTTGAGTCCACGAACAACTTGACAGGTTTCTTGAGGGACACAGCAGCCAGGTCCTTGACCTGTTCAGACATGGTCGCTGAGAACAGCATGGTCTGTCGCTTTGGGGAGCACTGTCTTATGATCTCCTTCATCTGCTCCGCGAAGTACTCGTCAAGCATCCTGTTTTAGGGAAATTAAGTATATTAATTAATGAAGTGTGGGAAAGCCATCCTTCGGTACAAATAGGTCGGACCGGACCGGAGTAATTGAGTGAGTGAGTGAGCGATTTTCTTTGAAACCACGGCCTCACAGAAAATCGGCGTGAAACAGCCACAGTTGTGCCTTCATGTGAGTGAGTTCACATGCACCCAATCTCCACCCCCAAATCCCTAATCTCAAAAGATTATTTCACACTGATCGATCCGGCTCACTCGTGTCGAAGCAATAATTCTTAGTGTCTAATTGCCAAGTTGCCGACTTAGTTGAACTGGATAACATTTTTAAATTTCCAATGCCTAGAAAAATTTAGCATTTTTGTTCAAACCAAAAGTCACGTCTTTATTAATAAATTAACATGATATTGAAGAGAAATTAGTATATATAGAAATTATTATATATATATATATATATATATATATATATATTTATATATTGTTTATATATATATATATTTTTACTGCCTTATAAATATGTATTATAATGTATATATATAGTATGTATGTATGTAAAGTGTGTATGTATATGTTTGGTATATTTAATTGAATTTCCTTGCTTCTGCACCTGCCACTAGATTATCTCTGCATCACCCAAAGGTAGACTGGTAGAGAATGCTCATTGCATTAAGTCCGCCTATGTACAATGTTTTGTGCATGAAGTCTCAAATAAATAAATAAATAAAATTAGTGTTAGATGTGAAAAAAGCAGCATGCCATACAAAACTCAAAAAAAAAATTTACATTAATAACATTTAAATGAAAAAACTACTTTATTCTACTTAGGTATTATAATATTACTTTAAGTTTACCTGTCAGCTTCATCGAGCACCAGTACTTCAATGGAGTGGAGTCCGAAGGACGGAGTGTTGCGGATGTGGTCTATAAGTCGACCCGGGGTTGCTATCACTATGTCCGGGTTTCGACGCAGCATTGTTTCCTGTCAACATTAGCAATAATTCGTCAATAATATTAACATATTTAATATGACGGGTAGGTGATTCCGTCATCTTCCATCTCCATATGTTTTGTCTTGCAAACGATCTGACGGATTACCTGATGGTATATTTATAACATTGATGGATGTTGGCATGGATGGCGACGCCAATGGACAATTCCAGAAGCGTTTTGAGTGCGTTGCCGATTTTTTGGGGATTAGGGATTTAGAGATTTGGGGACACCAGAAGCGTTATGAGTGCATTGCCGATTTTTTGGGGATTAGGGATTTAGAGATTTGGGGACACCAGAAGAGTTATGAATGCGTTGCCGACCTTTTGGGGATTAGGGATTTGGAGATTTGGGGACACCAGAAGCGTTATGAATGCGTTGCCGACCTTTTTGGGATTAGGGATTTAGAGATTTGGGGACACCAGAAGCGTTTTGAGTGCGTTGCCGACCTTTTGGGATTAGGGGAAGGGAAGGATTGGGCTCCCGAAAACCTCATTCACGAAACACAACGCTGTAGTTGTTTCACGCCGGTTATCTGTGAGGTCGTGGTATCACTCCGGTCGAGCCGACCCATTCGTGCCGAATCATGGGTATCCCACACTTCAATAATAATAACAATAAATCCGCAAGGCAGCTTGTGGCGAGCTGTTGGGCAGTGGTGACCCCACGGACCTGACTCCCGGGAGGTGTCTTGTTCTTCTCTCTCCGGTTAGTCCTCGTGACTAGCTGGAGTGAACACTGATGAGGAACAAGCCCTCTCACCTCATTCTTGCCTTAATTGGCTGGCTTGAGTGGAGATTCGCAAGAGTAGGAGTTGAAGGAGACTCGGGGGAAGGATGTATCTCAGTAAGATGCTGGTAGGGGTCTTGACCGTACTTCCGGGATTGCTCTGATAGCCGTGGGATGCCTCTCCTTCCCCAAGCAGCTCAACGTATGTTGCCCCCGTGTCGCTACATGCTAGCGGCCGTTTCCGGGGGCCCATTAATTGAGTTTGCCAGTCACCCCCTGCCTGTTTATCCGTATGTATCAATATTGGTCAGGGGCAGGGGCCATAGTATTTCCATAGTTTTCATCCACTAGTCCATAGCAACCCATACCCATAACCTTATAAATTTTTACCACATTTCGCAATAGTCCTCCATCAACCGGGGATTGTCCTTGGGTGCACTTTCATAGTGCATACAGGGATAACTGCCGGCTGATGTCCCATTTCACTTATATTAAAGTTGTTCAAAGGGCCTCTGCGAGTTGGCTTCGGCCCCTCGTACGCCTTCCAAAAGTCCGGGACCCTGTGGTCCCGTGAGTGGAAAATAACAATAAAATGACTAACCTGATACTTGACATCGAGTCCACCGATGGAGAGGCCAACAGTTACCGCTGTGAACTGACACAGCTGCCGTGTCACTGTGTGTACCTGACAACATATAACAAAATATTTTTACAGATTGCTGCGTTAGCGCAGTGTTGCGCAATCGACTGCTGCGCAAGGCGTCGCGAGTTCGATTTCAACTCAAAAGTTTTATTTGTGTTCAGAGTCTGAGTGTGTATGTGGAATTTTATTAACTAAAAATCATACTCCTAGCAGGCTGCGCGACATCGCCGCGTCCGCGCACACTGCTCTAAGGAAGAACCCCTCTGTGGTTCGAAACTAGTAAAGCTTTTCTCAATTACACACGTGAGTAACCCGCGATTTTTATTTAATTAAGTATGTCTCGCGATAGTTATTGTGAAATTTTATGTTTGTACGCTCACCCACTATTCAGGAGAGTATCCCAACGTGGGTCAGTCTTTTAAAAAGAAGAAAACAGAGGGACAGAGACTGATTTTTCTATTGACGCTTGGAATTAGCACTTTATAAATATAATGAGAACTAGATGATTATTCCCGGATATTAAGGCCCGGAGGTTAAGGAGCCCGCTTCTCATGCATGAGGGTTCGAAACCTGACAAGTACCAATGTGACTTTTTCCGAGTTGTATGTACTTTCTATGATTATTTAGACACCACTGACATATGGTGAAGGTGAACATCGTGAGGAAATCTGGACTTATAATATCTAATTATAAGTTTGAAATCGCCAACCCGCATTGAAAGCTAGTCAGTACATACCTGAGCTCCCAGTTCCCTGGTAGGCACAAGCACGAGGACCCTGGTGACGCGCTCCCCCCCACTGGTCTTGTACAGCAGGCGCTCCAGTATGGGCAGCATGTACGCCGCCGTCTTACCCGTACCCGTCGCTGCGCACGCGCATACGTCCTTGCCTGAAGAGCGGGGGAGGTGGGGGCGATGTTTTAATAAAATTTGTCATTTTCGAATTGTTTTTTTTCTATGGCATAGGTTATCGTAATAGAGAATTTTCAACTTTATAAGCAATAAAATAAATTTGAAATAAATAATGATAAAGGACCTGTGCTGGATACTTGTCAACCTATACTTTCTGAAAGGACTTCTGGGAAGTTTCACAGTAAATAACAAGATTTAATTAATATTTTTTAATAAAAATCGTTCAATATTACCATAATAATTCACAAAATCGACTATAAAGGTTAAAAAAACGACTAAAAGGATTAATAAATCGACTATAAAGCATAAACAATCGACTAAAAGAATTAATAAATCGACTAAACACTAAGCAAACTTACCGAGCAACGCCACAGGTATAGTAGCAGCCTGTATGGGCGTGGGATGGACGTAGTTGAGGGTGCCTATAGCCTTCAGCAGGGGTCGGGAGAGGTTCATCATGTAGAAGGAAGCATTCTCGTCGTATGGAGGAGGTTCCTCGAAGAAGTCCGAGTCGTATTCTATGCGGGCACCCTGCTCTGTTTCGTCTTCCAACTCCTGTGCCAAATAAATAAGAAATAGACTAGTGTGGGATATTTAGTTATTTAGTTTTGTTTTCTTTCTTTCTTGTAGCGCATTTCAATCTCAAATCTGAACATAATATTTAAATCTATAATCTTATTTTGTTATGGACACAAGTAATTTTATGAAAGACATTGTTCCAGAGAACGAATTAAAAAAAATTGTGTAGTAGAGAACATACCTGTTTTAACTTCTCTTTTTTAGTCAGCTTCTTAGGTTTGTTCTTGATTTCATCTCTCTTGAGCTCGTCATCAGATATCTCAAGCTCTCCTGTATCATTCTCTGAAAATAAAAGAAAGTATTATGTATTTGAAGGCACCGGGACGTTGGTACAAACATTAACATCCCGATCATCGTTTTCACAGTCCATCGCAGGGCGTAGGATTTTATAATCAGACCGAATAAATTACAAAAATAACGGACGTCGGCGATCCGTCTCCTATGACAATCACAGCGCTCGCTCTCCAACATAATGCTCTTGCAGAACTGTCCATTTGACGTTCCGCCAGAGTACAATTGCTTTGTACTGCCTCGAGATGTATATCGTCGTAGATTGTATGTCGTCCGATGAATTGTGTTAAAACCTCCTTCAAAATTCCAATTCATAATCGCCGCGACGTCATTTTAACAAAAATTTACCTATTTATATTCTTATAAATAAAAAAAAAAAATTGCTATTTGTTAGTCTCGCAAACTCTATAATAGCTGGTCCATTTTGGATAATTTTGGTCTTAAAATATTTGTTGAAGTCCAGCAAAGGTTTGAAAACTGAAAGAACACTCGTTGTATTTGAGGCAGTGCAAAGTTTGCCGGTCAGCTAGTTATGAATAAACATGACCTGATTCTGTGTATACTGACTTGGTGTGTATACTCAGTTGCAAAGTTTTATATATCTATATATAAAAGAAAGTCGTGTTAGTTATTCCACTTATAACTCAAGAACGGCTAAACCGATTTGGCTGAAGATTCGTAGTGAAGTAGCTAAGAACTGGGAAAAGGACATAGGATGGGACAGGATAGAATAGGTAATGTAGGTTGGGTAGTGTAGGGTAGGCAGTGTAGGGTAGGGTAGGTAGAGTATAGTAGGTAGAGTACGGTAGATAGAGTAGGGTAGGTAGAGTAGAGTAGGGTAGGGTAGATTGAGTAGGGTAGGTAGAGCAGGGTAGGTAGAGTACGGTAGATAGAGTAGGGTAGGTAGAGTACGGTAGGTAGAGTAGGGTAGGTAGCCAAATGACGGGAGCGACGCCGCAGGTAAGAGCTAGTAAATGAATATTAAATATTGGGGTTTAGGGCATTAGTATAAACATAGTTTTAATACAGACTTGGCACAGTAGCAGTATGAGTTTATAACATTTGCAAAACAGGAGTAAATCCTTGTGTTGGGCTTTAAATTTGTAGCGTAATTGGTGTGCAATATGCCGAGGTACCGGTCTGCCCCTTCAAGAAATAAAATAGTATTAAAAAAAAATGTCCTATGCAATCTTACCATGGTTCTCTACATCAGAGTCTGTGTCAACATCTTCAGCATTCCCATTGACCTTGACAGCTGCTCTCCGCATCTCAATCTTATCATCTAGAGTGTGTTTCACATTGCGTCTCACATACTTCTGCAAGTCATCCCATGGGCTCTGCAATATTCATAACATTTGTTAATTGTATAAGTAATGGAAATTTTTATTTTAAGGTTTCATAAAGTTAGGTATGGGAGTTGTTAACAATAACTTTTTTTAGTATGAATATGATGTATATTTATCATAGTAAGCGAACAAACAAAGAGGTTTATTATCAAATGTTTATTTTATATCATAGTGGCAATGTTACAAATATTTTATTCTTATTGTAAGATCGAAAATGAGACAATGTCTTAATTTATCATCATAATAATGGCTGGAAAAAAGCCCTGCTAGTATCAAGTCACAATGACTACACAACATTGCCGCAATGTGCACAAGGCTTATAAATAAGCTTGCCATTGTGACTTTAAACTAGTAGAGGTTTACTTTGTCCATTGACATAGGTTGTTTTTTTTTCAATAAATTTATTAAAGCTCATAATAGTTACAATTCAAACACACAATGTTTTTTCTATACTGTCTGATGTATTTGGTCAACACAATTTTTATTCCTTAATACATACCTTATTGTATTCATCTACAGACCCCACAAATTTAAAATCGGGGTTGATATCTTCTTTCCTTTTGATTTTCTGTTTAGATGGTTGATACTGCAAATAAACAATATATTTTAATTACAAAAGATCCTAGAGCATTCTAGAACAAAATTGCATTAATACATATAATAAGTGACATGATCATGATATGATATGGCTGGAATTATGTGCTATGTAGTTGAGAGAAAAGTAACTTATTAATAATTTTATTTTTTTAATTATAGTATTTAATTTAGATAATTTTAGTAACTATTAGTAACTCTCAGAAACCACATAAATATAGCTTTATATAGTTTGTTCCTGTAAGCATGCAGTTTTGCGATTGTAATTAAAAACGTAAAGAGCATAACAAAACAAAGTATTATCGATAAAATACAGAGATATGTAAAAATTGAAATTATTGATACATAAATACATCATGCAGTTCGGTTTCCAACAATATTTCACAATTATTTACAATGTTTTTAAATCAAATGCGGTGTGATAACTTACTTCGACTTCTTCGTCCGATTCCTCCGAGAAATCTTCAACTTCTTCGCCATCCTGTATAGTTTTAATATAAGTCGGTAATTCTACAGGCTTTTCCATGTTTCTTTTCCCTTTTATTCACACGACATGCTTACACAATTTTTGTAAATAAATTCTTTTTGAGGTTATCCTTCAAAATCGCATGTTGCTTCACCGTTCCGTTTTACGTACAAAATGTTGCGACTGTCATTTCAAAAGGGAGAACTTTGCGTGTAATGTTTTACTCTTTAGTCGATTTAAGGTTTTAAGGCTCCTCAGACTTGACTTGGCCGTGACATGACAATCAAAAGTAATTGATTTTATTTTCTCAACACTAGTGTCATGTCATGTCGTAAATGTCAGGTATTCACGAGTGTATGTTAGAAAATTAGATTTATTTTGCCGATAAATCATTAAGAATGGCAGATCTGCTAAGTATCCATGATGATATCAAATTGTAAGTTTGTTGTTTTCTTAAAAATATCTTAGCGTATGCGTTATATTTTGTAAATACTGCTTCATCAAATCTTTGTCTTACGTGTATCTTACTTTCATGTTTTCCTCGAAGCCGTATACAATTTTGTACAATATGCTGTTTATTTATCACTTACAGTCATTGAATATTGAATACAAACTTGTAATACGCTCAAGATTTAAACATTTAGATGTTTTATTTATGTTTTTTAATCAACATAAATTGCATTTTAAAGGGACAGTTTACAGCGATATAAGTCGTTAAATTAAGTCAGCCGTATCAGATAATTACGTCACATGTAATTATTTGACGATTGTAAAAGCTACGCTAGCTATATTGTATATAAACTCCATGAATTACATTCAGTTTCTTGATTACAAATTACCAATAAGATATGTTGTGTCTTGCAAGTCATTGGTAACTTTTTAAGACTGTATATTAAACTTATTTGCGTGTCATTACTCACGCTAACCTTTGCACTTATACTTCAAGCTATTTCTTTTCAATTAAAACTGTCTTACCAGTAAGAATCTAAGACAATTGTCACTGAACACTAAACTACAATTATTAATATTTTCACTCTGAAAATGGTTATATTATGACACTAATTAAATTAGTAAGTACTAATAAATTATGTTTTCAATATCTAGATTAATAATTTTCTGAAATACTCAGAGAGGTTTAATGATCACTTAAAATATAAGGGGTCAAGTGATTATTTAATGGGTTATTTTCTGCCATCCAATGTGTTGGTTAGTTATCCTACTCTAGTACTTTATCCTATGTTTTGGTTGTGTTTAAAACTCACATTTTCACATACATAACACATCCAGACCTGGAAAAACTGTGGGTTACACAAAGAGTTGTCTTTTTTACAGTTGAAATATGTGTGTAGGCTTGGTAAAGCACAGATTGCAAAAAGTAAACCCAAACCTTAACCTCTATGGTTCAGGTTGAGTAGCAGATATTGTCTATGACATTCTGGAATTTGTTTTTTATAGAAATTTAGACTTTATTCTAAAACAATAAAGTTTAAACTAATAAAGAAATATGCTAATCAGCTGGACACATTCAGTTATAGTATTTTGAAATATTTTTTTTAACTTTACATTATTTTTTATGATTACTTAAACTATTCTTTAGATCCCCTTATTGGCTCTGAGTAATGCAGTATAAGGTTTTAAATATGTAGTAGTATGTAACTTAAAGAAATTTGACCTGGCATGTAAATACATAGTGTGTTTTACTTCCAGATATACAACATCAGACAAATTCTATTTGGAGCCCACAATAAACCCCACAGAGATACTGGTTATAGACAGAGTGTCTGGTGAAGCTTCTGTCAAAGGTAATTTTATAAACAAACAATTATAATGTTTAAGTGTGTGAGAGCCATGCTTTGACACGAATGGGTCGGCTCAACTGGAGCGATACCACAACCTCACAAAAAACCGGCGCGTGTTTCGCCGCTCTTTAATCCCAAAATCTCCAGATTCCTAATCCCCTAAAGGTCGGCAAACCACTCGTAACTCCATCGTTGTTGTTAATCAGAGAGCTCATATATCATAAGCTCACTCAACCAACAAAAATTGATGAGTTTAAAACAAAAATATTTTGATGTTTTTTTTTTTCAGATATTGGTTCAGTAAAAATTCCCATTCCGGCGAATGCATACCGACCAGTATGTGGGTTCCTAGGCTCAATCAAACTGATATCTGGATTATACTTAGTTGTGGCGAAATACAGAATATTGGTAAGTATTTTATGATCATTATTTATGTAAGAATTCCCATTTTTTTTTTTTGTTCTCTGATTTAGCCAAGACTATTTCATTCTACACTAGAATCGAATCCAAAAATTTTGGAGCACACAAATAATTGTTTCTCGAAACCCCGAAACTGCATAATAGCACATTTCGAAAAAATAAATACCAAACTAAATTAAAAAAAAAGTGTTTCTTTTTTTAAATGTTGCTTCGCACTATTATTTTCGTCGTGGATGCGTTACAAACATACAATTTGAACTGCACATCACACCCAGAACCGTTACAACAATTTGCTAGTCTCACAAAGAGTTTTTCCGTGCGGGGATCGATCCCGCGATGTCGGTTGACGCGGTGGCTGGGCAACCGGCTGCCATGCAACGTGTCGTAAGTTCGTTTTCCTCACGGAAAGCTCTAGGTAAGTCAGCCATGAATTGTTGTTCTGGGTATCGGTATGATGTGTACAGCTAATTTTATGTTCCACATTCTCCTAAAACAGGAGAGAAAATCCTAATGTGGAGCAAAGTTACTTGTGGCGAAATGCATGCCTATTACGAAATAAAAAAAAATGGTAATATGTAATAATATTTCTTTTTTTCCCACAGGTGGGCAAACTAAATGGGCACGAAATATATCAGCTGGCGGGCACAGACATCATACCCTACGCTCGCTCCAATACACATCTAACTAACAAACAGGTATTTACACCAATATTTATTCTATTTGTATTTAATTAAGGTTGATTTTAGATTAAAAGTAACTGTTACTGTACTTTCAAGCTAATAATAACCATATCTGTATATTATAAAGGTTGATAATCGATCGTAGGTTAACTTATAAAATGTGGTTTATAAATGGTAGTATATTTTTATTAAAGAACATAATTTTAATTGTGTTGATTTATTACATATATTATATTATGCAGAAAATCAAATTAGGGCTACAATTTATTTGTTTTGAACAAAGAAATGAAAGAGAAAAAGAACTTTTATCTTTGTTTATGGTATAGGTCGGCAAACGAGCAGATTTATTAACTGATGGTAAGCAATCGACAAGTAAAAAAAAAGTTATCAGCTGCACGACTTCACTCCAAAAATATAGATATAGATAGATAAATAACAATCCCATTATGACGTGTAAGTTGCTATCACTACATAGTATAAAACAAAGTCGCTTTCTCTGTCCCTGTATATCTATGTATGCTTAAATCTTTAGAATAACGCAACGGATTTTGATGCGTTTTTTTTAACAGATAGAAGGATTGAAGAGGTAGATTTACATATATATGTGTTTAGCATTCATTAAATTGTGGAAAAAATTTTGTATCTACATTGCACCCGTGCAAAACCGAAGTGGTTCGCTAGTCTTCAATATATATTTTTAATATATGTATGTATGTATGTACAGATAGAGGACAATGCCACATACGAGCGCATGCTCCGCGCTGCTCTGGACACGGTGGGCATCTACTTCTCCTACACGTACGACCTCACGCACTGTCTCCAGAGGCTGCACTCCGTCACTCCAGACTTCCATAAAGTAAGTATATATTTTTTCTATTTTTTGTTTGTACTAGAGAGAGAGAGAGAGAGAGAGAGATAGTGATAGAGATAGATTAAAGATAGAATTAGAAAGAGATAGAGTGATATAGATAGATAGAGAGAAAGATAGAATGCGAAAGAAAGAGAGAGAGATAGAGTGATATAGATAGATATAGAGAAAGAAAGTGATAGAAACATAGAGATAGAGTGAGAGAGAGATTGAGAGGCAGAATAAGAGAGAGGGGGAGTATGTGAAGAATAACGCCAGTGTTGATTCTCAGTAATTTTCTAAGTTTCCCCCGCTATTCGGCACCCGTTAGTCGTAGCATGTTGCTTTTTTTCTCCAGGGATTTGTTCTGTGTCGTGGGTGCGTGTAACAAACATACAAATTCATATACACTAGCCATTCAGACCCGAAACCAACAATTTGTGAAACCTGCGACACGTTGCACAGCAGCCAATTCAACAACTGTACCAATCGCTGTCATGTTCTATAGTAAAGCCTTCTTCGATAAATGAACTATCCAACATGAAAGAATTAATCATTTCCAGTAGTTTCGGAGATTAGCGCCTTCAAACAAACTTCTGCTTTATTGTATTTATATTATGTGATGTTTTCAGATGTCCATAGCGAATCGTGCGGACCCTCGGTTCCTGTGGAACGGTTTCCTGCTGCGGGATTTCTCTCACCAGCAGTTCTCACGGTTCACGTTGCCTATTATACAAGGCTGTATCCTTTTTCTTAAACCTCTTCATCATTATCATCGTCAAACATAAGTTTTGAAGGGCTTTTTATGTGATAGGGTGGCAAAAGAGCTGACGGATTACCTGATGGTAAGCAAACGCCGCCGCCCACTAGAGGAGTTACGGGTGCGTTGTTGGCCGTCTGGGAATAAGGGTTTCGTCGTCGTAAAGAAATACGGCATTACAACGAATTTACACTTTTGAACAAGCACTTAGCTTCTATGACGGATCGCACTGCACTACAATTTCTTTTTGACTGTTAAAATCATGTGCATTTTCGTGTAAACTAAATCTTTTATGGCTTAGTTGAAATAAATGCCCGGAGGCCCAATCCTTCCCCTTCCCGGACCCTTCCCCAATCCCTAAATCTCCAAATCCCTAATCCCTAAAAGGTCGGCAACGCACTCGTAACTCCTCTGTTGCGGGTGTCCATGGGCGGCGTTGATTGCTTACCATCAGGTAATCCGTCAGCTCGTTTGCCGACTTATTACATAAAAAAAAAATCTTTTGGTTTTGACTTTGACGATGTTAAAAATAGTTCAGTTTTGCTGTTTGTAAAACCTTTTTCGTTGTTATCATAATATAAATTATTACAAGCAGATTTTTGTAAAAGACCAAAAATAATAATTCATTTTATCATTCAAGAAACTGACAATAATTCGTACAATTAATTTTCAACCTTAATTCTCATAAGAATAGAGTTTACATTTCCTTAACCTGTAAACAGTCGTGTCTATAAACAACGTGACAGTAAACGGTCACGCGTTGACGTGGTCTCTAGTGTCACGGCGGAGCGTCGATAGAGCCGGAACCAGGTTCTTCATGAGAGGAGTCGATGCTCAGGTGAGCCTTATTTTCTACGTCATAAGGTATTTTTTGAATTATTTTTTGAATTCCTTATTTAAAAGGCAGCCTAAGCTAAAGCGAGACTAAGAATTTGTTGTATGTCCGAACGTCTGTCGGTCTATATCTAATGAACATGCAATTTTTCAGTTCTGACAAAAAATACTAAAATCAGAATAAAATAGGTAATTTATTTAATTCCATACAAAAAGCCAATAAATTTTTATACGGTTCTCTTCGAGTGCGAGTCCTACTTTACTATCTGTCTACACGTTGGTACATGTATTTTTTTAATACGGTAGTTTCCAACTAGTCAAATTCAATCCTTTTATCCAAATGTCAAAAACGATACTACTACTATTAAATTTTTATGAAAAAGTGAGTTATGGCGTCATAGTATTTTTGCGTCAAATAGCTTACTATTTCTTAATAATTTGCATAAAAAATATTTTAAACTTTGTGTATCGATCGCTCGATGAATAAAAGTATAGTTATTTTTCAATATGATATTGTATTGAAACGTCGAATTAATTTATTTGAAATCTAGGAAACTACTCAATCCCGGATTTAGAATTTTTTTTCAACGTAAGACGTCAACCGAATCTTAAAAAGCATACAAATTAAGATTAAGAAACTTTTTATTTAATAAGGTTTTTTCATTTAATATCCCCAATGTCCAATCAATCTAGACCAAAAATACAATCAAACTTAAAACAATAACTTAATAAATATTATATCCCCCCCTCTTTCATCCCCCCTCAACAGGGCAACGTAGCGAATTTCGTGGAAACGGAGCAGATAATAGAACGGGGCGGCGAGAAGTCCTCGTTTGTACAGACTCGGGGTTCGATCCCGTTGTTCTGGAGCCAGTACCCTGATATCAAGTACAAGCCGGCGATGCAATTGTCCCATGAAGACCATGTCGCAGCCTACACCAAGCATTTGAGGGACCAGCAGCAAAGATATGGGAATCAGGTTCTGGTTAATTTGGTGAGTTGATTTTTTTCTTAATCTATACTGATACTAGCTCTTACCCGCGGCTTCGTGCCTACACTACACTACCCTACCTACACTACCTACCTATCCTATCCTGCCCTACCCTACCTACCCTTTCTTTTTGGTATTTTTTTTATGGTATAAGTCAGCAAACGAGCTGACGGGATGACCTGATGGTAAGCAATCGGCGCCACCCATAGACATCCGCAACACCAAAAGAGTTACGAGTGCGTTGCCGCTTTTTGGGGATAGGGGTTGTTGATATAAGGGAAGGGAATATCGGGAAGGGATACGGGAAGGGAAGGGATTGGGCCTCCGGTAACCTCACTCACACGGCGAAACACAACGCTGTAGTTGTTTCACGCCGGTTTTCTGTGAGGCCGTGGTATCACTCCGGTCGAGCAGACCCATTCGTGCCGAAGCTTGGCTCTCCCTCACTTATCGGGTTGGAAAATCCTCATGGAGACCCATCGCCCTCGGGGAAGGGCGAAGGGTACTGTCAGATTCTTACTGACTAAAAACCAACCCGGTGTTCCTCCACCTACCCATATGTCGGAGGGGCGGGTGTCGCCCTGCTCTACCCTGATAACTTATAAACAAATCTTCAAAAACTGGGTAAACTATAAATAACTGCTTTATATATTTCTGTAGCATTCTTTACATCTTCGTATTTTACCTTTAGATCGACCAGCACGGTAAAGAAGAGGCTTTAGAGCGGGGATTCCGCGCGGCGGTAGCGGCAGCGGCACTCCCCGGAGTACGATATGAGCCGTTTGATTTCCACGCAGAGTGCCGTTCTATGCGGTACTACAGGCTCAACGTGCTCATTGACAGGATCAAGTTGGAACAGGTTGGTTGATACACGTTAAATAATATTCTGCAAATGACACACGTGAAAAATCTTTTTGAAATTTTCGAGCATGTTCGATTTGTTTCGAGTGACACAGGGGCTGATAGTGATGATTATCGTTCACTGAAAATGTTGTATTTGTTACATTTGTTGTTTTGGTTATATTTGTTGAAATAACGTAACGGTTAGTTACCATAAGTGTTCGGGTTTAGGAAAGGTATTGTGAAAATATTAATTTTTTATTCATATTTTTTTTTTATTAAAAATGTCTCGTTCAGGCGGAATTCGGTTACTTCCTATCCCGCGGCGGTACGATCCTCCTCCGGCAGAACGGAGTGTTCCGTACGAACTGCGTGGACTGCCTGGACCGCACCAACGTGGTGCAGAGCCTCCTGGCGCGCCTGCAGCTCACGGCCGCCCTCAGGCTGCTCGCTGTCACCAACACTGACGACGAGAAACATCCTGAATTCGACAATTTGTTCAATAATGTAAGTACTTATATATATTGATTCTCGCCGATTTCCATTCGAATCTACAATTTGGAATGAGCACCTAGCTTCATTGACGAACAGACCGCCAGACTACCTATTTATGGTTTAGTTGGAATAAATGATTTTGACTTTGATTAACAATTTAATGGAACTAAAGTTGAGATATTTTGCTGTTTTAGATTTTTTTATGTTATAGATGGTCAAACGAGCATACAGGTTACCCGATGGTAAGCAATCAGCGCCGTCTATGTTCACCCGCAACACCAAAGCTGTTACGATTCCATTGCCGACCATTTAGGGATTTGGAACAGGGGAAGGATTGTGCTTCCGGTAACCTCACTCACGGCGAAACACTACGCTGTGGTTGTTTCACGCCGGTTTTCTGGCATGGCTCTCCCACACTTGTATTAAAATTATCATCCCATCTCTTTCCCCAGGTATGGGCAGACCACGCGGACGTGATATCAACACAGTACTCCGGCACGGGCGCCTTGAAGACAGACTTCACGCGTACAGGCAAACGGACACGGCTCGGCCTTGTACGGGACGGTGTCAACTCTCTCACTCGGTACTACAAGAACAACTTCAGTGATGGGTTCAGACAGGTATGTAGTAGATTCTGGGATATGAGATGACATCTATGGAATGACTCGACTAACCAGCTAGACACATTAGAATACATTAAGAGACCAGTAGACACGTATAGGCTGATGACGTTGACGTATCAACAAGTATAATACATAATGTATGTGAGAGCAGGAGGGCCTTCGTCAGAACTCATCTTATATAACACTAGCTACTCCCGCGCGGTTTCACCCGCTGCTCAGCTTCATGCTATCGTAGCGTGATGTTTTGTAGCTTCTAGCACTCAGGAACATTGTAGCTATCTATCACTGAAAGAGTTTTGGTAATCCGACCAGCAGTTCCAAAGATTATTCCCTACATATAAACTTACAAACATACGAATTGACTGCACGGTTGGTGCAGTGGCTGGGCAACTGGCTGCCGTGCGACGTGTCCCGGGTTCGATTCCCACACGGAACAACACTTTGTGTGATCCACAAATTGTTGTTTCGGATCTGGGTGTCATGTGTATGTGAATTTGAATGTTTGTAAACGCACCCACGACACAGGAGAAAAGCATAGAGTGGGGCAATGTTTTTTTTTTTTTAACTTACAAACTTACAAATTTTACCTCTTTATAATATTAGTACATATAGATATGTAAGTAGGTAGTTAGGCAAGTGAGCGTGAGCAGAGAAAACCACAAGACCTCGTTACAATGACAGTAATCACTTGGATGCAAAGCGATTCGCCACAAGCGTGGTGTGCGGACGCCATCTTGAACCAGATGTGTGTTCAGATCGTCCTCACTACCCTCGACCATGACGATTCGCTAGCCTAACTTTGACAGCCCAAAAGTCAACCTGATGTGCTTAACATCACTGCTTAACATCAGGTGGGATCGCAGTCAAGCACTAGTTTATTGCAAGTAAAAAAAAAATAAAAAAATGTTTGATATGATATTGACGTGTGCGCCGTCATGTAAATCTATAAAGCCCTCACCTATGGTCGTTTTTATTTATTTTGTAATTGATACTTGATTTGTGCTGGAGGTAAAGAAGTTAAATTAATTAAGATGGAAAAAGGTTCTACGTAGATTCAAGACAGAACGGTTAATTTTGTTATTGTTCCCAGGACTCCATCGACCTGTTCCTGGGCAAGTACGTGGTGAGTGACGGCGAGGGTAACACGCTGCCCTGTCCTCTCCGCAGGGACAGAGACTGGAAGTATATCACGGTGAGTGTCACGCAGGTTGATTTTTATCCAATCTTATCCACGACTTCGCTCCCGTCATTTCACTGCATACACTACCCTACCTAGTTGCCTCCCCTAGATTACTTATCCTACACTACCTACCCTATATTACTTACTTTTTTTTGCTGCACTGGGAAAAATTCTATTACGCATACTCTTCCCGTCGGGGGACGGGAGAGGGTTATGTGGGACTCCCCGGTTAAGATGTTCCCGGTATACCCACTAAAAAACCCAGTGGCACTCCGGCCTCGCCTGAGTGGAGGGGGTCTGGGAATCCATGTCGTCCAGTCCCCCACCGGCGACTGCCCACCTTACGGCAGGCCCCTCAATTCCCCCCTACTAGGGAGGAGCCTTTATGATGGCCGGAGCACGGGTGATTCGTGCGATGCAGGCGCTTGCGCCCCCGCGCTTGTCGCCCGCTGATCACCCCATGGAGCAGGTGGGGACGGACGTTGTGACCGCCGTCCGTTCTTTGTTGGCGGAGCGGCGCTGCGAGAGGGTGTTCTTCCCGCATGCGCTCCGCCGCCTCCTTCTGTGACATGACGTCCTCACAGAAGGAGGCTACCGCTGCCCATACCTCATCACTCCCCAGCATGGATGTTATACCCTACCTACCCTACACTTACTACATTAACTACATACTGTTTATTTTGTATGACAACTTTCTCAGTTTACAGTTCACTATAGATGAAAATATAGTTTTTGATGAGTTGTAATGAATATGGTTTGTATTGCGTAGTTCCCGTCGGTGCTGCTGGTGGCGATGTCGATGTTCTGTGCGAGTGCGACCCTCCCGCAGCGGTACTCCAGCGAGGTCCTGCTGTACCTCATGTTCTGGGGCGCCGCCGTCACCGCCACGCTCTCCTTCATATTCAGGTACACCGTTCCTACTGATACTAAGCTTTCTGTATACTTTATTAACTAGCGGTCGCTTGCGGCTTCGCCAGCGTGGACAGCGATTTTGCACTTTTCCAAGATTTTTTAAATTTTGTCTACATACAAACCTTTTGTAAACAGCAGTGGACGTCTTCCAGCAGATGATGATTATGATTACCATTAGTTGTTACTTTATTTCTATCATCTAAACGTTAAATAGACGGTAATTAAGTTAAAACTTAGAACGCCATGTCGGACAATGGTGTCCGACGCTAGTGGAGGGTTAGCCTTCAACAGTATTTGTCGGCAGTCAAATGCTTAAATGTGTCACTTTAAGGTGTGGCAACATTCAACAAATATTTTATAGTTACACAAATAAAAAATATACGTCGTGGTGGCCCGGAGGTTAAGGAGCCCGCTTCTCATGCATGAGGGTGTGGGTTCGAAACCTGGCAAGTACCAATGTGACTTTTTCCGAGTTATATGTACTTTCTATGATTATTTAGACACCACTGACATACGGTGAAGGTAAACATCGTGAGGAAACCTGGACTTATAATTTCTAATTATTCGAAATCGCCAACCCGCATTGAGCAAGCGTGGTGATTAATGCTCAAACCTTCTCCGTGTGAGAAGAGGCCTTTGCTCAGCAGTGGGCACTTATAGGCTGATGATGATGATGATGATGATGATGATGAAATAAAAAAACCTACCCAATGAATTCTCCTCATACTTTTTATATCTACAATACCCCTATAAAGCAATATATTTTGTTCCCCTTAGACACGGCAAGGAGTTCGTGGACTGGCCCCGGCTGGACGCGGGCGGGCTGGCCGCCGCGCGCGCCCTGCCGCCCCCGCAGTCATTATGATCAATGACACGCCGCTCGTAGTCGTCGTCTGACCTGTACCCAGCCTCCTCATCTCACACACACTTACAATTAATATTTGGTATACAAGTATGAGAATAAATACTTTTTCTCTATAAAGATAGTAACTATTGATTGATTACTGAGCCCAATAAGGCTTATAAAGATTTATTCTTTATTTACAATAATAAAATATGTTCTTAAAGTATAAAAATTTCTGCTTTTTAGTTTTTTTTTTAACTTTGTTCCACACTAGGCTTTTCGCCTGTGTCGTGGGTGTGTTTACAAATACACAATTTCACATACACATCACACCCAGACCCGGAACACGAAACAAATTATTGTTCTACGATCAAATTGCTAGCTGATTGACTGAAAGGCTATTTCAACGAGTTGCCTGCGATATATACTTACTTTGAAATAAAAATACAAATCGTTTAAATTCAAATTTATCGTATACACTATTCAATTGTTATGTAAAAGTAATTACATTATGCATTATACAATAGTTACTATCTATATACTGATTATTTTTTATTTTTTACCTTATATACCAAATAATTTGTAAGTGTGTCAACAGTGAGCGAGCGAGACAAACAGCTTATTGTTAACCACGCCTTTTATTCTAGTGTTGTTCGTTAAATGATTACCTGTCTTAATTCTTAGGTGTTCAAGTTTCAAATCGCTTGCATTAGTACCGGTGTTAATGCTAAAAGTGTTTCTAAGGGTGAAAAAATCTTGGTGTTATCTTTATTCAAGGTTTTAGTTGAACGGATAATGGTCTTAATGCTAGGGTAATAAGGTTTAGAATCGCTCGTGATAAAAAATCGTAGGTGTTTGTTTGAACAAAAACCGATCTTAATTCAAGAAAGTTAAAGTTCTAATTTTAAATTATGATGTGATTAGAAATGTGTTAAGCGTGATTCTTATTACTCTATCGTTAAGGTTTATTTTCAAGTAATTATTATGGTTGCTATATAAATATTAATAAGGGAATGTGTTTAGTTAAATTATTTATTATTTTTTCCTATTTAACGTTTCAGAGAGGTTCTGTGTTTGTGTGAATGATGTTTTTTGAGTGGAAATAGAGATTGGATAGCGGGTATCTTTATGATTTAGAATAAATAAATGGTTACTGAATTTTTCATTATTACGAAGCTTTTAAAATAATAACTGTTTATTGATATACAATGGGAGTGAAATTTTTTTTTTTATTTATTCTGAAACGTTGGCCCCTGTATTTTTTTAGTTTAATAACTTCATTGTGTATCTCAAAGTCAAATTTTCAAAGTCAGAGTTTATATGTCAATGAATATTTCGGGATGACGACAGCGTATGATATTATTTCGTTATTTCTGTCATCTTCCCCGTTGCTTTCTTTGTATTTGAACCTAGCAAAATTTTGGTTGAAACTTTCTAATTAGGTATTACGAAATATAAGCTATTTCGTTAATGTTAAGCAAAGTAGACTGTCAGAAGTAAAACGTCATAATTGGATTTCGGCTATACCCGGTGTTAACTGCACGGTTGGCGTGGTGGCTGGGCAACTGGCTGCCGTGCCACGTGTCGCGGGTTCAATTTCGCACGGAACAACTCTGTGTGATCCACCAATTGTTGTTCCGGGTCTGGGTGTGATGTGTATGTGAAATTGTCTGTTTGTAACCGCACCCACGACACAGGAGAAAATCCTAGTGTGGCGCAATTTTTTTTTTTTAATAACCAGTCAATGGCTGTGGAAGGGCTAAAGGCCGGACGACGTAAAAATTATGTCGGAGAACCGTATTAGTTCAATGCAATGGTCTTTTGAGGAAAGTAATAAACAGAACCGGTCTTCTTCCTTATGCTGATATCATTAGCTTTGTCTGCTCATTTGTATTGTATATCAATAAACTAAAATATAATTTAAAACATGCATTTTTTGTATAGTACAAATTATTCAAACACTTACACCCGGTTTCTGAATGGCTTGTCAACGTTAAAATAAACTAATCTCCTGTTAAATCTCTTGTCAAGTCATCTGATTGGTTGTTGATAATTCAGTTAACCAATTAGATGACTTGACAAGAGATTAAATTGATTTTAACATTGATCGGCCTTTCGGAAACCGGGTGTTAATATATCTGGCGAAATGAGGTTATGATATTGTTTTTAAAAAAATACTGAAAATAGACTATTTTTTAAGACAGGCAACACTAGAATAGATGGCGTTTAATAAAAGTATTTACGACCTACTCTAACTTAGAACACACGAATCCAAGTCTACCACTGTTTTGAATTTGAAATTTATACCTTAAATTATAGAGTTCATTTTCCAGTGTTGTCCATTAAAGATCAAATGTCCAAATGTCCATGTACAAATTTGTGAAAGAAAAAATGTTTTTTGTGTAATTATTTGTATAGACAAGAAAAAACTGTAGTTTTGTTTCATTTTAATGTAAAAGAATATAATATTATTTTTTTCTAATGTAATTACAGTGGCGTATTTCTTGCTTGCTAAACTGTTCGTGAAGATGCTCGTCTAGTTTCAAGCCACTAACGGAGCTCATAAACGTATATTGCGCTGCTATTACAGACGTTGCGCTTAAAGCATTTCGTACATATTTCTTGTCTATGTAAATAATTACCAAAGACATTTTTTTAGACCAAACATGTTGCTATTTTTGCTTATTGTCAATTTATTGGTATTTCAAAGGTGTTTGTTTGAACTTGAACTTATGAAAGGGATAGCATTAATCGTTTTAAATAGTTCTATCTCACTTACACGTGATTTACTACTTCTTGAAGTATAGTAAAACGGGTTGAATAGAATTTGAAGGTTGAATTTTCCTTTTCACCCCTCTTCTGCATTGGCAAACTAACAGACTGATTACCTGATGGTAAGCAATCAGCGCCGCCCATGGACACCTGCACCAAAGGAGTTACGAATGCTTTGCCGGCCTTTTAGGGATAAAGGTTTCGGATATTTAAGGATTGGGCCTCCGGTAACCTCACTCACACGGCGAAACACAACGCTGTGGTTGTTTCACGGTGTCACGCGCGTGTTTTGTGAGGCCGTGATATCACTCCGGACCCATTCGTATCGCAGCTTGGCTCTCCCACCCTTGCACTGCGTCTATTCACCCCGTTTTATGGTATTGTTCAAAACAAATTTTCAGATATAAGGAGATCTCAAATCTTCATATTAAATACCATTTATTGATATAAAAATTTAAAAACATTTCAGTATCAGTTCAAATAAAATGCCGCGTTAAATTAATATTTTGTAGTATTAGCATTCCATTTTATAAGTCGTATGCGGTTTGTTGTATGAAATCTTTAGATACTATTAAAAACATATTAAAAGAAGATTCCAATAACAACACCATTCACGGGCTAACTGGACTACTTTCAAGCCATGCTTAGGGCTCATATTCATGCAGCTACACGCGATATCCGTCCTGTGTCGCGTCAATGTTATAGTTGGTTCTTTATAATATGATAGCGTTTGTTTGATTTGATATAATTATTACACTAAGAAGAAATAATATTTTATGTACCTACAATACATGCAAAAATATACCCCATCTCCTACAAAATATGGTTGAAAGTTCAACAAATCGCATCGTCTTGTCCTAAAACAGAACAAACCTTATTGGTTACAATCCAGTATGTAGGTTCTAGCTTTTATATCTCTTTTCATTTAATATGATGTGTAATCTGTGGTCCTATATGTTCCTGGTCTAGGAATTGACAGTTTAATCTGTGTGATTGCGCGGGAGTTTGGATTTTTAAATACACTACGTATGGTTGATAATTTCTAGAGAATTTAGGATGAAAATTGTGTAAATGCTGATGAATTGTAGAATATGTACTTAACTATATAGCTATAACGGTTTTTATCTCTAAACTAGAGGCGATGAGGATATTAATTTTAATTGTTTAAAAAACTAACTATGTCGAATTCAAAATCATTGATTTCAATTTGACGCTTACAGACACTTTTGAACGTCGAACAAAATTTAAAGATAAAAAATGTCTGGCTTTGAAACAGTCCTCTTAGTGAAGCTATTTGCTATGATTGATATTGACACATTTTCCTAAACAAAAAGTATATGGTACGAAATACCTAATTTAAGTATTGGCGATGTTAAATTTATTATCAAATAACATAAATAATATCTCAGTCTGTTGATAATCGGACGATATCGACAGATAAACATTTCTTGTAAAAAAAGTTTGCATTGTTCGTCTGCCAGCTACGATAGGTCATTAACCTTAGTTCAAACACAAAAGAAATCATAATATTTTTTTAATATCCTACATACGCGCTGTAGTCGCGAAAAAATATATTTTGACGAAAAAAAAATGTTTTGTTTAGTCTGTTCCAGAATTTGAATTAAATTTGTTTACCATTTTTTACAAATAAATAATTATGTACCTACTCTTTTTTCTAATATTAGAAAATTATGAATATTTTGTCCTTAATATGTAGGAATTTCCCGATCAAACTTGCAGTCCGCAAGTGTGATTTTTCCAATATAAAAAGTTATATTAGGCACTGTTCACTGTCTAAAATCACAAGTAAATTAACACAAGTTGGCGCCAAATAAAATGGCGTCGTATAAAGAAACCGCATTCCAAATTCGAATTTATTTAAAACCCAAACTCTCGCGTAGGAATAGTATTGTTTCCAGTACCAAAAACTAAACGACGACTCGAGACGGCCGATAATAGATAACCATAGGAATAGCATTGCGAATAAAAATTATTTAAAAAAAGCATTTAAACCTCTTTTCGTTTTATGTAGATCTATGAATATATTTGTAGGTAGTGAATTTTAATTTTAGTTTTTTTAGAGGTTTGCTATATAGATTACGTGTAGATAGAGATGCTATTTAAATTTTGTGATTTATAAATTTGTACTATAAAGAAATTTAAAACATTTTAAGCCTTTCTATCTACCTCTTTAGTGTTTGCCGCAGTGTCAAAACTTGCGGTCAAATTAAAAAAAAAATATTTTTATTTCCGCAGTGTTATTTCAAATGGTGTGTAATTAAAATAATATTGTTATATTTTGTCATCTTGTGTAATTTAATAATTTTAATCTTGTAATTTTTATGATGAAGATATTTCAATAAACAATTAATCATAATTTGGTTTTTTTATTAACCCTTTAACACGTAAAATACTTTTGCTACTTATAATGTGAAGCTGCTTCAATTTCAAACAGTAACCATTAATTTATTGACGCAGTTGGTATTTCTTGCCTGACATTTAATTTTACATTTAATTTGACATTTAATTTAGAGGTATGAGGAACAGGGTGGAAAGTTCCTCATCCTCCATTGAAAAGGGAGGATTCTCCGACCAGGCGAGGTGCTCGTGCCTGGTGGGCTACTGCCCGACGATTGTTGTCGGGATATCTGTATGGGTGCTAATTGTGATGAAAACTCTTATAGCGCGATGTAGACTCTTGCTCGTGATTGGTGCTGTTGTTTATGTAGTGTGCTAGATGTCGCTTCATCACTCCCCTCCGAGACCGGCGGTCGTTAGCTGGTTGAGTCATCTGAATGTCATGTCTTGTCGAGCCAGTTGATGGTTCCAGTACGTCGGAACCGATGCCGCATAGTTCACGGTGAGTCGGAACTGTTTGCGGGGATGCCCCAGTGCGTCGGGGTGATGCAGTGCTGATGAGTGGCTGGCTGCTGCGTCGACCAGGAGAGGGAGTACGTCTCTGCTTGCTGACCGGCCGGTGCAGTATGCTGTGCCGAAGTCGCTGATGAGGCTGTAGGTGCTGACCAGGAATGCGCGTCGGCTGCATGCTGGTGGTCAGGGAACCCGTTGTAGACGTGGTAGCTGGCTGACAGTAGACTCGCTGCTTGAAAGCTCGAGGAAGTGATGACGTCATGGCTATGACGTAGTTGCACGAAGGCTGCGTTGATTTCATGCTCAGGGTCACCAGTTTAGAGGTATGAGGAACAGGGTGGAAAGTTCCTCATCCTCCATTGAAAAGGGAGGATCCTCCGACCAGGCGAGGTGTTCGTGCCTGGTGGGCTACTGCCCGACGATTGTTGTCGGGATATCTGTATGGGTGCTAATTGTGATGAAAACTCTTATAGCGCGATGTAGACTCTTGCTCGTGATTGGTGCTGTTGTTTATGTAGTGTGCTAGATGTCGCTACAAAACGAAATTGTAATCGTTTAACGTCTTAGGACTGTTAACGACTTAAATGCGCCGCCCATGGACACCTGTCGTAGTGCTTTTGGGATAAGGGTTTTGGAGGTTTTGGTCATGGCAGGTGGGGCAGGATCAAGGCTCCGGTAATCTACGGTAAACGGAAACAATAAAACAACTGGGTGACCCCACAGGCCTGACTCCCAGGAGGTGTCTTATTCTTCATCTCCGGTTAGTCCTCATGACTAGCTGGAGTAAACATTGACGAGGAACAAGCCTTTCAACCTTATTCTTGCCTTGGTTGGCTGCCTTGAGTGGAGATTCGTAAGAGTAGGAGTTGAAGGAGACTCAGGAGAAGGATATATCTCAGTAAGATGCTGGTAACAAAATATATATATTTTTTTTAATCATAATTCTTTATATAAAGTACAACACGTTGTAATTTATTATTGTATTTAGAATTTCTGTAAAAATTATAGATTTTGTACTTATTTCAATGAGATTATGAGTCATAAAATTATTTTTATAAACACGATGCAAGATTATGTAAATTATATATTTTTCTATTCAAACGAATTCATTTGGAATGCGTCATTAGGTATGTGAACGCATTCATATCGATTGAAGTGATGCTGTCAGTCAAACTGTCACCGCTCTGTCTGCGACTGTTCAAAAACCTTGAATTTAAAAATATATGTTTTTGTTGGTCATTTATTTTAATATTATAAAAACTTTACAAATATTTTAAGTACAAAAATAGGTATCATATAAGCATTCATAAAGTCAAATAAAATATGGATATGGCAGTGTACTAACAAAAAGCACTGGATTTGGAAAAAAAGTAACGTCAAAAAGTAACTACCACGCTGTAAGTAGTTTCAGAACACAAGTTCCGTCCGTCTGTCGGTATTGGGAATACGCGAATCGAGTTCACTGATATTTATCGTCGTATTATCTCGTACGCTAATAAAATAAAATATTTCTATGATAATATATTACGAAATTCATACGTTCACATAATATATCCTGTGATACGCGCGGGGTGTTTCCTGTGATGTTGGAAAAAAATGTGTTTTGTTAAGTGACCAATTATTTTGCTTGTTTTTTTTCGCGTTTGTCGGCGCCAGAATGTCTGATGAGCTCGAAGCTCGGATGTGGGACGATGGAGCGTCCAGGTACGAGTCCAGAGGTCGTGGCCCTTACTTCGAGTCAGCTTTCGCCTCATCAGAACACTTGGACAGAGCCCCTTTGTTGTCTGAGGTAAATATAATTACATGTATTTTTTTATCGCTAAAGTTGTAAAAACGTTTATTGTGTATTTTACATTTTATTTAGTTTTTATATTTATTCTTTCTTTAATTTACGGTTTCTGTAAATGCCATGTAAGTTATCAATTTTATGAACTACAAAAAAGGAACAGTTTGGAATAATTACTCTTTTTCGTTTTAAAGCAAATTCATATTTTGTAATGATCATTTAATTATATATAAATATTGGATACACCTATTTCTAAGAATATTAGACACCAGAATCTTTATAAAAATTTAAAAAAGAGTAGCCATAAGGTCTTGCTTTGGGAATGATAAAATAAATATTTGATAATGATAAGCTATCAACATGTTCCACTTATCTTAGTTTCGTAGTTTGTATTTTAAATATTATCAAAGCACAGATTCTTTACAGTTTTATCTTTTTGTGCATTGTCATCTCCTAAAACACAGTTTCTGCACAGGAAACAGTTTTATCTAACTAAATAACTTATTTTTACACCATAATACTTATTTTCCTTTAAAAGATAAGCATTTAATCAATCAATCATTCATTCAATCATTCTGCTTTTTAATGGAGTTTGAATCTATTTATAGTTGAGAAATTAAGGTGGTTCCTATAAATTAATCCAACTTCATTACTTGCCTATGAGTGCTGACTAATCGCTGAGCAAGAAAGAGAAAAAATGAAACACATTTGATCAAGGCATTTCAAATTTCAAACTTATTATTAAAAATATTAACTTCAGCTTTCAGAAAAAAATATTGTACCAATGAAACAATGCAACAATGAATTTATTTTTGTAAGTAGGTCATAAAATAAAACAGCACTGTTACACATCTGAATTGTAGCCTACATAAACAAAAAATAGGCAATGTAAGAATTAAATGAATTAGTTATTAGTATTTAATAAATTTATTAAAATCCTTTCTTCTGATCTTCATCACTTCTCATCTTTTCTTTTCTACTTACCAGTAGAACTGTAAAATGTATTATGCATAATACTATAACAGTTATCAAAGAAAAACAATAGCAAACACCATAAGACAGAGTCAATAGCACTCATGGGCTAAATAAGTACAGGAGAAGGGTGAAAAGATGCTGGGAAATAGTTCTACAATCTATTCACCCCAATTCTATACACCCTGTTTTTGTTTATGATATTGGTATGTGATTATCCCCGACACAAGTGTTTTTAACCACTTACTAGGGCTGTTTCATTCACATGTGGTATGTCTATAAATTCACACTACCTTTATGTTTTATTTTCTGAAATAAGAAAACAGAGTAGAAATATGTACTTTTTCATTACAAGTTTATGCCATGCTGTTTGACGATGCTATCAAGGTTTCTATTGAACATAGTGTAAGGTTTTATAGCCTATAGCTTTTCTCGACGAATGAACTATCCAACACAAAAAGAGTTGTTTAATTCTCACCAGTAGGTAGTGAGATTAGTGTGTTTATACAAACTAACTATTCAGCTTCACAATATAAAATATTAGTTTAGATAACCCACTTCCAATCATTTCATATTTTTAACCAATATGTGGGTTTGTAAATGTCATAATAGACCTGCATGCATGGTAACTATTGTCTACCATAGCCATGGCCTACTGATAGTAGAAAAATAAACATAATTATAGATTGTGTTTATTATCATATAAATGTGTTGTTTAGGAATATTCCCTAATGAGACTAATAAGTACATTGGTAATGAGAATTACAAATAATCCTACCATACTCTCTCTGCATCACCCTTAGGTTGACTGGTGAGAATGGCTACGGCATTAAGTCCGCCTATTCAATGTTTTGTTGCATAAAGTTTAAATAAATAAATAATCCAAACTTAATATTATAAATGCGAAAGTAACTCTGTCTGTCTGTCATTTCTTCACACCTAAACTACTGAACCGATTTCTGTGAAATTTGGTACAGACATAGTTTGGAACTCGAGAAAGGACATAGGATAGTTTATCAAACAAAGAGCAGGAATTAATGCAGCCAAGTTTCTTTGCAACTTTGCAATAAAATCAATTCAATCAAAAATATTGTTCATTGCGAGTGTCCATGAGCGGCGCCGATTGCTGACCATCAGGTAATCCGACTCGTTAGCCGACTTATAACATCAAAAAAATATATTTAATTACTTAGTTTATGACTGTAGATATTATTTGTAAATTTTATCTCAATATAATCGATACTACTACTGATATAAAATACATGCAGATATTCTGTTTGCTTATCTGTACACTTTATACTATGTAGTATTATTGTAGTTATAAACATAATCACTTATTAGTATTATGATATTATTTAAAGTCTAGCCATTTTAGCGTATCTCGCGTACCTAGACCTACACTCAACGGAAAATAAATAACTTTTTAAATACCACCTCTTTACAAACATACTACAAATTTGGTAATAAAAGTGGTTATCGGCTTATTTACTTTTGTTTGGCGGTATCTCGACTAGTTTCAAGCCACGCTAGGGGCTCATATTTATGAGAAGCAATGTTCGACGCACAAGGCAGGCAAGATGGCGCAGCCAACTATTTATTACCTTCCTCATTCATTACTTTACTAGTTAACGTATGTAGTTAATAAACTATAATTATTAATAAAAACTTTTAAAAACGTGATTGGACTACGTATGTTAATCCAAATCCAAACTAATATTATCAATGCGAAAGTAGCTCTGTCTGTCTGTCTGCCTTTTCTTCACGCCTAAACTACTGAACAGGCACAGACATAGTTTGGAACACGAGAAAGGACATAGGATAGTTTTCAAAGACACTATTCCACGCGAAAAAACTCGGAAGCAAGAGCTAGTTAAATTACAATGCTGACTGTACTTAGATAAAATTTACAATATTACCTTGATATTTTTAAGTTATTTATAGACTTTTATTATGATTTATAGACGCGATAATAACGACGGTAACGAATGATCTCGTTGTTATAACGGATACGTTATTAAAACCCGATAAGAATTCGTTAGCAGCTACAATAAAAGTATTAAAATATTATCAAGGTACCAGTGTTATCTATGCTCGTTTATCTAAAATAAGTACACTTAGTACATAACAGAGACTACCTAATTAAAATATGTATCGATATGTATATAAAAGAATGTCGTGTAGAAATTTTTTAGCTAACTTCGCGTATCTATCTGCATAAGAGCCCCAAGAGTGGCTTGAAACTAGTCGAGTGCCTTGCAAATAAGTTTCATGACTAAGCCGTTAAACATTATAATTAATTCAATATTTTGCACGAAAGTTCTTAAACGAAAGTACTATTATAAAAATGCTTGCCTGTATCATCATATTTTTGTATGTATTGAATGCGAATATCGAATGCGATGTCTCATTCCAAGTTGTTGTTTACTTCGCAACTTATGTATATTTATTAGTTATATTCATGTTTGTGTATGTTGGCCATCATATTGTACTTGTCAACTGAATCCAATCGATACATCTGTCTAAGGGTATTTGCCCTTCCTCTTCCATTATGAGACTTGTTTTTTTTTTGTTGAGGGGAGGTTACTATGATGCCTTACTGAAATATTTAGCTCAAAACTTGTAAGAGGGCTCTTAGAAACATTTCTTTTTGAATAGTAACTATTGTGAGACATACTAAATTTATTGACGACTTACTCACGTGAATTAACCGAGAAAAGCTCGACTAGTTTCAAGTCACAACGGGACTCTTATTCATGAGAAGCGTGCGCGTTGCGGCGAGCTACGTCGCGCTGCCAACTTTGCGAAATTTCTAAATTACAAAAAAAGCAATATACCTAATTGAAGCACGGTCCCTTTTAAGAGATGATAGGATAATAAATTCATTTTAAGCTACAGAAAGTTTGAAGGAATCTTTAATGAAGTGAACAAAATAGTCTTTGGATAGGCTTTCTTCGTTTTACCTGTTTTTATACTTTTATTAATTTGGTTTAAAATTGACGTTAATTAGATAGTCCTTGGTCTTTGTCTGTGTCTCTTAATTAGACCCATGTTATTTTTAATTAGACCATTAAGTTAGCCATTTAGTTAGATACTTAATGTCGTGATAGCCCGGAGGAAAAGGCGCTTCTTATGCATCAATTGATCTCAAATGGGTCAAAACCTGGCGAGTACCATTGTGACTTTTTCCGACTGATATGTAGGTAGTGAAAGAAAACATCGTGGGCAAACCTGGACTTGGACAAGCGTGGCGATTAATGCTCAAAGCTTCTCCGTGCTAGAAAAGGCCTTTGCTCAGCAGTGGGCACTTAAAGACTGATGATGTGATGTGATTAAGATAACCCATAATTTAGACAGACGACAATTAGTCGACCTGATAAAACGTCCAGGGAGCAGTTGACGCCAGGATATCAACCGGCGATCTAGAATCAATAGGGTATATTCACAAAGACGTCATACAACCGATGTCATTATAAATTAATGAAATAAGTTAAAAAATAGACATCTTGGCTGGTCTGTTTCTGAGTGCACACTGCACCTGTGTGCGCACTTGACAAACTGTGTCAATAAAAAGTTGTATTTGTAATATAACATGTCGTAGCTGACAGGCAAAATTGACTAGCCATTTGATGTGCCTAAACGCTGAATTTTTGACTCTTGCCCTTAGTTGAAGAAGAAGGGATTGTTATAATAAAGTGAATGAATGGTGAGTTAGGTTAGAACTGCGAAACGCACAGAAATCAAATTGGTATTAGAAATAAATAGCTAGCTAGTAGCTATCGGAATCGAAACACTGGGCCCGCGATACTTACTATAAGGTTTTGACCCACAACCCCAGCAAAGTATCTATCTATACAATCTATCTAAAATGGCTGTATATGTCGTGCAGCTGACTTTATCGTATCCCCTGAAAGTATTTGCTGACATAACACATAATTTATGTAATTACTTTACCCAAATATTGTATTTAAAGATGCCAAAAATTTATTCTTTCTTGTGTCTTAACACTCTTGTGTCTCTCTCTCTCTTGTTTT